TGTACAGTGATTTCAGGCATTAAAATTATAATTAATTAATTGAAAAATACTTTTAATATGCATTTAATTTAATTCATTATTAATCTTATTACATTTTCAGCAAAGTAATTTTGAAAATGATAAATTTATAGCAGTTATTTCTTTAGTTACAGTTAAGCTTCAGGAGTTTTGCTTTGAATATATAATAAGAGAAAAATTTGTATTTTGCAAATCAATGAAACAGTTTTATTATTTTCAATTTAGAAAATAATTTAAAAATGCCTTCTATGATCAAACATTTTTTTCATTGAAAACCATAGTTGTATCATTTTCAGTTTGATATCATACTGTAATTTCTAATATGCGAAAATAAATAAAAAAAAAATTATGCATTTCTAAGTTGCTAATATGTTTATATAAAATTCTGTGTGACTATGTCTGGAAGTTTATAATAATAGCTGGGAGGAAAACTGTTCTTTTAAGTGTTAATGATATTTGTTTAAATAAATGAGAAGAAATTTTTTTAAAATTCTTTATGTATTTGTGCAGTAAAAATAGGCAAAATCCTACTTTAATAAAGCATTGATTTCAGTAAAAGGCTTTGTATATTTCTGAAATAATGTGTCATTGGCAGGGGCGTAGCTAGAGGGGGGCATCTGTCCCCGGGCGCAGAATCCAAGGGGCGCCAAACTGATGTTACGACATTTTAGAATTAAATGTTTCCATCCTTGGCAAGCAGTAGGGGGCGTGAAATTTTCAGTTGTCCCTGGGCGCTGAAAACCCTAGTTACGACTCTGGTCATTGGTATATTTTCATAAGAAATTTATGTGTTGCATGTATAATCCACTTAAAATTAGTGTAGATGTAAATGATCATGTACACCTTCTTAAATGAAGCACACTCTACGTTGAAAAGAAGAAAAATTTCTTTTTTCCATCAGTTTGCTCAGTAAGGAACACTATATGTTTATTTAGACTAAAAGCCCAAGTGTCATGAGAATATATAAAAGGAAGAAATGCAACATACTTATTATTAAAAAAAAAGTGTTTGAATTATAAACTTGAATCATCAAGCATTCTTATCTGCCTAATTGATCATTCAGATTACTACATGCCTGGTTTGAGCCTGGTATGATTATTACCACTAGAAGGATGGATCACACAGTTTCATATGTCATTGCTGAATTCAGTTTTGAAAGTTCAACATTGCCAAGACTGTAACATAAATAGTTGTCAATTTCTTTCCATTGAAACCAAGAAAAGTGGCATCAAATAATGGAATTCATACCAGATGATTCAATTAGTATGGATCAATGGCTTCAACACATGAAATGCTGGCTCTTCACTATAAGATGGAAAAGGGCTATTTTTTGCTTCCTGCTGTTTGTTGAAATAATAGTGACTTGGGTGGTATTATTGATGGATTCTAGGCTGCAGTTATTCTACACTCATGCAGATTAAAATCTGGCATCCCATAAAGCTGTGGATTTTTTTAGGCTGTGACAAAGCTTCTGTGACAGTTTGATCATGTTTATGTTATCAGAATAAGGCTTTCTAGTTTATTTGCCATCTATTCCCTGACTGGTCTGAGATATGCTGATGTTCCTGAAATCACTTACACCTAGGGTTGTCACCTCTTGGCTGTTAAAATCCAGGAGAGGGGAAAAATCAATTTTCATAACTTTTTATTTTATTTTGCCTTATATTTTGCATTTGATCGTACAGATTTCAAAATATCTGGTCTGGAACTAACAAATTAGAAAAAAACTCTTTGTAGTCCATTTTAAAATTGAAGAATGTTATGATTTCTGCTTTGACATGTTCTTCATTTAAACGGTTTCTTTCTTTAGTCCATATATCGAATGTTATGCTGAAAACACCCTCGCAGGCAGCGTTTGATACAGGTATAGACAAAACGAATGAAACTACTTTCTTCAACATATCTCCAACTCTATTTTCGACCGTTGAGAAAATTTTGCGCACCTCTGATCAACTCTTACATTTTATTTAACAATGCTGTCTTAAACCTCCCTCAAAATGCAGAAATCTTCTTAAAGTTTATTTTATCAAAAGTGATCTTTAAATCAATGGCCAAGTCTCTCAAAGCATCCCACGTAATCATTTTTTTTTCATTAAAAGTATGCTTAATTTACTATACTGAGTTTTCAAAATGATACCATTTTTTCAGGTAATCTAAACATCTCTCAAAGAAAAATGTCTGTGTTTTTAAAACGTAGACTTGTCCGTTTCATTTAATTTGTTTAAAAAATCTCTTACTGAACTACCAACACATTTGTCAATTTTTCTATTTGTTATTTTTCGGCGGATTTTTGAGCATAACATCGTGCAATTATGTGCAAGTAACAAAATCGCTTTCAATGATTTTAATTTCATTATCGAAAATTTGCATAACATTGTGCAAAAAGTAACAGTAGCACAAAGGTAGTGAGTTTTCGTCTTTACATGCTTTCCAAATAATTGTACTACATTCTTCTTCTCCTTTTTCAATAAAATACGCCCGTAAAGCTGCCAATTATGAAGCAAACGCTCTATTGCTGGCAATAAAGCTAGCCATCTGGTTGGCACATGGTGCAAAATGTCGCGATACTCAATATTTAAAAATGCGTGGAAATCTTTCAGAGTCTGTGTTTGTTTAGCATATTCTGAAAATTCACTATAAACTTTCAAGACTAAGGCTTCAATGTCGAATTTTATGCTTTTTAATGCAAATTGTGTGCAGTTCTGTAATATGTTGCATTTACAGTTAGCTTTTAAAATGTTTTCATTGTCAATCTTAAGTTTTTGATACACAGAATTATTTATGCCATAACTGACAGAAGCGTTATCAGCAGCAAACGAAGTTACATTCATTATATCTAAATTATTTTCAATGAGAACTTGACAAATCTGGTTTTTAATCTCACCAATTTTTTCTCGGGGATCGCAGTAAAAATTAAGCATTCTGTGTTTTATCCCACTTTCCTTATGAAAAATATTGCACAACTACTAGAAGCATTTTGACGTTGCCTTTATTCGACGCATCTGTTGCGACTGAAAAAAACTCTGCTTCTTTAACCCTTTGTGGTTCAGTGTTCCACTACATGGAACAGCCAAATTTAATCGCTTCTGAAACCTTTAAATTCAACTGTAAATAGATAAAAATGCCTTTATAATATACTTTGAACTTTTCTTTTTAAACAGTAGGTAGCAGCATATCACAAGGAGACATAGAATTTTCATTTATTATGTGTTATTGAAATCCACTTTTTTCAAGTAATTTTCCCTATTTTTGTAATGATAAAAAAAATTTTATTTGGAAAAAAAATTAGGCATGATTTTGCTGGCTGTACTCCAAATTACTTGTTCTATATTTTTTTTAATCTTTCATACAAAAACCATACACAGAATCATTGAATAAACCTGGGTGTTCCATTAGTGGGAACACTGTGCCTTTAGCGATCTCATACTGTTACGAATCAGAACATCTGTGCTTATTAGAGAACATCCGTTGTTTACGTTTTCTGTTTCCGTTGTTTGGGGGAGGGAATGGATTCAAACCAAGCAGTACTGAGGGGTGAGGTGTGTTTTGTGTTATGAAAGCCCTAATATTTGCATCTCGAATTTTTTGGGAGTAGTTTTTTAGGTGGGAATTTTATTAGTAGCTTGACTCATCTTTACTTAGACCTGCGCGAATTTTTTGCTGTCGCTTTTTAATCTCATTTCCGTTTATTTTCAATAATTGTGTAATATTTTCTGTGTATGTATATATTATAGGTTTATTTTTCTTTATTGTTAATATTAATCGTAGTTAATTGTTTTAATCGTAGTTGGTTTGTGCTTCCATCAAAAAGGTGTGACTTGCTTTGAACAATTACATGAAGCTAAGAAATAGGAAAATTTGTAAATATTTTTGTATATAGGACTTGTGTATATAGATATTTATCTCATTTATCCATATATATTCAAGAATATTGCTTATATCCAGGAAACCATGTATAAAGCCATAATGCAGAGTTTTTTCATTCTTATACAAATGTTTCTACTCATTTTTGTGCTTCACTGCAATTCTCGCTTAGTCGCACTTTTAAAAGCTCTGGCGGCGCAGTGTTCCACCTCATGGAACACCCACAGAATTAAAATGGTAAGTGCAATTTTTACAAAATTTTACCTGTATACTCCTTTAGGACTAAATAGACTGCATACAACTTTTTTTTTTTTTTTTTTTTTTTTTAAATTCCAACGTTAACGTATAGTGTGCCACAAAGGGTTAATCTCATTTAAAAGTATTTCTTGAGCTGCAGGAGTAAGCACACTCTCGCAAATACTTGTACATTTTGTTCTACCACAAGAAATCGTTTTGGCCAAAGAAAAATATGGAAATAGAGTGCTATACAATTTGTTTGTGCAGTCCTGGCTATTAAAACTATGATGGTACTTAATCCCATGATAGACTGAAGTAATTTCAATTGCTGATATATTATCCTCTTCTTTTGAAGATTTCTTAACGGAAAAGTTCGAAACCGATTGCGAAGAATTCCTATTTGATATTAACAATTGGTGTTTCTTGCTTTGGGAATGTACAGTTATAGCTCTAACACCCTCGTACTTAATATTAAGCGTTTCACGACATAATTTACATTCTCCATTTTTTTTTTTTTACAAATTATTACAAATTATTACAAATTTGTCTTTCTTCATAAGCCAATTACATTGAGTTAACCACTTGTCTTGAAATGGCGTTGAATACTTTGTCTTTTTTTGCAGCACTTGTTCACTTGCTTAATCAGAAATCAGAATCGTTTGGTCTAGACATTATTATGCATTTAAATAATTTCAAAATATGAACTTGTTCGTAGATAGCTAGCTAACTGCAGACTAAATGAAACAATGGATTGAAAATGAGAGGGTGGAGGGGGCATGCACGCGACACGCCGGCTCCACTACTCATTAGCAAGGCGCTTATTCACTGCTCACCGTAGATCGCTGCTGCAAAAAACATACATATAGACATTCTTTTGTTGTTGTGTGCGGTAGTGTGATTTTTGATGCTGTCAACCATTTCGTCCGTGCGCATTGTATCGCTATTTTCAGGAAACTTGATATTCCGGGAGAGTAATATTTATTTTAAATTTCTTCCGGAAGCCAGGAGATTTTAATTTTCAGGGCTGAATTCCGGGAGAATTCCGGAAGAGGTGGCAACCCTACTTACACCTCTTCATGTTGATCTGTTTTCCTAATGGAGAAGGAGTGGTTTAGTTTGACAGTGCAAGTTACGACAGATCTGTGGCTATCATTTAATGATTGCAAGAGTATCTCACAGATTTTGTTACCATGATTTGGCCATTGCAGTTTTTCAGCATAAATCCTTACAAAATGTCAAGGCACTTATTGAGGCTCAGTAGTAACCCAACTTATCACTGAATTTCTCTCTTATAAGTTTTGGTCTTTCTTTGTGCATTTAAGATGATATAATTACAGACCACATGTAAGATACTATTGTTTCCTTGAGTTTGCCTCTTAAAACTTAAGTATCTTTTATGCGAAAACAGTGCCCAGTTAAACTTTTAGCTGATGTCTGCCTAATTTTAAAGTAGGAAGTTCTTTTATTTATATTAGCATGAAACATTTAAATTTTTAATTTTATCACTTGACCAATAGCCAAATGGCTAAGGCTGCTGAATATATTTAGTCTCACCCCAGTGAACAAAAAGACTGGCTGCTGGGATGGTTTTGTGGTTTATATAAGATGAATACAAGTCATTTCTTCCTGAAAATTTCTCTGTGAAACCATCCCTTCCCTTAGGCAAATATCCCTTGCATGCTTTTCAGTGTTTGAGTAAGTAAATTTACTTTAATCTATTTCCATGAATACATTGTGTTTCACATGCAACATAGTGAACCTTTCAAACACATGTATACATGTTTGAATAAAGTGCCTGTAGATCCTGTTTTCTAAAATATTTATCCTAAAGTTAAGAATTTAGTAAATATGAAATGAATGCTATGATTAATGAGAATTCTGTAAAAACAGTGTAGCTTTTTGCTGTATAGTCTTGAGTATAGTATTTTAAAAATTTGACCAGTAAAATATTGAGTAAGAAATAATAAATTTTAAACACTGTATGCATATTACGTTTATCTATAAAAATCAAGCTCAAATTTCCATTGAATCATTTACATATATATTTGTAATATTTTATTTTACATTCATTATTTTTCTTTTCTTTATATGTAGATCAATTAGATAATGAGGATTCTGAAGAAGTACCATCCACACATATGCCTCATTTGCTGTCTGAACCACTTGATTTGATTGAAGCTACCATTGGAGAATCTGTTACATTCCCTTGTGATGTTGATGATTTAGGTAAAAATATAAGAGTACATATTTATTTTGCAGGCTTAATTTACTTATTTATTATTATGTATGCACATATGTCTCTGAAAAAAGTAGAACTATTTGTGCAGTTTGAAGTTTTTAATTCTGATAAAAAAATTTTATACAATTTTTCCTTTCCTTTAACAATTTTATTAATATAATTAAAGAGCCAATTAATTGTAGACTAAAATAGTTTTAACTGTTTCTTTCATAGCAAAATGTTGTGCATCTCTCAAAACCTATTCACCTCTTCCTTTTATAAAAATCTTATCTCACAATTTTATATAAATGTTTTTAAGGAGAAAGTGAAGTTTTCTAATGATAATCAGTTTCATCATAACTGCTTCTGTAGGAAAAGGTGTACTACTGTGTGTCCATCTTAAGAAGATATCTGTGATGCTTCTGTACATGAATGAATGAACTCAATTCACTTGCAAAAAAAAGGTTGTCTGTTTTTCTGAGATTTAGTTCATGTTTTGGTAAAATTTGGCTGCAGTATCTCATTTCTCATATTTTAAATACTGCAACAAAAAAGTACACAGGCAACAAAAAAGTACGCAAAAGGGAGTCAGAATGTTTCCAATAAGTAATAAAGGAAGAATGTCCATTTTTACATGGGAGGGAAAATCTTAGAAATATTTCTTTCTTCTCTGCAACAGGAATTGAACTTTCCTAGCATGATTGCAGTAAGAGGTCTGTAATTGTGGGTGGACTATAATTTGACATATTATATTAATATAATTTTACGGTGTGCAATGTTCCACCTGTTTAAAACTAGAGTAACACTTCTCTAATGATAAACTTGTTAACCATGAAAAATGTTGCTGTTTTCGATAATCTTTTAGAACAAGTTATTAGTTTATAAATATCTAAGAATTCTTCCTTTAATTTTTTAAATACACCATATTTATCACCATATGAGAAGGCCATAAATTATGCCAAGTATTATTGTTATGAAGAAGAGAAAGTCTTTGGTACCCGTGTTAAAAGAGTGATCTTGCATTACTTCATTCAGCATCTGATTGAAAGCACCTCTAACAAAAATTTTCATTGCACTGTTGGAGTTATGTTAAAGAATTTAGAAACATTATCAAGAGCTGTAATTGTTAGAAAGAAATAACTAAATATGATGAAAAGCTAAGTAATAAATATTCATTAAGGAGACCAGAATTCATATGTAGTATATAAATTCCATCCATAAATACTTATGTCAATTAAAAGAAGCTATCAGTAGTCAAAACCTATTATTCAAGAACACTTGAAGTAGCTGGGGGATACATACAGAGGTGGATTAACCATTAAGCAAAATAAACATGTGCTTAGAAAATCAAGGATAGGAGGCACCACAAAAAAATATTATTGCTAATTTTACCATGGATTGTATGGTATAGCTAAATGCACTCCATGAACAAAGAAATACAAAGCTCACTGAAAAATGGCAAAAGGTGACTGAACAAAATTGGCAATAAATTATTGATTGATCTTTGTTCTTTATATAAATAAATGATTTTTGAAAAACAAGAAATATATGTCACAACTTTTCTGACAACCCAGTACTCTGAACTTCCTTAAATGTTCTACACGTGTAAGGAAGATATCTAACTTCATTACAGTATAATGAAACTTCTTTTCATAACCACTTTTAAAAGTTACCAATATTCATTAGAACAAAAATAAATACTACAGTACAAAGTCCGTAATCCGGACTCGTCAGGACTTCGGCGATTCCGAATTAGGGGTTTTTCCGGATTATAAATTATCAATTTAAATCTGGTAAGATGGCATGCAGAAATTATACAATTAAAAATATGAAACCGTAATTTATGAAATAACGAGCAGTTATGATCTAAAGGGCATCAAAATTTTCAAAAATAAAAGCTTAATATTTATTTGTTTACTTTATTAAACATTTCTTTCAATGTAAGTTGTTTTAAGTTGCTTCGTTTTTTTTTTTTGTGCTAATGCTTTCTCTTTAATTCTTTAAACAGACATAATTTCTTGTTCTGTTACAAAGTTTCACTGTTCAAGTCCTGTAATTGCTGTGTCGAGAATACCGACTAACTTGTCAATTGAAATTTTTTCATTTTCAATAACCTCTGTGTCACTTTCTTCACTATCGAAAGCGGTATTTTCTGGATCTAGAACCATACTGCAGATTTCACCGTCCGTTAATTGATTGATGATTGGGGCATTGTCGTAACAATGAAAAAGTTATGTTATATCATCTTCATTTATCACTGCTTCTCCACATTTCTTTACAAAATCCAGTAACTGGAAAATTTCATTTTTAGTTTGTGATGTCCGAAAACCTTCAAATTCGTGGCTATCATCTTCATCGTCTTCACCATGAAATATGGTAGATGGCCATAAATTATGCCAAGCATTTTTAACGTATCTGGAGGCACATCCTCCCAACGCGCATTAACTTGCATGAGTACAAAAGCAACAAAGCATAAAAAAAAAGTTTGTGGCTTTGAGGTCCGGATTATAGATCATTCCTGATAATGGACATCTGGATTACGGACTTTGTACTGTATTATCAATACTCTTCATAAAGGATGAGAATATTCTGGAATTATTGGTAGTCATCTCAGAGAGTCTTTACTCTAGTTTTAAATTTTAAAGGGGTTTGGTTTCATATTCTCTGATTCATCGAAGACCAAAATTGCCATAGTCAGAAATTCTGCCTTATTTAATTCACTCAAAAATTGCAATAATGGCTTTACAAGAGACATTTAATTGTCCAATATGCACATACACACACAAATCCCATGCAGTATGAGAGTAATGCGAGTACTTGATTTTAAAGAAAAATGAAGGGGGATTTAAAATTACACTATGTTAATTAAATATTAATGCAAAAATTAAAAAAGAATTATGAGATGTTGGAATTTTGAGATTTGCTTCAGGTGTTAAAAATCTGTTTGCATTTTGCAATAATTTTTTTCAGTAGCTCTGTATTGACAGATTTTGATCGATATTGTGCAGGTAACACTTAATTTAACTTGTGTATTATTTTACATAAAACATGGTGGATTAGACTGTATTATGTTTCAGAATTATTTTATTAACTGCATAACCACTACATGCTTCATAAAAGAAATGTATGCTTTCATATCAAATAGTAAAGCAGACTTTTAAAACTGCATTTATATTACTAGGTTTATAAGGAATTAAAAAATATTCAGTGCACTGTTGTAGTGTAGTGATCAGTATACCAATCCAGTAATTTGAAGACCAACATACCATGCTATTGAGAGGGTCAGATATTGAATATTTCATGATATACTACTGTAAACTTCTATGTTCCTTCAGGTTCACATATTTTCTTCCTTGTGAACATTTAATGTGTCTTCAGGTTTATATATTTTCTTAATATGAACAGTAATATAATTATTAAGTCAGCTAACTTTTGCACAGATTTCAAATATAGAAATATCTTCGCTGGTAACCTTTTACGCCTCATTTTCAAAACACGTTGCAGCCATTTCTTACCAGATTGATTGTTTCTTTCAGTACTGACATACAATTACATAGAATATTTACAAAGACAATTAAATTTTATGCCCTAAGGCCATTCGTGGTAATTAAGTCAATTAGAATGCAATCACACTGCTCACCTGAAGGGGAAAGTATAGAAAAGGCAAAATCAAGGGTTAAATTCGTCAATTCTAATGAGAATGCACTAGCGAAGTAAAGCACTGCGGTTTTACATAATGTCTGAGTAAGCTATTCGAACGAATTGAAATAATTCTTGCATTTAAACTTGGGTTTAATCTTAGTATCCGGTGCACACGGGATTTGGCTACTTTTGGCGACTTTATGATGAGCAGTAAAAACGGGACATATACGATGAGTAGTAAACGGGTCATTCAAAGAATATATATAGTTAAATATAATATAACAAGCAAGGTAGTTATTACAATACTGAATGACCAATTTGGTCTAGATAACATTTTACGCAATATGCTGCAAAATAAGTAAATCAGAAATTGTAGTAAGTTTGCCTAAAAGTTACCAGGAGCTGTTGCTCCAAAAAGTTCAACACGTTTTAAAAAAAAGTTATAGTTAAATATAATATATATTATGTATATACGCACATAGTATATAGTGTATAGTATATAGACGTCCTTTGGATCATTTTTGGTGTTGGCAATAATTTTCAAAATTGCGCCAAGGCTGCACCGTATACTAGGATTTTACCTAAACTTGTACTCCAAATTAAGATTTAACTTGAAATTAATGTAGATAATTACTGAGAGAACTATATTTTTGTAGCATAGTTTACGTGAGATGAGATCACTTGGGGTCAGGTGGTACGGACTAACGAATCAGGATTTTGAACCATGATATAGTAAATTCTTAAATTAATATCTTTTTACAAATTTATTGTCTTTATTTATTGGTTTTTTACAAAATTTTAAACCATATTAGAATGTTTATGCCTTCAAAATAAAAAATTCTTAGAACTAGCATTTGTTAACATGTTTTATGTGTATACTGTATGTTAACAAAGTCTGCTTGGCGAGATTTGCAGCGGCGAAACGGAAAAAAACCAAAATTACATATGGCAATAGATATACTTGGAATATGTTCTAAGTTTTAACCATATGAGTTTCTAAAGAGGAATTGTATGATTGTTTTGATAATGAGTATTGTGTAAAACTAGCAAATGTGGAAATGAAGATATAAGTTTTTATTTTTTTAATTTTTTCATATATCTATCCTGCTTGTGTGAAATAAATTGCATTTTTTTAAAAATTGTTATTGTTTTTTTTTAAATCTTTTACTCTGAGTGTATACATGTTTCATATTTAGAAATTTTGTTTATTTCCATATTTAAAATTTTGCATAGGAGATTTTGTAGTGTTATGGAAAAAGGGTAAAAGTTTGCTATTTGCTGGAGAACTGCGAATCGTACGAGATGACCGAATAAAGTTAAATAAGACTTCGTTAGTAGTAACTTCTGTTCTGCCAAAAGATAGTGGAGAATATGCCTGTCAAATAAGTACCAGTCCACCATTGGAACTTGCTCATAATTTGGATGTTCTTTGTAAGTACCACATTAAAAATGTTTCTTGCTATATGTTAATCCTTCTAGGTTTAAAAAAAAATGAAATATATCAATTGCTGTGGAAACTATTATTACATTTCTGTTTTCATAGCAACTAAAAATTTGAGTTGCTTCTGATGTATCATTTCACAAATTTCAATTTGTGTATTTAACAAATAACAAATCTTTATAAAAATATCACAACAGTGTGTTATTACTTATTTATTCATTTAATTAATGAATTTATCGTTTCTTTGTTGATTTTATTTGGTACAAATATATTAAGAATGAAAATATCTAGAAGTAAGGCTCTATTTTAAAAAATTAATATTGAAAAGCATTTTACAAATTTAAATTTGTTTAAAAGTATAACTTTCATTTTCTTAAAAAATATTGATTCTGTGTTTTAAATTTTTGATATATCTGTGTGATTAACATTCACAAATTTAAAAATTATAACTTTTATTTTACTAAAATCATTGCTTTCTAGTCTACTGTTTATTGTGCTTCAACTGCTTATCTTGGTAAATGCTTTTGGTAAATAAGATTTATCAGTCGTATCATTATTACACTTTTAATATTTGGCACTGTGATGATAATAGCTTTTTATGATAAATATAACTTTGTATGTAAGAGTTCATATTTTTAAAATTCATTAGAAGATTTATTAGAAAAGTTTAAATTGCAGTTGCAAATTGATTTTAGAAAAACTAAGCATTTTGCTTATGTTTTAATTAAGGTTTTTAAAAATTAATCCTGAGATTATAAGGTTTACCAGGAAATTCTATAAGCCATGCTTAGGACAGCCATCTTTGATGGATGATGATTTTCAAGACCAGGCTGCAACAAGATCCTTTATTGACAATAGCAGCGATTGGTGGGAACTTAACTCAGCTCAACAAACCATCTTGGACCATATTCATAAATTGGAGATTGGTTTATAAATATTCCAAATGTGTCATGGTTTAAGTGAGAAAAATTTGCATGATCAAGTAGTCAAATGCACATCTCTGCTTCCTCGGAACAAAACAGAACTATCTTCTATTGGATGATGAAGTGGCTTACCTATGAAAATATCATCATGAAAACAGCATACTGTGAGCTGGATAACCTGCCACCTCCACCTCTAAACCATACTTGAGCTTCAGTAGTGTAACTAGGGTGGGGCTAAGCAGGACACAGCATCCAGGGGCTGCAAAATTGATGCTATGAAATTCTAGAATGAAATATTTTCCATTCTTGGCACATAAAACAGAGTGCTAAATCTTTAGTTGTCCCTAGGTGCTAAAAACCCTAACTACGGCATTGCTGAGCTTGAATAAGAGAAATCTGTGTATAAAACATAGCGCTAAATCTTCAGTTGTCCCCAGGTGCTAAAAACCCTAACCAGCACTGTTGAGCTTGAATAAGAGAATGCTGTGTATATGGTCGAATATCCAAGGACCAATAAATTAGAAGCTTCTGAAACCTAGTGAAAAGATCAATTCAGAGAGATACTGACAGCAAATGGATGATTTAAACAAAGCTGTCAAAGAAAAGAGGCTGGCAATATTCAGTAGGAAGGGCATCATACTGTTTCATAATGTCATACCACAAGTTGGTTAGGTAACTCATCAGAAAATCGGCAAATTGGTTGGCAAATTCTGCCCCATTCATTGTATTCTCTAGATTAAGAACCTTTGATTACCATATTCCCCAGATTAAGAACCTTCAATTATCACTTGTTTTTCTACTTGCAATTTGGACTGAAGGGGAAAAATTCAAAACTGAAGCAGATGTCAGCACTTGAATTCTTTGCCTGTATGATAAGACATTTTTCAAAAATGATATTTACGAATAACCACCATGTTGGTAAGATGGAAATTATATTGTACAATAAATATTATTAAAAGTATAACAAATTTATTATTTTCTTTCACTTCCCAAATGGACAGAATTTTCCAATAGATCTTATATTTAAGGAACTTCCATCTGAAGTAAAATTTGCATGATACTTTTACTTGCATTTCTGCATATATTATTTAAAAAATTTTAAATTGCAGAAATGGTTTGGGTTAGTTTTTGCATTTAAAATTATTCCTTAGGTGACCATTTAATATAAAAATATTAGCTAACCATTAGTTATTAAAAAATTTAACAAAACTTGCTTTCTTTCTAATTGCTAACTGGTAGAGAGACCTATTTATCAAGAGGATGTAAGTAAATATGTACATCGAAGAGCCGTTACATTATGACCACCCTGTTAATAACATGCAGGACCACCTTGAGCTCTCAAAACTGCCTGCACTTGGCATGGCATTGACTCCAAAGGTGATGATACGTAGTCTGAGGTATCTGGTACCCAATGCTCACCAACTGGTCCTGCAATTCCCGTGCATTGTGAGGAGGGTAGCGTGGCAGCACGAATTTAGTTTTCTGGTGGGACCACAAATGCTCTATTGCAGCGATTCTCAACCAGTGGTACACGTACAACTGGTAGTATGCAAGAGAAAATAGGTGGTATGCAGAGAAAAAAAAATTATTTTAACTATTAAGTTTAAAAATCTCATGAAGAGAAAGAACAGTTGATGAAAATTTCCTGTGATCGAACTCTGAAGATTTCAAAAATAACACTTGTTAACTTTAAGCTGAACTGAAAAAAAGAATTTAAAGGCATCTCAAATAAAGCTATTAAATATTTATGCAATCTATTTGTGGGACAAGGATTTTCTTCCATGTTTTATTTGAAAAATAAATACAGAGCAAAATTAAAAGTGGATCCTAATTTAAGGTTAAAGCAGTGGCGTAGCTAGGGTGGGGCAAGGGAGGACATCTGTCCACGGGCGCAGCATCCAAGGGGCACCAAATTTGTCCTACGAATTTTTTTAATGAAACGTTTTCCATTCTTGGCACACAGAAAGGGGCACAAATTCTTCATTTGTCCTCGGGCGCTGGATATTCTAGCTACGCCCCTGGGTTAAAGCTAAGTGAAATAAGGCCAGACATTGATTGTTTAAGAGAGAAATTGATCTCTCTTAAACAGACCGAAATTTCACACTAAATTTTAGAATTTAAGTATTGTAACTTAAAGTTTGATAATTAAAATGGTAAGCAATTTTTAATCTAACATTTTTTATGTGGGCATATTTAATACAAACAGCCAACAAGTTAAGTTGTGTGCAAAGTTAAGTTGTGCAAATGGCAAAATATATACAGTTCAATGTCCGTAATCCGGACGTCCATTATCCGGAATGATCTATAATCCGGACCTCAAAGCCGCAAACTTTACGCATGTGCATAATGTATGCTTTACGCATGCACATGTTGAAAGAAATGTTTAATAAAGTAAACAAATAAATATTAAGCTTTTATTTTTGTAAATTTTGATGCCCTTTAGATCATAACTGCTCGTTATTTCATAAATTATGGTTTCATATTTTTAATTGTATAATTTCTGGATGCCATCTTACCAGATTTAAATTGATGATCTATATCCGGAAAAACCCTTAATCTGGAATCGATGAAGTCCCGACGAGACCAGATTTGTACTGTATTATGTAATATATTTCTCTTCAGAAATTAAAAAATAATCATTGTAAAATGTAGTGGTGGTACTAAAGTTCTTCAATTTTTTGTGTAGATGGTACGCATTAGTCAAAAAGTTGAGAACCACTGCTCTATTGGATTAATGTCAGGTGAATTTGGAGGCCAAGACATAACTTTAAAGTTGCAGGAATGTTTCTCAAACTTCTCCCTAACAAATCAACCCTTATGACATGGTGCATTATCTTGTTGGTAAACACCGTATCCCCCGCTGGAAATATTGTTTTCATGAATGGGTGAAATTGGTCTGCAACGATATTCACATAGCATAAAGATGTCAGAGATTGTTCTATGGAGATTATGTGTCTTAATGTGCTCCATGAAAACATTGCCCACATGATAATACCCCTGCCACCGGCTTGTCTCCGTCCAACTGTGCATCCAGGAGCCAGAGTTTCATTTGGAAATTGGTGTATTGGCACATGCCCATCGATGTGATGGTCCAGAAAATGTGATTCGTTGGACCGTGCAACTTTTTACCTTTCCTCTAATGTCCAGTTCCGATGTGTCTTAGCTCACTGCAGATGGAACTGGCAATGATGTGCTGTCAGTGCAAGGATGTGCTTTGCCTCCGGTTGCATAGGCCCATACGCAGCAATGTACGTTGCACAGTGTGTTGAGAAACACTGTCTAGGTTGCCATTGTTGTAGCTTGTGGTGATTTCGGCTGTTGTAGCTCTTCAGTCACTGCAAACAATGTGTAGCAATCTCCACTCTCTTCTGGAATCAATGCGCCGTTGACAACACACTGCTGGCCAGTGACTTGTCATTTCACCATCCGCACACCACTTTTGATATGTGCTCACAGCAGCTGTATGTTAATGGCCCACTAAACACACCATTTCTAATAATGATGTTCCCAGTCACTGAGCCATAATGATTTGACTTTTATCAAAGTCTGATAAATTAGCTGCTTTTACCATTATGTCGCTAATCATGCTATGTTTGGAAAGAGTTTGAAGTTCCACTTATGCGTTATTAGCATGCGTATTTGCATGCTGTGTTCGGGCCATTTTCAGTTAAATGCTATATTGAGCACTTGAAATGATGACATGCTTGAGCTGGGCGGTGTAGGATGGCTGTAGTGGAGAAGGTCTGTGACCAAGTCATGTGAACATCAAGATGACATCTGATTGGTGCTAAACATTTTGTCTGAAAATATGGCATAAATACAAAATACAGGAGAAAATAACAAAAATAATACATAATAAATTCGTAGAAAGTCTTCTGGGTTAAATATGCAATATATACATATGTATATTATTTCAGGAAAGCTAATATTTGCTGGAAAAATAGCAATAACTCATTATGTACTGGTCACATGGAAGGCCACCTTTCCAAGTGCAAGCTCTGCAGATGCTGCTTCGTTTTGTACTTAGAGTTTGTACATCAAACAATATAAATTAAATTAATAGCAGTTAGGTCAGAAAATTCTGATTGCTATTCAAAATGAAGGCAGTAAAAGAATGGAGATGTCTGTTCTTCTCCAATATTTTATTGCGAAATAGATTGAATAAATTCATATGTTCACATTCTTTAGCTTTCCTGAAGAATATGTCATATTGAGTGATTCAGTTTTCAAGTTCTTGTGGAGCAATTCATTCCATGAGAAAACGACTTTGCACTACTTGAAGTTTATTTAAGTCAGTCTTTGTGGCCTAGGCTGGGGATGCATATGTCATTATTGGTCTCAGAACTGAAAAGTAAATCAGTCTCTTTTTCAACAAATCAAGCTTGGACAAACATCCTAATATCGGGTAGAGGCATTTCATTACACATAATGCTTTGTTTCTCACATTATTGATGTGATTCGTCCATATCAGCTTGCTGTTCAGGATAATTCCTAGATACTTAGCATGAGTTGCTGATGGAATATGTTCATTGAAAAGCGTAAGTTACTTCTTGAGTTTAACATTCTTTTTCTTCATTCTGATGATCAGGAGTTGCGATTCTGAGGCATTTATTTGCACTTTCCAATTTTTACACCAATCCTTGACAAAAGGTATGTGATCTTGGAGCTTTTTGACTGCATGATTAACAGTTTGGAAAGACTTAATATTATCACCAAGCAATTACAAGATACAACACTGCTGGTTCATGAAGTGTTGCCCAAAGGCACATAACGTAATGAGCACCAGATGTGGAGACGGAGGAGAAATTGGATGCAAGGTAGAAAGTTTTGAAAGACAATGTATAGCTGCTTTATATACTCCAACATCAGCCACACACATGCAGTGGTTTTGTTCCTGGGTGAGCCCATTGTTACAGATGTTACAGACATTACATAATGTAATATCTCTTCGGTATAAATTATTCTTATTGTATTGTAGATCTAAGCATTAGGCGTGAAGAAATTGAACATTTGTCAACAAATATTTGAATAACATTTTCCCCCTTAACCCAGTGCTCACAGTGTAATCAGCTTGTAGAAATGAAATTTTTTTCTGAAATTATTCTTATAAAAATCACACAAATTTCTTATAGTTTAAATTTCTCCTATCATAAATAGTGAAGGAGAGAGATGTCATGGTATGATATGTATAGAAATATTTCAAAAAATATTTTTGAATGAAGAGGTATTTAGTACATTTTAAGAAATTCAATGACAAGCTATTAAAATTAAATAACTTTAGCTTCTAAAATTTTGATTAACCCTCCTCATTTTAATGAAATATTTAAGAAAAGTTTGTGTCATGCAGATACTTTGCAGGTGCATCTGATGATTTGTCTGAGTCTTCTTTAATCATATTTAAATCTAATTACACACACACACACACACACACACACACACACACACACACACACTACTAAAAAAATGGGCCTATTTCCTGCCTTTAGACTGTCTATTAGCTCTTGGACAGTGAAAATGCTTTTTTCCTTTCTTAAATTCTTAATCATTGCGACACGACAATTAGCCAGAAATTAATTAATTTCCATTCACTAGTATTTTCAAAAAAATCTTAACAGATGGTGTCTCTCAGATAAGAACTCCACAAAATACATCCCTCAAGAATTCCAAGTCCCACCCACTACCATAAATTGCTTCAAGTTTTACCGACTGATATTATTCAAAGCCCCTACTGCCGTTAAGAATTTTCGGACACCCTACACTTCTGAGTCAGACACGAAGAGAACACTTTGCCAACTCCCCCACTAGAAAGAATGTAAGTTACTTAATACCTTTTCTGGCCTTTATATCTTCCTGTACATTCACTGTTCTTATTATATATTATTTTCTATATTATTTTTATATTGTCTTTGATTTGTTTTTACAAATTTTGCATTATTTATCTTTTTTTATAATCTTCTATGTTTATTTCAACTTTACTTTGAATTCGATTTCATAATGACAATTTCCAATGTTTAATTTCTACAAATAATATGGTACTCAAATGCATAAACATGAAAGTGTCGGGGACGATTACTCGAGTTTTACAAGGATTTCTCTACAGTAATTGATTTTTACTCCAAATTGAATTGACTAAAATGCTTCATAAGAATAAGTTCTTTGAATATCAGCATTGGTTCATAATTCCTTCTATTCGCGGAAATATTTGGCCTGACTAGAATTGCCGGTTTGCCTTTAACTTATAACTCGAGTAAAGACGAAACACTTTCGTATTTACGTATTTTTATCAATTATTGTTCATTGAACGGGAGTTGGTTTGTTCCCCTTGAAAAGTCAACTAATTTCCGATCAATGACAATGATTACATGTTTTAATTTTTCCTTTTACAATTGAAATTTTATTCTTCATGATGATTTAACTCCAGTCCCCGTTAAAACATTATTAACATTTTGCTTTCAAATTACTTCAAAACATCTTTCAAAATATAACTTACCAGTATGGATGCACACGCTTTTAAAATAATTCTACTTTAATTAAACTTAGGAGATAATATAATCAATTAATCAATACTGTTTAGGAAATAAATTATATATATATATATTTAAAATATTCTATTCGTAAGCATAAACAAATTAAAATTTAATTAAGAAATTTTAATTGCAAAGAAATAAAATTAAAAATAATTATTATTGTTGTGAACTAATTTACAGTTTCATTTAAATTCTAAGAGCATTTGTAAATTAATTGCACTTATCTAAAACCATGAAAAAATGTATTATTCTAAAAAATTAAATTTATTATTCCTAAAATTGTTGAGTAGGCAGGAGACAGACTTATCAAGGAGAAGTTGCTCCCATACCTAACTCTTCAATAACTCAATTCGTGTATTGTCATCCATATAAGCAAGGGTAAAAGTAAAATTCAAAACCAAAAGTTAATAAAAACAACAATTATGGAATGATTAGAACAAAAATAATAAATTCTGACACACTATATCTGTGAATGATGATACTATTCTTAATAATGATGTTGGTGTATGATGGTTAAACTGCTATTTGTTTGGCTTTATTGACTTAAGCTGATTCACGAAGAACTAGATGCAGTTGAGTAATTTGAATATTTTTTATTCTTGATAAAAAAATATTGATAGAAACATAGCTAAACTGATGCAAAAAGCATGCCTTTTCTTGAATTCTTGGACTGAATTGTCTTGGACTTTTGCACTTTGGGGAATTTTACATCTTTGAGAATATAGGAAGAAAGAAGGAGCAACATTAGACAGAACATTTGTGCTTCAGAAAAGCAATGCGTCTAAGAAGAAAACATGGTTCAGAATCATTTAGTTTTGATTTAGCTTTATCCTCGTTGGTTTTTAAAAGTTTCAGTACTGTAATTTGAAATTATTATTGACTTAAACATTATGTAAGTATCTGGGTCATTAATCTTATGTAAAAGTTCTGTCACAAGGATTAATTTTGAAATGACCACTTTAGAGTGATTTATTATAAGCAGTTACTACTTTTATAGTGGAAAGGGGAAGCAGCCAAATTAAAATGAAAAGCTAACAGGTTATTTTAAGTTAGAGTTACATTTTTTTTTCTTTTCTCTTTCTTTCTTTATATATATAATAAATTTCAGTATTAATATACTCAAAGCTAGTTATTGGCATTATATGAAGAAAGTAAACATGAGGCATAAATTTGGCAATTAATTTTGGAATTAAATGTAAATTATAACATGATCAAAACAACTACAGAATGTTGATAATCCTTTTGGTCTTTATCAAGGAACTGATAAAATAATAATCAATATATATAAGTATCATAATAATGTGATCATACCTAATGTATATATGTAATTATAATAATATGATTCAAACAGGTAGAAGCCTTGCTTATTGAAATACTAAACTAAATATAATAAATAAACTTAGCCAAAAAGTAGTCATTTAAAAAATATGTTAATCAATTACCCCTTTTTTTGTTATTGAAAGGTAAGTGCATTTTTTGTAACTTAAATAAGTAATATAGTATACGTATAAAAATATTTGCCTTTGGTGCAAACGGCCATTATTGGATTATGCCAATTAAAATTTGAACTGTTGTAAAAAAATGTCTCTGAGAGTGAATAAACTACCCAAAACAGTAGGAAAACAATATTGAATTAACTATTCTTATAGTTAATTCAGAAGCTAAACTGATGCAAAAAGCATGCTTTCTCTTTAGTCTTGCAGTGTATTCAAATGAATTTTTTACCTTTTAAGATAGTGGAAGGAAGTCATTAAAATACTATTTACTTGAATCATGAAATAAAAATTTTAACTTCTTGTTATGTAATCCTTTAATTATATCCTTTTTTTATTTAAACAAAAAGTAAACTTAAGATGAAAGTTTTGAATTTTTTTTTTTTTTTTAAGTGCATATAACATTGATAAGTTCAAATAACATTGTTGTTTAAAATAGTGTACATTAAAATAAGCTGTATTTTTTATGTAGCCATTAGTTATCTAAAATAGAATGTTAGCTGAAATTGTTTCATTCTAATTAGTTTTGATAAACAGGATTCTTTTATATCTAGTTTTTAAGCGTCATAATTCTGAGACAGCATAAAATTTTAATAGCAGATTTCATTCAGAATTATCTTGGTTATTGAATAAATGATTTTCTAGCTATAATCAACATTATAAATTTAAAACGGAATTTCACTTTGACATAAATGTACAACTAGGTTATTTAAATTTTATGGTTTAAAATACTTGAGCATATATGTGTATCGCTTGCAAACATATCATTTCTAAATGTAACTGATAAAATTATTCCAGTAGTGTTGTACCTTTTTAGAGATCAATTACTAATACACTATGAAAATAAATTAAAAATTAAGATAAATTTTATATCTGAAAAAATATTTTCCTAGTATCATCATTTAATGAAATTTTCTGTTTTGCTTTCATACTAGATCCACCATCTGTCAAACCCCGTCCACGAGATGGATTAGTGACAGTGAAAGAAGGTGAAACTGTCACTTTATCCTGTGAAGCAACAGGAAACCCTCAACCAGTTATAACTTGGAAACATTCTGTAAGTATATGCGAAAAATTTCTATTAATTTAAAAGTGAAGATTAAATAAAAATTCTAGTACAGTCAAAAGTCGTTAATTCGGACACCCATAATCCGGACCTCAAAGCTACAAACTTTCTGCGCATGCATCGCATCACATGCGCATTTTTAATTTTATAATTTCTGCATGCTATCTTACTAGATTTAAACTGATGATCTATAATCTGGAAAAATCGATAATCCGGAATCGCCGAAGTCCCGACGAGTCCGAATTAACGACTTTTGACTGTATGACGCAGTGCTTCCCAGTTTATCACTGGATGCATATGAAGAAGTAATTCACCACTAATCAGCGAGAAATACATATTTCTTGAAATAATTAGTTTATAATAAGTAAGTGTACATTGTAATAAAAAACGAAGAGAAAATTTTTTTTTTAGAAAATTTTGATTAACCCCCTGTTCTTAATTACGCTATATTTGAAATAATAAAGGTATCTGATGTACAGTTTGCATGCAAATAAGGGTGCATTTAAATATTAAGAGTGCGTTTACGCAGTATTTAAATTGAAAATCTGTAATAAAATAATTCATTTGAAATCCACAAAAATATTGTTTTCTTCGCTCCTCTACGTTAATTTAAAGAGATCTTTCATAGTTTAATAAATGCCACTTTATTTTTAATATACAAGAAAAAGTAAAAATAATAAGACCAGAAATATAATTTTTTATTAGAAATTAATTTTTATTTCAAATTATTGTTAAACCTGGAAAGCAAATTTTTAAACCTAAACAAAAGAGAGTGTATCTGAAATATGTTGAATTGATTAAAAAAAACTGACTGTATAAACAGATTTATTTCCCACATATCTATGACCAATTTCCAAATGCATAAAAAATTTTTTAAAATTATTTTTGGAAAAGTATTTAAACCTGTTGTATGAAAAAATATACCTGAAATTTTAAGTATATAAATAAAATAAAAATATGACCTGACCGTATACCAAAACAGACAATAATAGACAATTTTGTTACTTAATTTATAAATCAATATATCAGGTTAAATATTTAGTGACAATTCAACACAGTTTAAACTTAAACGTGATGCATACAGGTGGTGTTATGAAGAACCATGAGATAGATAAATCCTGCTAACATAGAGAAAATAATAAACACGGTGACACGGTAAGGGGGTTGAGTGGATTATGGATGATATGAAATTACTCTTCAGCTAGGAGATATGCAGGTAGATATACAGTCAAAAGTTGTTAATTCGGACACCCATAATCCCGAATGATCTATAATCCGGACCTCAAAGCTACAAACTTTCTGCGCATGCGTTGCGTTGACGAATGCGCGTAAGACCTTTACAGCTGCGAATATGCATGTGCGCATGCACATAATATGTTAACGCATGCTCGTTTAATGTATAACGGACGGTATAACCTAAGCTAAAATTATCTAATTCAGTTAATGTTGCAGATTGCGTTGTTCCTTAATCTTCGAATTAGATTCGGCTTATTATTTTTTGCAGACTGTTAGAGCAATTTTATAAAAGTAAGCTTGAACTTTCGATTATGTCAAATAGAATTTCCGATATATTTTTACTAATATGTAAAGGATCTACAAAGGGAAAGTATGTTTCAAAGTCCATTAAACAAAAAAGTGGAATTGTTGCAAAAAATGGATAAAGGCAAAATGGTCCTTTGTTTATCTAACCATTCCGAAATGTGTTTATCAATTTCACACTGCTCTGCGGCGGGGGGGGAGACGCCGCGGTGCGCAATGAATTGGAAGTTGATCTGTCAGCACTATCCTATCAGGGCAGATGTTTTTATTTTATTTGGCTTATAATTCCTTACTAAATGTAGTATTTCATCTCGATGTACTCCGTCTTTGATATGATTTAAATCAAATTCCTCGTCATTATAATTCGCTTCCGATAGTGAAGAAAGTGACACAGAGGTTATTGAAAATGAAAAAATTTCGATTGACAAATTAGTCGGTATTCTCGACACAGCAATTATAGGACTTGAGCAGCGGAACTTTGTAATTGAACAAGAAATTATGTCTGTTTATAGAATTAAAGAGAAAGTATTATCACATAAAATGAAGCAACTTAAACAACTTACATTGAAAGAAATGTTTAATAAAGTAAACAAATAAATATTAAGCTTTTTTTTTTTTTTTTTTTTTTTTAATTTTGATACTCTTTAGATAATAGTTGTTCTTTATTTCATAAATTACAGCTTCATATTTTTAATTTTATAATTTCTGCATGCCATCTTACCAGATTTAAACTGATGATCTATAATCCGGAAAAATCGATAATCCGGAATCGCCGAAGTCCTGACGAGTCCGGATTAACGACTTTTGACTGTATATAGATAATGATTAACTTTTAATATATGTATTCTTTTATTTCTGTTTTTAGTGCCATGTTGTGAAGTTTTTGATTCACCTATTTGATTATATGGCATCTTGTCACATTTAGGGCTTTTAAAAATATTCATGAAACCTGCAATTTTTTTAATATAGTAGTAAAGTACCATTAACCCTGCGGAAGGCACATCAAGAAAAGTTACTAATGTGGGCATGTGGGGTATCACATACCCCAATATTTAAAATACAGTAAAAAGTAATTTTATTTCATTGTAAGGCTTTATTTTCTTTCATAACACATGAATAATACTTGGGTTACAAGAAATTAATTTCCAAAATAAGCTTATAGGGAGTTAAAATTAAGATAAATGAAAATAATAATAAAATAAAAATCATTTCCTTGGTCTTATTGCATCTCTAATACACAATCCTTATTTTATCTGTTTACACTTTGAATAAAATACATTCATGTGTTCTTGGCAGAGTTCTCATTTTAAACATCGCATTTGCGTTCTTCTGTCCCTGGCTCGAGAGCAAATTCATCACATCTTTTATACTTAGTTGTTTCGAATTTCATATATTCGTTTGAATTATTCATCGAAACTTCTACTCTTTTGCATGCAGTACGTAAGTCTCTCGATAAAGTATTAATCTTTGATTCATTGTTCAGTACTTTTTTTTATTAACTGTAATGCTATGGCCCTCAAAAACAGACATCTGCTTCAGTATCTGGTTGGTGGGGTATCAGTTAAAAGTATTATAATTCGAAAATCATTTGCAGCAACCTTTAGTGCAGAAAACAAAATTAGCATTGACCACCTCCTTTTTATTCTGGCAATTGAAAAACTTGCTGCTATTTCATCCACAGTGTTCACTGCTACCTTAGTCATATTATAAAAACATATAATTTCTGGCATTTTCTTTTCTCCAGTAGTGTCATCTAAAGCATCATCGTTATGTAATGTGAAAGCATTAGAACAGTTTTTCCTCTTTTTTTAGGAACATGAGAAATTCATGTTTGTTTTTTTCGAAACCTAAACAGTGTAGAAAATATTCCTATCTTGATTTTCAATTTCCGAAATGCAGTCTTCATCACTTTCAACTATTTCTAATAATTCTCACAGTAATTCATCTGCAATTCCATCTCCATTTGCCATAATAAGATCAGAAATCTTTAAATATATAATTTTAAACACTTTGAAATCGTTTACGAGTGGAAATATTTACTGTTTCACTCTAGAAATAAATATTCAGCCACAAAAGCACTTACACGGACAGGCGCGAGGTGTGTGTTATACCCCAGTTGCGACAAAATACCGATAAATCTTTTTCTGAAACACACAGGCAACGCAAAAGCGGTTCTGAAAGTCAACCACTGCTAGAAACTCAGCTACTGAATGCAGCACAGAATTACAGTTTCACAAGTTAGGAATATTCTACTTTTTTGTAGAGGTGGGGTATGATACACCCCACGTGCTTTCCCGTGGGTTAACCAGTTCACGATGGGCATCTCTGTTACCGAAGCGCTGTCTTGGGATACGTTAACCGGATGCGTCATCTTGTGGGGACAGGCAATTCGCGCTGCAAAGCCTAACTTTGTTTTTGGAACTTTGGAAAAAATTTTTTATAAATTAATTTTTTTATCCAATTGTTCCAATTTTTGGTACATTATACGAAGAACATTCAGGTAGTTGTCAGAATTAATTCTAAAGCTTTATTATTATATTTTCCTTAAAAATTTTATAAAATACTCAGTCTAGAATAATATAATTTTCCCCTTATCCCACAAATAAATATATATGGAAAAATTTCCACACAATCGCAGATTTTATTTAACACAACACATAATTAAAATTAAAAAAATATTAAAACTGTCTTTCATAAAAATTCAACGTGCAAACAACGAAAGGGAAGCAATATTTCAAAAAAGAGACAGTGTATGATATTCTTTGAAACATGGGTGTACGCAAAGTACAACGTTGCATACAGTGGCTCCCAAAAGTGTTCGTACACTTATGATTTTCATTGAAATAGGACTCTATCCATTAACTAAAAGTAAATTTTCTGAACTAGATTTTAATAATAAGATCTATAATCTATTTGTAACAAAATTACATGAAATATTTTTTTATATATAGCGAAACTTTATTTTTAAGAAATTAATAATCAAAAAATGACGAACATTTTATCTCACAAAAGTTTTCATACACTGAAATATTTGGATAAAATCAAAATTAGAATTACCGTTTGCCGCTTTTTTAAATTTTTGCATTGCGGTGGCATTTAAAAAATCGTTTGCTTTAATTTTTTATTGTTTACTTCATAATATTCTATTTATTATTGAAAAATGGGACACAGTTGTAAAGAAATTTCAAACAAATTTTATATGTGGTTTCATAAGTCTCTGGGGGTACGGGGCAGATTTTAAAATATTCTAGTTACTTGAGCTATCCAGTTAGTAGCATGTTGGATAGTGAAATTTTCATTGTATTACTAAAAGCAACAGCTTCTGTTATATTTATGATGAGTGGAATTGTACAAGTAATAGAAATGATAAAAATTTAATTTTGTTTAGGGCCGCAATTATGATAGCTATGATGGAGACAGTTACCATATAAGTAGTGCCCAAAAAAGTGATTCTGGAGAATATGAGTGTATTGCTGATAACAGGGTTGGAGATCCTGCATCAACAACAATTATAGTAGAAGTTGTGGGTAAGTATGAATAATATTTTATTAAGTATTTAGATGCAAATAAATTTTATCATTTAGCAAAGTTGGCATGGGGATTTATTGATGTAAAATGTATTAAGTTTTTCAGTTTAAATAATTTGTATCTTTTACATTTATGAAAATAATTTAACTTTTGAAATACTCCAGGTCTGCTAGATTTCTATATTTTAGTTGAATTCAGATTTTGAAAAAATATGAAATGGAATCTTTTTTAGTAATCGTATATAGAATATTAATTTCACATTATATGGATTTATTAGCTTAATGAAGGAAATCTTTTGTTTAGCTGCTCCAAAAGTGTATGCAGAACCAAAAAGTGGTCTAATAGTTGTAAAAGAAGGTGAAGAAATTTCAATCTCATGTGAAGCATCTGGAGACCCAACTCCAACTATTTCTTGGAAGAAACCTGTAAGTTAAAATGTTAAACTATCTGTAATGGCATGTTTTTAGAGAGGGGGAAATACCTTTTAATTCACATGATTAATATTATTTTGCAGTGGAGTTTTATTTTTCATACTCTAAATGCACTAAAAATGATGTTTTTGTAATGAAATTAAACTTTTTCTGCTGTATAAGTACAATGAAACCTTCGTTGAAATTCACTCATTTGACACAGTGGAGAAAAATAGTGTTTACACAAATCCAAAACCATGTTCTTCTGTTTATTAAACAATTCTTTTTCATTATATCTTCCTTTACAAGTAAACATACATTTTATATGGGGAAAATCTACTACAATCAAAAGTCTTTAATTCGGACTCGTCAGGAACTTCGGCGATTCTGGATTATTGGTTTTCCCGGATTATAGATCATCAATTTAAATCTGGTAAGATGGCATGCAGAAATTAAAAATATGAAACCATAGTTCATGAAATAAAGAGCAATTATGATCTAAAGGGTATCAAAATTTACAAAAAAAAAAAAAGCTTAATATTTATTTGTTTATTTTATGAAACATTTCTTTCAACGCGCACATGTGTAAAGCATACATTACGCATAGTCGAAATTAGAAAATTGCAACCAGAAAACTATTTGATGTATATTTGTGATATTTATAATGACGAGGAATTTGATTTAAATCATATCAAAGTACATCGAGATGAAATACTACATTTAGTAAGGAATTATTAAGCCAAATAAAATAAAAACATCTGCCCTGAAGATGAGGATAGTGTGACAGATCAACTTCCAGTTCATTGCGAGCTGCGACATCCCCCCCCTAGCAGAGCAGTGTGAAATTGATAAACAGATTTCGGAATGGTTAGAGAAACAAAGGATATGCCTTTATCCATTTTTTGCAGCAATTCCACTTTTTTGTTTGATGGACATCGAAACATGCTTTCGCTTTGTAGATCCTTTGGCAGCTCCAGAATCGGAAATTCTTTTTGACATAATCGAAAGTTCAAGCTTACTTTTATAAAATTGCTCTAACAGGCTGCAAAAAATAATAAGCCAGATCCAGTTGGAAGATTAAGAAACAACGCAATCTGCAACATTAACTGAAATAGATAATTAGATAATTTTAGCTTAGCTTATACCGTTCATTATACATTAAATGTGCATGGGTAAACATATATACATATGCGCATGCTTAAACGCATTATGCGTTTAGGCATGCGCAGAAAGTTTGTAGCTTTGATGTCCGGCTTATAGATCATTCCAGATTATGGACGTCCAGATTAAAGACTTTTGACTGTATAGTAAATATCAAATGGTTAACTGCAAAATGAGTGTGAAAGTAGACCTAAATTCATTATTAGTTTCTTTCATTTAAAATTTGCTCAGTACATAACATTTCTTAGAAAGTGCATAACCCTCCGAGTGTTACGGGTTTAGCCCTGAAATTTCAAAGTTCCTCAAAATGTCATGAATAAGTGGTATTTTCTTGATTTTAATTAAAAAATGACTCTCTGATTTTGAACCTTGATTCCTTTTCTTTCAATATACATCCAAACCGAAATCAGATACATTAAAAACTAGCAGAAATTTTCATGTATAATGAATATAGAAGGCAGCCTTCTACGTGGAATTTTCCGGCCGTAATGCTCAGAGGGATAAACTATCAAAAACAGAAACAACAATGATTCAAATAAATTATTTAAAAAATTAAGTATATTTTGAGTGAATTTTTGCTATTCTGCTAAGATATATATATATTTATATTTATTTAAAAATTTTTTCATCTAACAAGAGCTTCAATGGTCTGTTTCGGCGAAACGCGTAATGGTATTTGGCCTAATTCGACATTCAACCATTTTTCCCTTGAAAAGCCTGGTTGAGGTCCGATTGGGTTAATTTACCATTTTTCCGCTTTGTAATTATTGTAATTTTTGTAATTTTGCAATTTATGTTTTCATTATAATTTTTGCGATTTATGTTTTAATTATTTTTAATTTTATTTTGTTTTAACTTGTTCCGTCGATCTATTTTTATGCGTATTAACTTTTCACATATAACAAAGGTCAGATTAGTTTTTTCGTGCATTCACATGTTTTCCAACATTGATTTTAAACAGTTTATTTCGCGCGTAAGCAATTTTTTCTTTTTCTTTTTTCCATGTTAATAATTTTTTTAAAAAAATTTCTTCAATGTTAATATTTTGGTAATACTGCGTTGAACTATTTTGTGGAGCTACAGCTCCTAGTAACATTTTAGCAAGCTCGCTGCAATATTTCTACCTATTATTTCATATTTTTGCAGCATTTTGCGCAAAAACATTTTTGAGACACAATAGGTCTTACGTCTCATTACTTGTTAGCTTTTCAATTTCTGTTTTGATTATATATATAAATATATATATATTATTTTGTAAGAATTAATCATTTTCCCATTTTCTTATAACGTGATTAATACATTAAGCTGCAAACTGAAAAAAAAATGTGATTTGGATCTTAATAAGCTAATTCAGTTGATGTTTCATGTTTCTTGCACCAAGATACAAAACGGAAGTAAGAATAATGTGGTGCTGGACAAGAATACTTCTAATAAACTTTCACTGTGTGAAGAAAAATATCCATTGAGAACATGATGATGTATAATCCTCGAGTAAACAGTCTTGAGCAGGACATTGCTATTATAATTTCATAAGGTCACCAGCTGTGGAAACCACGGTTGTTTTCAGTTCCACATATTTTTATAATCAGATTGGTTCTGTGAGGTTCTTGTGTAAAAAAGAAAGGATACTAACACCATGAATCACATTTCACTAACAACTAAATAATTATAATTATTAATTATTGCTTTTGTTATTATAGAAACTAAATCACATGCTGGTTTTATAGCGTTGTCCAAAAAACAGAACATTCTCTAAATAATAGAATGCAGTTTGCCATGGAAAAAATTTAGTTCCAGATAGTGCTGCCATCTGTTGGGGAAAGAGGGAATGATTCCCTCATAAGTCTTCAGCGAACAGGTTATATGGGCTTTCATTTTGAGATTTTAGCCATGCTATTGGTGTAAGTGCTTTTGTCCATAACAACTGCCTGGCTACCTTTGTCAGCCTTTGAAATGATAACATCGGGGTTAAAATGAATTTCACACTATGTAGCTTTTTCTCTTGCATTTAGATATGAGTTCAAAAGTTTACTGTTAAAATTACGAGCGATAAGTCATTCTTTCTATGTGTCTGAAACTTTACAGAATTTGAAAGCTTTTTAGTAAAACTAAAATCTTTGGAATCAAAGGTTTTGAGATTTGTGAGAAGTTAAAGTTAACAAAAGAATTCTTTTTTGTTAATAAGGGTGTACTTTTAAACTATTTATTTATAGGCATAGAATATTATATGTTACAGAGAACTGAAATAGCAGCACAGTTCGATTTTTATATCTCCAAAAGTATTGCCAATTACAAGTTACTAAATATTAAATGTTGCCATTTACAAATTATTAAATATTACAGGTGTTTACAATAGAAAGATTTTCTTGAAATACTTAAATTGGAAATTGGAAATTGAAAATTGGAAAACTATATAAGGAGGTTTTTGGAATTTATATGCAAGTATCTTTTTATGACATTTAATCTTATTCTCGGTTTTGGACTAGGACTTTTGTTCAATGACAGTGAATTTCGGACACAAGTTAGCAAGTTCCAGTTGAAGTTTATACAGCTTAAATTCAGTTTTGCATAACTGTCAACTTGTGTCCCTTATGAAGGACCAGAGAGAGATTAGTTTGCTATTCAGGAGAACTTTTTGAAATGCACTTGGAAGGTTTGCGATTATGTTTAATCAGAATGAAATTGAGGATAATTTTTTTATGTTTATACTTTAATAAAATGTTAGAGTGATTTAGAAATTTCTGCTGTTTCATGCATAGTTTTGTGAAATAATTGATGTTTGAAAGCATGGTAAAAAATGAAGAATTATGATCAGAATTTACGTAACTTACCAATAGTAAAGACTAAAACATTAAAGCAAATTGACACTTAAAGTGTATAAAAAAAATTGGGAACAAGCACAGACTAAATCAAATAAGCCAAGTATTAAAGTGAAGCTCATATGGTGAAATTTTAACACAAGAGGATGGACAAGAAGTAAATGCTGACACAAAAGGATGTACACACCATGTGGAAGACAGTAGCAAAATATATATTCTCTATATAAGCTTGTTTAGAGCTAATTATATTTGAGTTAAAATACTATGCTGAATAATGATTATAACAGGAGTTAATGAAAAATTAACGTAATATTCATAAATTTGCAAGACTAGTTTCTCTTTTGTTGTTTGCACTTCTGCAGCTGGTTCTATGTTTAAACCTTTGAAACAGTTCCTGTAAATTTATGAATATTATGCTGATTCTTGTTGCTTTAAGTTCTCTGATAGAATTGTTCAAAATGGACGCAGGTTGCTTTTTTGCCTAATTTTAAATAGTTGAATAAAATTAAAAGCAAGCTGTTGGCTGATGTTTCCTGTCATTTGGCAATTTTTATAATACAATTTATCTTATTTTGGTGACTTCAATTTAAAATATATATATACATTCCATAATACTTTCATCATATTAACTGACTTGTTGATCACAATAAACAATGTTTTTCAATGTTTTCATATACAAACAAGCAGAAGTTTGGCAATTCGGTAACAATATGTGAATGACAACCTTAACCATAATCAGAATAAGCACAGTCAACTCTCTCTTTCTGTCTGACTGTCTCTCTCTATGTATACTAAGCAAAAACTAAATAAATATACTAAGTATTTAAAGGTATGACTTTTAAGTAGTTAAAAGGGAAGAAGACTAAATTTCAGGGGACTTGCAGAAAATGATATTATGCAATTTTGAAATTCACACTGCTATATGTATTTGCATTAAGAATTTATTAAAGAACAATTTATGTAATTATGCATTTTTAAACACTTCATAAAGAAAAGAATTATTATTTTCCTTTTAAGTCTAAATATATAAAATTTTACATAATTTAATATTCATTTAATATTAATATTCTCATAATGATATTTTCTGTAACATCACATTTGATTTGTAAGTATATTTTATAAGTGAATTTGTAGTCTGAGTTTTTATTATCTACAAAAAAATTTTGCATTACACAAGTAGTCATCAGAATAAAATGAATTCGTTTTATCATTCCCCTCACTTCCTTTTCAGGGTTCAGATAAACTTCAGCAAGTTCGAGAAAAGAACAGGATTGTGATATCAGAGGCAAACAGAAGCCATGCTGGTTCCTATGAATGCGTAGCCAGCAACTCCCTTGGAATCTCCACTTCAGCTATCATCAGAGTTCAAGTTTTATGTGAGCATTATTTTATGATTTGCTTTTTTAAATAAATTTTTTAAGGGCAACTGATGTTCATTTTATGCTACCATTTGTTTTTATTGATATAGATATAGATGATGTGAAGAATTTTTAGCAAGAAAAATAATATATTTATTTCCTGAAAACTTTACTTTGATCTGCTAAGTCTTTTATTAAAACTTGTATTTTAATTGTGAATTCCTATACATTAGTATTTTTTCAGGAAAAATGATTTCTTTTCAGAAAATAATTTTTGTAAGCTATTTTTTTGTTTTCTTTTGTTTATAAAGATTTATTTATGATATTATTAATGTCATTTCCCATATTTTTAGAAATAATAATAAGTGCTAGAAAAGTATAAAATGTTGTAGCAAATTACTTAACATTTTGCAAGTTATTTCCAAATAGGAAATATAATATTTCAGACAATTTTAGGAAAAGAGAAGGCACGTCAATTTTTTGATGCTTTGATTGCTCTAAAATTCATGTTTCAACTAGTTCAGATAGAATTATGAACTTTGCCTTTAGATTAAACATTCATTTCTGTAGAATATAAAATTTTAAAAAGTAAACTATGCTTAATTCAGTTTTAGATGGTTTTGTAAAAGATCTTTTTATTGTTAGATTAATAACTACTAGTCTAGCTTTACAATATGAAATGTGAATTTTTTTTTTGGAGGGGGGAGGATATCTGAATGATTTTTTTCTCTTTATTATGTGGTATGAAAAAAAGATTTCCAATAACTTTTGGCATGTATGACATATAATGTGTCTTGGGTAAGGCTAATTAAAGGTTCTAATAGAGCCATGTGATTAATAAAGCATTTGTTTTTCTCGAAATTACATATAGAACTTGAGAGAGAAGGCTAATTTGTTTGCTTGCTCTTTTCATGCCCTAAATATAATCTTGCAATTAAATCACATAAAAAGAATATAAGAATAAAAGAAAAATATAAAAGAATTATTTTGAGCTTTCTGCATTACTCCATGAATTTTCTGTTTGTGCAAAGTACCTCTCTATATCATGCCTAGATTCCAAAAATATGAACATTAGTACTAAAACCTTACAGTAATTTTGCCTTCTAGTTTTCAAAACCTCTGTATTACCTTAATGTACCTTGAAACAGTGCTGTGCTACAAAAAACATTGACAGTAATATCTTGCAATTCTTCAGTTGTGTGATAACACAGTGCCAGATTTCTTCACTATTAACAAAGTAAATAAAATTTTAGATTATAAATAATAAACTGGCATACAACATCTATTATTGAAATTTGTGTGTTATATATGGAAATCCTGGCATTTTTCTGTAATTTCTATGTCATCTATTTCTTGATTTGCTGAATGTCTGTTTATGCAACTTAAATACAATTTTTCTAATTGCTAAACAAAAATTCAAATTGTGAGTTGGGTGTCCCGAGGAAGCTCTAATGATCAAACCCTTGGCTATCCTTAGCATATGCAATTTTTATGCTTAACTTGATGTATCAGTTATAACCTGCAAAAATAATCGTATTCGAAATTTTTAGATGCTCCTGAGATTCAAGTACCCAATTCTTGGGTTCATGCCAAAGAAGGGACCAATGTAAATATTTCTTGCATAATACGAGGAGAGCCAGTTCCTTCTATGATGTGGAAAAAGGCAGATGGTCAAGTTATCCATAACAGTGAGCATTATCATTTGAAAACATTAGGTCATCTTCACACGCTGCAGATTCGCGATTTGAAAGAAGAAGATTTTGGTCGTTATGAATGTGCAGCTAGCAATTCTTTGAGTAGTGCATCTGAAAATGTGCACATCATTGGTAATTACTTGAAGTTATCATTTCAGACTATATATTTTCTTTTTGAATAAAACAAGTTTTTCTTCTTTTTTTAGGAATGATGACACCTAATTCTAAATCATTCTTCTCTTTTTTATTTATTGTAATCTATGATACTGCTATTTCCATTACCTTTTTGATTAATAAATATGACAATTTTATGCATGAGTCTTTTTCCAAGTTATTTGTAATAAAATATGTTCTCTTTTATATTTAAAGGCACACCTCAAGTTCCTATTTTCACAAGTAAACCTCATGGCTCTCAAGGGTCAAAATATACACTTTCTTGGACAGTAGATTCTCTCACCCCAGTTGATGAATATTCCGTGATGTACCGAAAAGTATGTCTCACTTTATTTTCATACTTTTTTTTTTTTTTTTTTTTTTTTTTTTGAGCACTGTACTTATATAACTCGAAGGGAAAAGCTGTGGCTGAAGCGGTCCCATCACACAGTGTTGTACTTATATAATTTTAAATTAGTTAATATTCTGAATTGAAAAGATGTGACATTAATTGATACTGATACTTTTGCTTTATATTTTCCATACATTAAAAGTTAATACAGAAAGTTTTTAGATTTGTGACCTAACATAGACTGTTATTCAAAATCTACATGTTATTAAAAACCTAGAACTTCATAAATGATTATATTGTACATGAAGAATAGTAATATCCATGACATTTTAAATTGTTTTCTAAAAATCCCTGGTTTTGTAAATACAGTAAAGGCCTGACTATGCAGCATTCAAATAATCAGAATGCTCAAGTAACTGGAAAATGTAGAATTCTAGTTTTTTTTAACATCCTTTCCAAAAAATTAAACAAACAAGAAATTTATAAAACCATCATAAAACACATACAGGACTCTTGAAAGCATGCTGATATTTTTAAAAATGAGAATGGAATGAAATGGGGCTCTTTCAAAAAGCATTGCATACACCTTTCCCCTACCATTGTATCCATCATATTGTTTCAAGAGTTTGTTCTGGAAAAGGATACACAAAAAATGTAAGTAGTTACTAAGGCATAGGAATACAGAGATCCCCCCAAAGTTCATAATAGGCATTTAGTTTGTTTATAATGATCACTGTTTTCATCAGTATGTTTAACAGGGGCAGTTACTAGAGTAACAGGCCTCATAAATTTAAAGAATGGACGAGTCAGGTGAAAGTTTTATTGTTACTTTTTTTCTCAATTGTTAGCCTTGGGAAATGCAAAACGGTAATTATAACATGTTTTTTTCTTGAACCAAAAATAAAAATGTGTGTGTGGCAAATCATTAAGTGCATAAAGATGGCCGATTTAAATACATTTCTTCAGAACAGCCCCAAGGAAAATGAATTAGGGCTCATTTCTGTGACAACAGACAGCTGCAGACATTCTGTCGAGAGGTATTCTTGCTGTAGGCAGACAGTGCCAATTTCACTGCATAGGATGGAATTCCAAAGGTTGCCCTTGACTTGAGTTTCCGACTGAAATCAAATTGCTTTTATCTCTTTGACCAACACATATTCCAATCTGTTGGTCATAAGATTAATATTAATAATTTTTAAACATTTTACAGATCCTGTAGTGTGGCAACAAAGTACTCTTTTATCTATTGTATTATTATTTATATATATGTCCAGTTTTTACTGGAATTACTGGTGCAAGTTTGATGGCATCTTTGCAAACTTTCATGATTGATGCCATTTTATAATTAGATAAGATGTTTTAATTTCATGTGTTGAAGACCTACAAAGTATATTGGATTTTATGTACGAAATGCATTTTTTAAAAACCTACATAGTTTTAAAGGTAAACTTTTGATATTGGAACTGATAATAAATAAGATTACTGTTTTTGTAATTTTAGAATGGAAGTTTCTTTTTCTGTTCACTTGGCTTTTGTGTGAATTATTTCGTGTATACACACTGCTGTCTGGAAGTTTTATGTATTTGGAATTTGGCATTTCCTGAGTGTTCTGAGTAGCCAAGCTTCATTAATGTATATATGAAATTATAATATACTATATTGTGCTAAAATACGAGAGCAAAATTACTTTTTTTGTTTCTTTTAAACAGCTTCCCTGTGTGTTAGAAAATAAGGAATATTTGTTGTCATTTAAGACAGTATATTTATACATTGATATTTATGTTGTTTTGTAACAAAAGAACTTCTTTAATTTTGAACTGCATGTAATAATTTTGAGTCCTTTTCCTCCTCAGTATAATTTCTGAATTAAATAAAATTGCAGACTCATAAGAAAATTGAACAGAGAAAAGAAAAGTAGTAACAGATACTAACTAGGTTGTGTAAAATATTCTATCAGAAGTTCACCAAATATTGCAACATAGTTTCTTGATAGAGAAAAAAAGAAAACTGGCAATTTTCATTTCAAACAAGAAACTTATAAATGACAATATTAGATGTCTTCAATTAAATTGTTTTAAATGGGAAGGGGGAAAAAAGCTACTGATTTCTTCTAGAAACTTGGAAATTCTTTAAATTGATTGTTTTAAAGAAATTCCTTGGAAACAGTTTATTTTGAAAACTTTATACAAGAAAATCATTGTTATGCATGCTGAATTTCATGATGCATTTAGAGTTTACTAGAAACTATAGAGATAATAAAATAAATTCAAGTTTGAATGAAAATAACATGATATGTTAGGATAAAATGGAAGATACAACTGAAAATCCACAGACCTCTTTGCTTCAAGCAATATATTTTGTAAAGAGATAGCTGAAGAAGTAAAAGATCTTAGCAAAATTTATGGAAAAATTGACAGGAAATTTAGCTGAGCCTTATTTTTTATCCCAAGTGGTCTTTGTTCTCTTCTGGGTTAGAAATTTATTATTTATGAGATCATAACACAAAGTGCAACTCGGTATTCTGTAAAAGTTACGTCATAAAAAGAGAAGCAGTTGGTGTACTTCCGATATTGTATTACACTATATACTACATAATTCTGTTTTTATAAATTGAATTTTGTATATCAAGAGCTTGCAAAATTCAAAATTGCCTTCAAAGCTCTTCTTAGTGAAATTGTTTTAAAAACCAAAATATCAGTTTTTTTAATATGTTTTGCTTATATTTCAACATAAATGTCCTTATTTATGATGGCCCATGCTTTTTAATTACTTTTTAAATATTTCTGCACAGTATATTCCTAAATTACATTTCAAATCTAAACAATGAAGGTGAATAAAATTTTATTGAATAAATTTAATAATTTACCAGATATATTAATCTAAATTGAATAATGTTACATATTTTAATCAATAAGATAATCCCAGCATGAATTTAAAGCAGAACTTACTGATCAGATCCTAAAAAATTTATTTCATATTTATTAATTAAAACTTTTGGATTATTATTTGTATTCTACTTTAATATTTAATGTTAATGAATTCAATAGAAGAATATTAAATGTTAAATAAATTGTCCAGTCATTTTTAATAGGTATTCAGAACATATTGATATAGCACAAAGTACACTCTGTAAGACATCTTTGTATAAAAATTATGCTATATATAGAATAGAAGAGAAACACGCCAATATGACAATTAAAACCACAATAACAACCTTGTATTTAGTGTACATATATCAAAACAATCGATTTCGAGGGCAGCTAAAGGTCCCTTCTCATCAGGAGAACGAAATTACTAGAAAAGGGAAAAAGAAGAAAAATACAGCATTGGCAAAAGAATCTCAGAAACACGTGGTCGTTATCACCTCATGGTCCGAACCTCGAATATTCGAGGTTCAGACTTGGTGTGTGAAAGGTGCAGTTGCCCCTCGCTCCCTATATTTTTTTGACTTCGCTGATTTGTTTGCTTTTTAGTCTATGTTTTATATGTTTGATCAGATAGCCTGGCTCAGTATAAGTAGGCGGCCAGTGTAAATCTGATTCAAAATCCAGTTACAACCACGTGTATGCTGATAACGACCATGTGTTTCTGAGATTCCTTTGCCAATGCTTTATTTTTCTTCTTTTTCCCTCTTCTAGTAATTTCGTTCACCTGATGAGAAGAGACCTTTAGCTGCCCTCAGAATTGATTGTTTTAATATATGTACGCTAAATACAAGGTTGTTATTGCAATTTTAAATGCTATACATATTAGCCAAACTAGAAAACTTGACATTTTGTAACTATTTTTGATTCTTTTCGCAAGGTAGCACATTGAAGCCTAGTAGTTTTTCCTCAAGAGTACATAATAAAAATAACAAATACTTAAATATTCGCAAAAATAAGAATTTTATTTATTAAACAGTAATTATTTTATGAAAACAAGAACAACTTTATTAATCTTTAAGCATTCATACATTAATGATTTACATTTGTTAAATGTAAATGAAAACTGGAATATTGTTATTCACCTTAATTGTATTTTTTTTACTTTACAGAAATCTGGTAATGGTGAATGGGAAACAAAAACCGTTCCAGCTACAGAGGAAAGTGAAAATGATACACATACTCAGATGTTTCAGTTGGTAGATTTAAAACCTGGAACTTTATATGAAGCTGTTGTTACAGCTAGAAATAAATTTGGATGGAGCAAACAAAGTGAAGCTCTTGTTTTCAGTACAAGAAAAGATGGTAATTTTTTCTCATAATGATTGCAATATTTTCTTTATGAAAGTTATATTTAAAACTAGATCAGTAAAAAACTTTATATGCCTTAAAAACTTTACTATCGTACATTTTTAATCTTTTTGATGCTATATTAGAAAGATGCTAGCTCATATTCATGTTTCGTGTTTATAATATATAAGAAAAAAATCTAAAATTTTAGTAATTTTTTTGTGTTATTTTTTAAGCTGTAAACCAAACTTTTCAGAATTTTTGTCATAGTATACAAATTTTCTGAAATGAATTACGTTGAAAAAAAGCCTGTAAAATATTCACATTCTTTTTCTTCACAACCACAACAGTCCCTTACAGGTCTTGGCTACCTCAACCACACACTTCTTCCAGTGATCCACAACAATTCCTTTCAAGTCTTTTTTAATGCCATCTAACCACCTAATTGGGGGTCTTTTTTTTTAGCTCAGGATTCCTCAGGTTTTTGAATGTCAAGGTCTTAGTGGGATAATCTTCTGGCCTTCTCTAAACATTCCCCAGCCATCTTAATATATTATTATGGCTGACTTGTATTATTTATGATTGCCTATAAAACCTATACAGTTTAATATTTACATTCACTCCCTTAAAAAATGTCAAATTGTTAATTTTAACACCCTCTTCTTAAATCCTACTTTTTCCCCCTCCCAGAATGAACATCATAACTAGCGATAAACTAGCACATAAATGACTAATTTTTAAAAAAGTGAGAGAAAAGGAATGGTTAACTTAATATCAATTTCAATTTGAACATATTACTGTTTTTCTATGTAGATTTAAAAAAAAAAAAAATGATGTTTGCAAATCTTTGAGTGAATCAGTTTGTGTAAAGAGTGTCATAAAAACCTATAAAGAATTTTTGAACATCTGAATTGAAAAGTAACTTTGAAACAATTTTCTCAGCCCATAAAAGTAATGATTTCCTTGTACAGATTATATCTTACTGGATCAAATAAATTTGGCAAGATGAGACTCCATATAACATATTTTGCAAAAGTATTTTGATGTCTGTATTGAGAACTTCAAATAAAACATGCTGTCCTATTTTGAAGCACTCGTCCTCCGAAAATCTGCTATTTATGCAAAGTCCTTCCAGCATTGTTTTTTCTATCTACAAAGAGACTTGTTGACTTCAATATGGATACTCTAGTTCAGCTTTTGGCCTATTTGACAGATGTTTTGAACAAACCTGTTTCAAAAGTTACTGCAATCAGTGCTCATATTATTATGACTATTTAATTGCTGTTTATACCACTTGTTTGATATCCTTTCTTCTAACTGACAACAGATAAAATGTAAATGTGATCAAAAAAGAATTTTTTATCCTTTTTGTAGAGAATAAAACCAACTCCCCCCCCAATCTCCATAGAAAATTGAAATTTTTGGCAGTGATAAACATCATTAAAAAAGATATACGAATATTGACCCCTTCCCCCTCCCCCCAAAATGCTTTTTTTTAGTATTAAATCATTAGCTTCCAAAAATTTCTTTTTCTTCTTTATATAATATTAAATTTTAATATAAAAGAGAACTTATGAATATTCAAAGCCAGTTACCCCTACTGATTTTTATTCCTATGCCTGCATAAGATGTTCATAAAAGGTGGTTACAGGCTTTTTTTTCTTAACTATTTGATCCTAGACATATACTTTAAATTCCATTTTTCAAATAAGATAAAGGATTTCATGAGAACTTTTTCACTAGTAATCAAACTGACTTGTCAATACAAAATTTAATCTTCTGTATGGTTTTCATTAAGCAGAAAGCCCAGTTAGAAAAATTTATATTCATAATAGGTATTTTTCAGTGCCAGCTATCAAGTTAATAATTAGTGTTGTTTTTTACTCATACTCAGTATAGAATCATTAACTATGAAATAAGCCACTTTGGTAGTTGCTACTAAAAGTATTTTAAGGCAGCATATAGGTTTGGTAAAAAATATGCATTGAAAAATGATCTAAGTAAGTACATTTATTTCCTAATATCTTCTTGAATTTTGCACCAAAAAGTGTAGAAATCTTTGCATTTACCATATTAAAATATAATACTCTTGAATGAATGAAGAAAAGTCAAATATTCAGACTTTTTTTCTCTATGAAGATGATCTAAAAAGAAAAATTTTGTATTTTCTAAACAATTCTACCCCCAAAGCAGAAACTTTCCTATAAAACACAGCTATCTTATGTAGAAAAATTTTGTTAACTGGAAGTACATGCTTAATAGTTAAGATTAATAATTAGGGTAATAAAGCATAGAATCACCTTTCATGAATATCCTCCATAGAGAAATTTTTAATAATCAATAAAAAATTTTAATATACATACTAAAAAAGCACATATCTTTTATTGGATAAAAGGTAATTATCAATACCAGAGTCATGAGAATGAATTCCAGGATTGTAAACACATTATTCCCAACCAGTAAAGCAAATTGAAATTATATAGATATGTATATATATATATATATATATGAAATAATTTGTAGATGATTTGAGGATTAAAAGTTGGTTGCTAATGATGAAATATTATCTGTAATTTCTGCAAGTCTTGGAAAGGCTTGTAGCTTCACAATATGACATAACAAAGACAGACTTGACGAAAACAACACATTAATTTTTTCATTTATTTTGATTAAATCGAATTATTAAAATTCGAATTTCTAATAACATGAAATTACACTTTTTCATAATATGACTATGCTACATTTTTAAAATCTAGTTTCATAAGAAAAATATCAATTTCTTATGTAAATGCAATTACAGAAAAGCAGAAGGGAAAACTGATTCTGTACTGAAGAAAAATAACCTAATTTATTTGCATAAGAGCCAAAGGATGCAAAGTAATAATGCAGGTTAGTTACCTTCAAAGCACTTTTGAACAAATGCTTTTATTCTATTAACACTATGCATGATTATTTTTGGAAGCAGAACACCTAAAAAATGCCCCTTTCGGACCTTGAACCTGGACCTCTCGAATACGCGCCAAGTGTGCTACCATTACACCACAAAGACATGCTGGAAAGGATGAAAAAATTAACCGTATATACTCCCCCTTTTTAAAGGGTGACTGGGGATTAGGAAACCCAATCGCCAAATCCTGGTGGTAAAGAATCATCATCCATCGCCTTTTTTTAGTTTGGGCACCACTAGGTTTATTAGTTTTTTTTTTAAGCAGGAGACATGAAAAATGAGCAATGCCCTCGCCAGGACTTGAACCTGGATCTCTCAAATACACGCTGAGTATGCTAATGTCACGCCATGAAAACATGCTGGAAGGAGGGAGAAAATAACCTTATAACACAATACATTTGAAGAAAACACCACATTAATTTTTTCATGGACATTCTGGGTAAGCATAAACATATTCACACATCATTTTGGGTGTTTATCATACCCTCCACACTTTTACATAATGGATTACATTTTTAGACCAATGGACAAATCAGAGTGATGACAACACATGTGTTTACCAGTAGCAAGTGAGGCAAAGCAGGGGGAAAAGGGCTGTGCAGTAGTAGCAGTGGTATTTATAGACAAAAAGTTCCCTTAATCTGATTAGACAAGAGCTGTATCACTGTAGCATGATTATATAAGAAAATATGAAACGTTAATTTTGAAAGAGGCAGTCTAGAAAAATTATTGTAAACAATATAGGAGAGATAGGATAGATAGGAAAATTAAAATTAGTAATTTTTAGTTACATATTTTATAATTTTACACACACACATATAAGGTCTACCAGAAAATTCTGTTCATTTGGGAAACAAAAGAAAATAATACATTTTTATACCTTTAATGATATTTATTCTACAATATAATTTCTGTCATTACTTATGACTGTTTGCCAGCATGATGGTGATTTGTAAATACCAGTTTAGAAAAATGTCTTTAAACACAAAGAAATCAAGTGGTGTTAGGCTGATACTTGCTTCAGTTTTTACATTTTCCTCTTCAAAAAATTTTGCGAGGAAAGAAACAAGTGATAATCAAAGGGTGCGTCTAGATCTGAAGAGTAAGGTGGATGCAGCAGAATTTCTCAGCTTAGGTCTATAAATTCTGAGAAGTCATCAAAGTAGCATGTCGTCTGGCATTATCACAATGCAGTATGATGTACTTTCTAATGAACATTGCCGACCTGCTGCTTTGTTTTAATCATCCACTGAGAGTATCTTTCTGAATTGAGCTTTTTGTTAGGCTTGAAAAGCTATTATTATATTGATGCTTGGATGTTTCAGTAAAGTCTTTTCCAAATGATATTTTCATAGGCAATCCAATTTTCATCACCGGTTATCGATCAGTTTGACAAAGGTTAGTTTATGTTCTGAACAAGCACAGATGTGCATATGATCACTCTATCATGCAAATTCCTAAAGCACTCATTTGCAATATTTATAAAGCAGTCCTAGTTTATGAATATAATCCAGAATGGATTTTTGAGCTGCGTTAAGCTTTTCTGCGGTCTCTGAGGTTGTCAAAAAAGGATTTTTCTGTTGACCATATCGGCATCGATTAAAAATAGCTGCCTAGACCTTGGCATAACATATTAAGGTTAAACTCACCTATTTATAACTTTTTAAACCATATCCTCAATGTTCAACTTGAAACTTGCATTTCCAACAAAAACTTTCTTTATAATCTGACATGTTTCTTCCTTGTTGGAATTTGTACAAATGTAGACACTTTTGTTTTAGTTTATTTAAAAGAGCACATGTGCATAAATGCACATGAAAGACAGATAGACAGCCCTGTATGTCTGAAATGGAAATGTGTATGTGTCGTGAAATTTGAAATAGCATTATCAGACAGAACTTTACAATAGACGTTTCTGCAGGTGGATACGAATTACTCCTTAATGATGGCTGAGATGTTGCTGGCACACAAATAGAATGCATAATAGATGGATGGCATTTGGAAAATTACGGATAGCTGGATATTCACCACATAATTCTATTTCTTGATGAATAATTTCTTAAGATACATAATCTCCTTTTCACATCACTACTGTGTGTCAAGCACCTCACAAATATTTAAAATCATAAAAATTATGCAGAAAACAAGAAGTGCAACTGAGTGATTGTCATTGACTGCTACATTATTATTAGCTTTGTAGGTATGCAAATGTTTAAATAAGCTACAATCTTAAATCTGACAATCACAAACTGTACTGTAATATTTCAGTTTGTTGATTTTTAAAAATGCTTGCAGCTATCCTGCATGTGGGTTAAGGATATCTGAGTATGTGCTTCATTTATCACACAAGAGACTTCCAAATAATAATCTATCTCATGTTAAGTACGCTCAGTGATAGCTTGAATTACTTTAGGCAAGGCCAGCTGTAGGCACAGGCAACGTAGGCACCAATTTTTGAAGAGCATCAATTAAATTGTTCTTACATGCAATAATTAAATAAATGCTTTTTTTTTTTTTTTTTTTTTTTTTTTGAATTGTTATTAGGTTGTGCCAACTGTACTGATTGCCTGCAGCACTGATCCTGAAGCCAGGTATGACTATAGGAATGGCTAGGTTGGCAGAGCCATTGCTAGACCATTGGCTGCCCGCGTACTATACTAAGATTGGCGACTTAAATTAAAAAGAATTCTCAATGATTAATAAAATTTTTATTTCATATTCACTAAGTACTTACGTATGGCAAATTGTATAAAAAGTACTTACAATGAATTTAAAATATTTAGGCGTGGTATCGTGAGAGTCCATCCATCCACATACTTTTACACAGTGCACCCCGCTAGGAATGGCCCTGTAGATTAGAAGGGTTGACCAAATCGGTATAGGCCTTTAATGGACTTTTTTTTTTTTCTGTCAGAATACATTTGTAATATTGGATTACATTCCAGATTAAAGAACAGATATTTCTTAGGGTTTAATGATTGAATTATTTTGATGTCTCTAATATATTTTCAGCTGGATATGTATAATCCCAGCATTCATTTTCAATGACCTCATATTTTATATTATTTATCTGCACATCTGACATATATATTATGTAATTTTTCAAAAAATTATTTCTTTCAAAAGTAATTTTTTTAAGCTGTATTATATTTTCAATTTCAAATGCCTGCAATAAAATAGGCACTTTACTACAAGAAAGTTTCATTATATGGAAAAAATTGACTTAATTACACCAAGATGTCACTTCCACAATAACTGATGACATAATACAGTCAAAAGTCGTTCATTCGGACACCCGTAATCCGGAATGATCTATAATCCGGACCTCAAAGCTAAAATCTTTCTGCGCATGCGCCGCATTGAGGCATGCGCATAGGCGTTTTACTCGTACGCGCAAGACATTTACGACTGCGCATATGCATCTGCGCAAGTGCAGAATACGTTTTCGCGTGCGCGTTTAATGTATAACAGACGGTAAAAGCTAAAATTATCTAATTATCTATTTCAGTTAATGTTGATAATTGCGTTGTTCCTTAATCTTCAAATTGGATCCCGCTTATTATTTTTTGCAGACTGTAAGAGCAATTTTCTAAAAGTAAGCTTGAACTTTCGATTATGTCAAATAGAATTTCCGATGCTGGAGCTCCCAAAGGATCTAGAAAACGAAAGTATGTTTCGATGTTTTCGGGGGGGGGGGGGCACGTCGCGGCGCGCAATGAACTGGAAGTTGATCTGTCAACACTATCGTTTTCTTCAGGGCAGATGTTTTTATTTTAGTCGGCTTATAATTCCTTACTAAATGTAGTATTTAATTTCGATGTACTCCGTCTTTGATATGATTTAAATCAAATTCCTCGTCATTATAAATATCACGAATACAAATCACATAGTTTTCTGGTTGCAATTTTCTAATTTCGGCTATGAGGTAAGGTATGCTTTACGCATCCGCTTGTTTAAAGAAATGTTTAATAAAGTAAACAAAAATATTAGGCTTCTTTTTGGTAAATTTGGATACCCTTTAGATCATAATTGCTCATTATTTTATAAATTACGGTTTCATATTTTTAATTTTATAATTTCTGCATGCCATCTTACCAGATTTAAACTGATGATCTATAATCTGGAAAAATCGATAATCCGGAATCGCCGAAGTCCCGACGAGTCCGGATTAAAGACTTTTGACTGTATATGTGTTTTTATTCATCATCAGGTTAAACATGGTTGATGGATAAGTAAGATAATGTTGTTCCTCCTAATTGCACAAATATCATTATCATAAACATCAGCTTTAATCCAACGTATCATTAAATAATGATTTTTTAGTTTTATTTTGCTTTGTTTTCATTTTATCACACCCGTGAACTATTTCTCTACAGTAGAGCTGTCTTCAACTGCAACAAGTGAAGAAGTGACAATGCCACCTGCTGTAACTGAAAATGATATGCCAGTCACAAATGGTCAGTTTCCGTCTGGTGTGACATGTGTGAAGGATAACTTGCATGTCTGTAGTGTTGTTATCGTAACAAAAATGTCCTTGTGATGAACAATGTGAATTTTTCCTGCTTAATGCAATTTACACCTTTTAAATGTCAAGCATAGATTAGATTTGATGAAACTTAGTTTAACTCAGAATCTGAAAGAGGAAAAGAGTATCCCATCTCTTTTGATCCATCATCTTAAAAAAAATCCCATCTCTTTTGAGTAAACTTTCATTACTAGAAAGTTTACTCAAAAGAAATGGGATTTTTTTTTTTAAACTAAGTTTTTATTTTATTAACACATATTTTGCTTTTTTTGTGTATCCATTGTTGAACACCTGTAATATTTTTGTTTATATTTGATACGTTTTAAAGCTATGCTTTGAATCAAAATTAAACTTCACATTTTTTTGAATGGTTATCATTTCTGTTGTCAATACCTCATCTGTGCTGAGAAAAATGTGTTTGTTAAAATAAACTGAACTCACTTAAAAATTCTTATTTTTGAGGTAGATTCCGATTGATAAATTATATATATATTAATAAAAATCCCCGAAATTGTTTTATTAGATATTTCTGAATTTTACCACTCAGTATTGATAAATGCTAGAATTTACTAAATTTTAGGTTTTACAAGGCTTTTAACCTTTACATTAACATATATAAGCCAAATATTAACTAAAAAATAAATGTTAAAGTTTTCATGATGTGTCTATTATCATTAGAGTAAACAGTATGATCCATGCAGTTGAAAAAAATTATCATAAAATTAGGACATAGTTCTGTTGTAAAAAGTAAAAGTATAGTTGTAAAAGTATAAGTATAGTTCTGTTGTAAAAAGTATTATAATTAGGAATTATAATTATTATAATTAGTAATGTGTTATATAGTTCTAGTTAAATCCAAATAAACCCCCATAATGTATTGTGATCACTTAACTATCAGAATTAACCAAAATAATTGTGCTGTGATATTTGGCAATAATGCTGAACAGCAAGAGTGTCTAGTGGCTGAAAAATAAATCAACACATGAATGAAATATGCAGGTTAAGTTTAAATAACACACTTCTTTGATAATTTAAGAGACTTTCACTCCTATGAGATCAGATTGTAAAAATTTTCAAATCAGGTAAAACATGAATTCAGCAGAAATAAATAAGAGATCAATCTGTATGTGTCTATTGATCTGAATTACAATATATATATACATGAGGCGATAGAGTTAATTCTTCTCCCAGCAAGCACTTTTACTGGTAAGGGCTGGTCATTGATGGAGTGTATAGGAAAACCCGTATCTCTGCAACGCACATGAAATGGCAATTCTTGCAGATTAAGCCAGCAACTAACAGCTTATGGACGAACATCAGAGCTTGGACCAGCAGAAACACCCAAGAGCAAGGAGCTGCCTCATTGGTTATTCATAACCAGTCAGGATGATGTGAATGATGCCATATGAGTAATTCAGAAGAGTTAAGCTGACTAAATAGCAGCTAAATTAGTCTCGTACATCATTGCTGATGAAGGAGCATGCAAAAAGTATGCTTTCAGAATGACGTTAATTTGTTTAACAGGAAAAGTTTAAAAAAAAGGGGGGGATCATCAGCAATGATGTACGAGACTAATTTAGCTGCTATTTGTTGGCTACCGTGTTCCAACTGACATCACAAAAGATGAGATTGTCCAACATCCATGTCAAGAACAAACTAATGCAAAAAATTTAAATTCTTCTCCTCTAAATATCAACCCCTTCAACTTTAATGCTCAAATGTAGCTCAAAGTAATGTAACCCTTTTTCCCACTAAAAGTCCCCTACTGCAGGACAGGAGAAATGATAAAACAACTATCAAGTCTTTAGCTTCAAATGCTTAAAAAGCAGCAAAAAGTTGACTTAAGTTAAATAATCCTAGCCGTTTGTAATAAAAGTAAATTTATATGCAAATAATACTCTAAACTAATTAACTTTGAATTAAAATTACAAGTTCACCAGAAGAGCAAATTTTTATCCACACTATGTATAAATTTCAAATTGATAAATTTTTAATTTCAGATACCACTAAAAAATTACTTTAGACGCCTCTCTCAAATGAAAACCTAGTGGTCAAGGCTTAACATTGCACACGTGTCTCTTAAAATGAAGGTGATTCCTGACATTAAAGAGCAAAACAGAAGCTGAAACTTTAATTTGTAATAAATAATTGAGTAAGCAAATTGGCTTACAGAAACTAACTAAACAACTCTTAATTAAAACAAAGTTACCATTGGGTGTGTATAACTGAAATTTGGAATAAAATTTAATTAATTAAATGAATTACACAACACTAGGTAACACTCAACATTGTTGTAATCTCATTTTGTGTTTTCTTATTGTATTTCCTCTTTTAAACTGGAAAACATGATGGCTTTTGATTTAAAGTTATACATTCTTCATAGTAAAGATACATTTCCTGCTGTAAACTTTCTGTTAAAGATGGATAGATCTTTATTAATTATTTCTAGTTTCTGAAGTTGTCAGATTAAGGCTGAATAGCAAAAGCCATTGGATAAGAAGTTCGACAGTTAGTTTTTAAGTGAAAGCAGTTGGATAAGGATGCTAATAAAGTACTTACGGTTTTCCTCATGTGTTACTTAAATGCTAGTCTCTTCCCCTAAGAAAATTTTCCTCAAAGCCATTCTTGCTCTTAAGCAGATAGCCACTGTAATCTTGCAATAATTAAAGCAGTCTAATATCCCAAGGTTAAAACAATCATTGAAAGTTTTTAATAGAAAATAAATGATAGAAAGAACATACAGATGTGTAACTTTTGAATTTACTACCATGGAAAGTGCTATAAGTACTTCATTTTTATTTCTTCCAATTTATTTTTTGAACATACTGAAAATAAAATTTATAAAAATAAATTTGTTGCATTATCTGTTTTTCAGTAATGCATATGAAAAATCAACTTGATAAAAAGAAGAATTTTAACATTTTTCTTATTGATTTTGTGCAGGATTACAAGTTTAGACAAGTAAAATAATAAAATGTTACAAAATTTCACTAATTAACATATTATTTCTTTCAAATATCTTTTGTATTTTAATGTTGAAAAGTAAAACCAGTTTCAATTAAGAATCTCTGCCTTCTTCTACAGGAAGTGTAATTGTAAAGAAATTTTGATTTTAAATCACAGATTTCATCTAAAATACAAATTAACCTAACCCTTTTGCAACAGGCGACTCGAATCACTCTCTTGGGATGGTGTGCTAACAGGATGTACTGTCTTGTTGAGATAGGCAATTCAAGCTCTTAAAAAAAAAAATAATTAAATTTCTGGCTCTGTTGTTCCAAATTTTTGCACATTATGAGAACAACACTCGGGTAGTGCTGAGAATCTATTTTAAAATTTTATAATTATATTTTCCTTGTCATTTGATATATATATAATAATGAAGTATAAAATATGGTTCACTAAATGATACACAAAATATTCACATCAACGCTAGCCAAACTCTTCAGAAGAGTGAACAAAGCTTATAAAGCAATAGGAGATAGATACTATATGCTCATATCACCAAAATTAAAAACAAAAGTATTCAGATGCATCTAGAACATCCCCATGTGTTTATATCAGCTGATGCAGTTAATAGCAACTCTATTTATTTACATTACTCAACCCATGTTTGAAGCAAAATATATATTTTTACCAAAAATAAAAAAATAACGTAGTACACCCATCCTAAGTCGATTTAAACGGCAGTTTTTATATGACACACCTGGCTCTGTACTGTTGGCGGCCAGTGCATATGTGACACATCTGTACCAAAAGGGTTAACAGATTTTGTTGATTCTTATTCACTAAAGGTTCTTATCTAAAATAATCTTCAGGAATAAACATAGGCACATCATAATGAGCAATATAAAATTTTTAAATATTCAATTATTTTGAAATAAATGCAATTATTTGTTAATTTCCTAATAAATCTTTTGGATACATTTGCACTTAATTGGTATAGTTCAATGTATTAGTATTATCTTTCACCTTGAATTTTTATTAGCTTTTTTTGTGTTATGTTGCTGCCTGATTTAAAGCTATGTGTAGTTTAAAATATAAATAAACAGTAACTATCTGAAGGTTAAATCAACAAATTTATTTTATGAAACCTAATTATGATTAAACATGAAAATTTGTACGGTAATTTTTTATCACTGATGTACAATTCTCTATAATATAATATTTATATATACACTGCTGACCACTGTAAATGCAACACCCTGAAGGAAGCCTGCAAATTACATGAAATTTACAGCATGCATTAGCAGAGGTGAGATATGTAAATTATTAGAATTTCAGCTCATTTCAGCACATCACGCGTGCCTGTGGCGCAACTTCAAAGCGCTATTTGGCTTGGAGTTTTCGATGATTTCAAGTTCGGCAATTCTGTTTTCTTGTGGTTTTTTTCAAAAAACGATCAACTATGGCTCGTAGTAAACAGTGATCATCGTTTGATCAAGTATCTGAGTTCGACAGAGGAAGGATAGTGGCCTACCGAGAGTATGGATTATCTTTCAGATGAAATCGGTAGTCGTGCTGGACGAAACCAAACAACTGTAATGCGGATATGTGACCGTTGGATGCAGGAGGGTATGATGGACCGACGTGTTTGATCGTATCCACCTCAGTGCACCACTGAGCCAGTAGTCCTTCCTTACCTCCAAGGCTTACCCAAAGCCATATTTCAACAGGATAATGCACGACCACACATGGCATGCATTGTCCAAGGGTTCTTCGTCAATCGCCAGATTGAATTGCTTCCCTGGTCCGCTCGCTCTCCGGATTTTGCCGATAGAAAACATGTGGTCCATGGTTGCTGAATAATTGACCCAAATTACTCCCAAGCTGCCACACCAGATCAACTTTGGCAACGTGTGAAAGCTACTTGGTCTGCTGTACCCCGAGAACACACCCAAAGTCTCTTTGAATCAATGCTGAGGCATGTGGCAGCAGTGATCTCCAACAATGGCGGCTACTCTGGCTACTGATTCTGGAAGGAACCACACTTCACAGAAGTCTATAAATTTAATCATTTGATACTTGGTCAACATGTTATCTACTAAGTAAATTTTGTTGCGATATCTCTTCTTTCTTGGTGTTCCAATTTGCGTGGCCAGCCTTGTATATAAGAAAGTGTACATATAAGAAAGAAACATTTTTACCAAAATTAATAAATTATGCGAAAGAAACATTTTTACCAAAATTAATAAATTATGCCCCAGTTGCACTAAAACCTGCTATTAAATTTTGGAATAAATGATACAGTAGTAGATGGATAGATTTTTGTCACAAGCCAATATAGGGTAAGATTTCTAAGTGTGGACATTTCACTTAAATATAATAATAAAAAGATTAATATGGCATATCTTATATCCTGAGTATACCAGTACATGTAAATCAGGAAATAACTTGATTTTTTTTTTTTTTTTTTTAATTTCCCATCTACTAATATTCTTTAGTTTATCCCTTTAAAAGATACTCTTGCTATTCTAATACTGTGATAAGTTATTTTCCAATTTATGCTTGGAATATGAAGTACTACTTAGGCTTTTTACTATTATATTAAAGCAAAGCATGCATATACTTGTTTGTCTACCTTTTTAATGATGTACATTAATTTTTTATTGTTACTTAAACACATTTATTTAGTAGTTTAATAACATCATTTAACTGTCTCTGATTAATCAGGTATTTATATATTTATATTATAATATATAAATTTATTTTATATATATTATATAATAGATTTGTTTAAAGAAAGAAAACTGCCTTTAATGCATTAAATTAATTTCAGGAAAAATAAATTTTAATTCTTATTTTAAAATTTATTCTTTCAAAAATATATATTTTCTTATTGCTGTGAAAATTTGAAGTGAATATTTAGTGAAGTTATCGTTGTTAATTTTTCATTTAATTATGCAACCAATTGCATGTCAGAAAATGAAGAAAGAAAATTATGATATAAAATTGTGTATTTTTGTACCTTTTTGGATTTGCTTGTTTGCTGCATGTATAAAGAGCTAAGGATTATAAAACCATAAATTTAAAATTATAAAGAAATTATAATTGATGTTCGCAGTGAATGCAAAATTCTGCTGGAAATGTCATTTGAATTTTCAAGTAATAGTTAAATACATCCAAGTACAACATGTGAAGTAAATTTAGCACTAAAAAAAGTTCAATAAATCAAAGATCTCTCAAATATTGGTGAACTATTTAAAATTATTTCAGACTTGGTATGACTTGGATTTCTCTAAATAGATAATGGTGCATGTATTTTCATATGAATGTGAGTTTTAAGTACATAAAGAATTATTACACTTGGCATTCATTTCAGTGATTAATATTTATTTCAGATAAAAGTATAATTATTTTAAATTGTATTTATAAAGTTATAAAGTAAATAGTAGCTTTTTGTTTTTAATTATGAATTTCAAGCTACTTGGTATTTTATTTTCATAACTAATCTGAAATCTGTGTGGTTTACTTGAAACTAAAATGTATTTTTGTTTTCCCTACAGACAAACATTCGGATTCTATTACAAGCAGTTCTTCCACCTCCACCACCAGCCTTATGTCTATGTTTCCATTTGTGATTATTCTTTACATTCAGAAACACCTCTAGCTTTCCATAAAAAAAAAAAAAAAAAAAAAAAAAATTCGGCACAGTTTTATGGTCTGGACATTTACAACTTGAGAATCTAAGCAAATAAGTGTCTTGAAGGAATGTGATACAGATCACCTGTCATTCCTCATGAAAAAATATAACACCATATATAGTTACCATGTCTCATGGAAATATATGGCATTCAGTATTTACTGTTTCCTATCTTCATGATAAAAGTTATCAAAACATAGAATTAAACATATTCAGTGCAATTAAGTTAAATATATTGTGTGTTAAAATTGAAATACCAGTTATGATTCAAAATATTTTAGGAATGATAGTCAATTTTTGTGAATTTCAAGTAATTAAAAATTCTTCCTTTATAATTTTTTAATGCCACTAGAATTTACACTTTGAAATATTTTCTGAAATTAATTAGTAAATCATATCAGATTTTCTTGGAAAAAATACTTAAATAAAAATGTACTATTTAATTCTCTAACTGTACTACAGAAAATAACATTTTATAATAGTCTCATACAGCTATTTTAATACAGCATTGGGTGATTATATGAATAGATTCTTCAGAATAAAGAGAATTTTTTTGCAAACATGATATTTTTGATAGTTTAATATGCAAGATATCCAATTCCATTTTCTAAAGGTGTATAAATAAATTTCTTTGAGTGCAGATGCTTATATATATGCAATTTTTAGTCTATCAAACTTAAATCATGGAGATAGAAAACATGCTTTGAATTTATTTGTGATCTGTAATATTGTGGTATCATTGTTTTGTGACAAGTTGTTTATTTATTTTTGTAGTCATTATCATAGAGAGCACACCTTTACATACAGATGGATCACGAAAAAGTAGGAAATTCATATATGAATCATAAAAATATAAAATAACAGGATATTCATTAAATAAAGATGTATGCTAAATTATTATTTTATGCAAAATGAGATTAAAAACTGTCCAAACTGTCTTTTTAATAAACTATATTTTCAATTAAATATACTCATATTTTGAGTTAAAATAATAAATTTTTCTTTTATAGCCTTTGTATTTCTTGGTTTTCACCTTTTCTTTATTTGAATGTGTATATATCCTTATGATTCATTTTATAATTCTTTATATTATTGCTCTAATTTTAAAATTTGTTGTGCTTGAATGTATCTAAATAACTCTGATTCAATATTTCAGGGAAATATACTATTTTGGGACTTAGTAAAAAATATATTGTTTGCTGTATGAAATCTGTGTGAAAATTACTAATAACTGTGTGTACTCTTATAATGCATTATCACTGCTGTGCATACATGTAAATATGTATTATACAGAGCCAGCCCAAGTTAAATGTATGATAATCTTTAAATTATATGCAAGTATATTTATTTAAATTTGTTAAGAGTGATAGCATTCCAAGTACAACCAATAAAATTATTATGTTATGCCAAAATTAATACTATAAATATTAAATATAAAAAAATGTAACTGTAAATTTTTGAAGCTTATAAAGAATTTTCTAATCTGAATAAATTTGGAATTCCCCCCCTTTAAATATTAAAACTGCAGAAAGCAGCATTTCAGTCTTTAATTACAACTTTAAATATTAGCTTTTTTGATTCTTGAGTAATGGACTATTTTTGTTAAAACATTTGCTTGCAGCAGGCCCTGTATATATCTATATACACTTTTTTTCTTCTTGTAATCCACTGTGTAATACTCTATATATATGATGGCAACTTTGATTTTCTAATTTAACCTCTTAGTTATTTAAAAACATAATTGTAAATACCAAAAACATGAAAATGGAAAATTTAGTATAGAATACCTATTTCACATATATAGTTAAAACTTCCATTTCTTTGACTTAGTATTTGAAATATTTCTATGGAAAACAATATGAAATTAGAGCAGCTATTTTTCTGAAAATTTTGTATTATTGAATCTGATTAAGTAATTCAGATTTATATAGTAGTATTTTCATTTCGCTGAGATGTATTTAAAATTTTTAAATTATGAAATAGTGAAACACTATTTATCAATATTTAGTATTTTAAGTATGAAACACCATGTTTGCTAACTACCAAATGGACAGGATGAATGATGAATTTTTATAATCCCTTTTCTTGAGAGGTTATAAAGAGAAATATATTCTCAGTGTGCAGAAAATGCTGTATTTATTCAGAAAAAATCATGCATATCTAATTCAAAATACACATACATACATAAAAATGCAAAATGTTTTGTTAGTTAACTCCAAACTGAAGTCATATTAAATTTGTTCATCTGATAGTTATGCATTTTTTATCAGTATAATTTACATTTGTAATTTGTAAATGCAAAGTTTATTTTGAATGATCAGCAACATTTAAGTATATAAAATGGTTAAATCATATACGATATCAAAAATGTTATTTCCAAGACACAAATTGCATTTTTAATTTGTTTAAATTTTCAGTAATGAATAAAGTTGTAGATATTGATAAATTCTGTGTGTAGTTTTACTCTCGCTTACATACAGCTTATTAAAAATTTAGAGATATTGGGTTGGTGCATTGAAGTTGACATGTGACCAGCAACTTCACATGTTCAAAACCTTAATAACAATTATGGGACAGAATTTTAAGTATAATTTACAATTAATGTTTTAAATGAAGGGAAAAAATATTTAAAACATTAAAATACATTGTAAATCACTATTTTTAAAAATTATTATGTAATTAAAATTTTTTCCAATTTCAATATACTTCAATATGCTTGTTGATGATATTAGCAGAGATATGGTAGTATTGAATATTTCATTACAGATAATTAAATCTACACTAAAATATTCAATACTACCTTGTAATCTGAAGTTGAGATATTCAAAACGGAATTTTCTGATTCATTAAGTATCAATTAAATAAATCAGTATTTTTATTTATTATGTGTTTGAAAGCATACAAATGGTCTGAAAGGAAGACAAAAACAAATTTTCATAAAGCATATAAAAATAAGGTAGGGGTTAAATGGGTAAATTATTATTTATGTTTGATGAGTATAACTTTAGTTTATGTTATGAGTTAAACTTTGGCTCACATCCTTTATATGATTAACTGTGATATAACGTTAAATAACTAGATGCCTCTTAGATCAGAGAAGTAAATTTCATTGGAATTGTGGGCCATGCATTATTTACATTTCCCATTTATTCCAGTGTAATCTTTATACAGTTACAAAATACCCAGCTGCTGTAAGATAGCTTCCTCCCAAAAAGTGGGTTTAGGGTTGCCACATTTGGCAAGAAATCTCCCATACAGCAACAAAATGGGCAATATGCCATAGAGGGATGGAGTAACGAGTTCTTACTGATTTGGCCCAGAATGTTCTCAAAAGCAATATAAACCTTGATGGTACACGGAGTAGACGATGTCTCATAGTCGACTGCAAATCTATTGTCTTGCAGGCTATCGTCAGTCTAGTGTCAAGCTGGTGCATCAAGAGTGTGCATTGTTGAGGCTATCGCGTGTATTGCAAGTTGGCGCGTGGAGAGTCTCGAGTACATTGGGTTCCAAGAATGACCGAATCGAGTCGGGAGTTGTACTGTAGTGCTTTGCCCTGAAGCTGTCTTCACAGTTTTTTTAGTATGTTACATATATCCCTTATGAAATGAAAAGTTCCTATTTAACATTGTATCCTTTTTTAATTTAACTGTGGTCATAAAACTAATACTAGATGGATAGAATGTACTGAATAATGAAGTATAATTATTAACACAACTCCAATTGAGCAAGTAAATTAAATGCATTTTTATTTAAATTAATCAGGTTACAGAGTAAAGTACTGTTAAAAACTGCCATAATTGTTTTGAAATTATTTAGCTCGTAACGTTAAATTTGAAAATCTTATGCTGAATCACAACACAGTGATGTGTGGAAGATAAAAGTATTTTGTTTTTGGCTGTGTCAGCACACTGCTTTTAAACAGCTGAGTTTGTTGATTAAATTTGAAAAGTAAATATCTTATATCGTGAACGTGAATGGCAACAACTGGCCCACCCCAAACAATGTTCTATTACAAGCAGTAACAACATCTAGCAGTCTAGTAGTAACAACATATTGCATTTAAACTGAGCTTCTTAATCAAAATTTAACAAAATTAACATAAAATATGAAATGAATAAAAAAACAAATTCAACATTCAGGCTTTGAGGTGGACATGTTTGGGAGGAGGATTACATGTGTTTAAAATCTGGTGGCTGTAGGTGATGCCATTTTTCCATAATGTAAAGAACACACATATAGAATCTATACTTACAGATTTTTCATTATTTATAATACAGTTGATGAAGCACATAGGAACTCTCTGCCTGAAGGGAAAACTATTGTGCAAGGCATTCAGAAAAACTGACTCATACTCACATTATATATGGAAAAACCAGATATTTGAACCTGGGATAAATTAGCAGTGTTCAGTTATCTTACTGCCCAACAACTGGTGGGTTATACAACTATTGCAACTATAAATAGCAATGCAATTTATATAAATTATTTGGATGTTTGCAAGTGTCAATGATAATTAAACATTTTCTAGCAGCAATTATGATTCTGAACATATCCCAAGAAATAATCATTAATTCCCTTTGCTGAAGATGCTTTGTAAGTTGTTATAAATAGATCCTCACAAAGTAATCAAGGAAATTTTCAGAAAACAACAACAGTGCAACACCACTTGAAATCTAGTAGGAAGTTGAACTCTGCATGTAACTTCAGTAGCTGTTGTCAGAGAAATCATTACTGGAGATTTTATCCTCAAACATAATAATTTAGACATTAGGTTTTTTGAAGCAGGAGAGATGAAAAACAAGCAATGCCCTCTCTGGAACTCGAACCACGGACCTCTCGAACACGCGTCAAGCGTGCAGACCTCTACACCATGAAAACGGGAGAAATACCTTGGTACTTTAATTGAAATTTTAGCAATTTCCTAACAAAAAGTTTGAATTAATGAAAAACGTTTCATTTGAGCAAATGCTATCATTAAGTCATTCTTAATAATTAAAATATATGAACTTACATAACTAGGAAGTTACTAGGAAAGTTATATGAATTACAAGTTACTAGGAAAATTGGATAACTTATTTCATAATGCTCATCATAAATATTCCCACCATCATGAATATTGCACTTATTAACTGCATGAAAGCCACAGCTGATTTCATAACATTCATCCATAAAAGACAATATGATGAAGAATTATCTTTGAGAAAAAAGCTTTCAAAAAATACGTATTTATTTACAATATATACATTTTGGCTGCTTGAGGTCATCCATGATACATTCCAGCAGCTAGTAAGAGATTTCTCCGTGTAAAATGAAGAGATAACACTGGCGTAGATTTTGTAGGGAAGGATCCCAAGAGATAAGCATCTGTATTGACCCTGCACAAACAAGAGATATTTTTTTTTTAATTAACGATATAATCACTTAAAACTACAACTAAGTAACATCATTATTTATATAATTAAATTAGAAAGTTGCTTTCAATGTTTTAAAATGAATGTTTTTAGCTAACAACTTATAACAAAACATCTAGAATTTTTATAGTTTATTTGAAAGAGGACAGTAAAATTAGACGTAAGAATTTCAGGGCCTCCAAGTCATGCACACCAGTGGTTCTCAACCATTTTTGTTCCCTGCACTCCTTTCACCATTGATAGATTATTATTCCCCTATCCCTTCCTAAAATTCAAAACACACATACGCATTTCTATAAATTTAGATTATTTTTAATGTATTTTATAAATTAAAGAAAAGGTATAAAAATATTGATAAATATCAAAATTTGAATAAAAGTAGTTTTTAATATTTATAAACTAAGTCCTTAACAAATAAATAAAAGGTTGACCACCTGGTTGAGAGTCCCTGCTCTATACAGAAAGTAAGCTTATCATAGAAAACACACGGGATTACACACATGAAATTAACCTCTATTTTAATATAAGGCAAAGACAAGAATGCAGGATACAATGTGTTAAGCTTTTTAAAAAACGAAAAGAACACCTGAAAGCTTTCAGATTTTATATTCGGACCAAAAGACCGTTAACCTTTTGTGTGTTACCTTTATTAAATATAATGTTCTTGGCACCTAAACCACATAAAATTCAATTAAACAGCAACATCACAAAATACTTAAAAACAGTATATCTTTAGAATTTCCAATACACAATCTCGCACGCTGGAGATAAAAAATGTATTTTTTTCCTCGCGTAGTATTGCCATTGTTTGCTTTGAAATCCTTGAATTTGTTACTCAAAAATTTGTTAAAGCTTTACAAAATTTGAAATAGATAGATAATAAAAGAAATTCAAAATAGTTAGTTATATGCTCAGTTAGATGACTATATTATTCAAAATTTGATGGCACTCATGCAGATTTTTCTTCAGTTAGTTTCTTTAAATATAATATTTGGTGGCAACAGTTTGAAAAGTGAACCAACTTAGAAAGTGAAACGACAAAAAATGCCATTTTGAAACTAATAGCCATTTAGGTCTCACACCCCTCTGGGCTAAAAAAATTAAAACTGCAGCAAGGGAAAAAAATTGTGCTGAAGTACTAATAAGCAGGTTTTCACATATTCAGATGAAACAACTATATAAACTGGAAAGCTAAACTCTTAACTAAATCAGCTATCTCTCTCTCTCTATATATATACTAATGGGAAATCTGAAGTCTGTTCTGGACCTCATTTGAAGACTTCGAATAAAAACTTCTGTTTTTGAAACTACATATAAAACTATACAAGTCTTTGAATGTGACAAATTATGAGTGCAGAAAAAATTTGGTTATGATGAAATCTGACAACCATCTCCATGTGCATAAATAACAAATAATACATGAAAGAATAATGAAAACCTCAGCATATGCTTTAATCAACCCAATCAGCCTTTACAATGCAATTATTGTCTTACTGCAGTTTCTTAAAAACCTGTATTTCTTGAGGATTACGTTGAAGAACATCAGTTCCTAATACAAAAATTTACTATTTTCGTCTCCCTATAGGGCCTTCAAGTTTGTCAGTAATATTTTTAATAATTCTGTAAAAAAAAAAAAAAAAAAAAAAAAAGATATACACATAGGTCTTGTGATCTAAAAATTTGATGCACTTGCTTTTAAGAGTTTTGTTAAATCAAAAGTATGGAAACATGAATTTTATGAAGCAAAGTCAATTATTAAATTTAACTATTGTTACGTATTAGGCATACATATGTACAAAATTGTGCATATGGTATAAGAAAATAGTAAAAAGTTCACACTTACTTTACATTAGGGGCATGTGAAATATTTAAGTCTTCTAGATCAATTTCCTCTAGTAACTTGGTTACATCCCACAATTTTATACAGTTATCCAAACCACCTAAATGGAATCAAGCATGTTAAATTTTTAACACAGAAACTTAAAATAATAACAATATTAATCCCCTCCTAAAGTGCAGAAAGGTTACTTAATAATCTGTTCATAAGTAGCTTTTTCTATACAATATTACACACTGAAGATGAAAAGAAATATAAACAGACTCATAATCATCGAAAATAATAAATCAATAACTATAGAATATAAATAATTATCCTCTATGAATATTTAGATAGTTCTCTCCACCAAAATTCCTTAATTCGCTTACGTCTCAAGTAATTTACAGGGTTCGTACACATTTCCTTACATGAAAATTAAGGACTTTTTAAGGACCATCAAAGAAAAATTAAGGACCTATCAGCAACAAACAAAAAAAAAAATGAATAGAATAAAGCAATTATCCATACAACCGACTTCATGTTTGTAATTTCACTTTAAAAAACTAACAGAAGTGTGTATTATGCACTATTATTAAATTCAATTTAATACTTACATATAAAACAATTTTGAAAATTAAACTAACTCCCTACAAGTTATGAAGTAGATAACATTAAAATTAGGAACATAATTTCTTGAAAAACATGTATAAGTGTATTTTACACTAATAACAGTCACTATTTTAGAGATTTACATGATTATTATTTAACTTATTTGATATTTTTTTAAACACAGTCAACTACTATTATAATCACAATGTAAGAATATTTTGCAGATTAAAATAACTGATTTGTAAACATACAATTTATTTCCTTGGTTTTTTGAAAGATACTAGAATAATAAACTGTACAATAAAAAAGATACAAAACATTTGTGCTTTTTTTAAATCTGAAATCTTTCAGCTATTTTAACATCTAATTTATTTTAGTCTATTTAACTATTCTTCTAACGTTCATTTGCTTTGATAAAACAAATCAATGTTCCTGCTGGTCTCAGCTTTCATCTGCTAAAGTATCTACTTTCTTCTGCTTCATACATAATCAATTTCTTCTCAATAATATTTCTTTTCCTTTTTGAATTTTCAGATTTAGTTTAAAGATTTTTGTTCTTCTAAATACTGAACTTCTAAATAACGAACTCCACTTCTTGCAGAAGCTGCTGCTGCTGATCTCATTTCTTTATTAATTTCGATATTAAGAAAACACCTCCAGAAAATTTTTTATGTAATCAAATACTGTGCGTTGAAAAATGTATGATGAGTCACTTAAATTTTCAATTTCAATTGCTTTATTTACAGAGAAGCCCCTTTCCACAGAGGCCTGTTCATGTGACAAGATAAGAAGAATACTTGTCACAGTGAATACTTGAATAGTGTGAAAATATACATTTTTTTTACTATATATATATATGTATAATTTATTTCCTAAACAATATTGATTAATTGGTTTATATTATCTCCTAAGTTTAATTAAAGTAGAATTATTTTAAAAGAGTGAATCCATACTGGTATAATGTTATATTTTGAAAGATATATATATGTATATACAGTATAAAGTCCGAGATCCGGACATTTCAATATCTGGAAATCTGGAATGATCTAAAATCCGGACCTCAAAGCCACCACCAACCAATTTTTACGGCTTTTTTTTGGAAGGGAAGGGGTATGCTTTACGCACACGCATTAGATTTTTTTCCTCATCATAAAAAAAAACATGCCGGAAATCCCGATTCTTAATCTTCAGTTTGGCGCTAAATAAAATATCTCATTATTGAAGAAATAAGAAATAATTGTTTTAGCATAAATTTGTGTGCATAAATTGTGTGATTAGTAACTTGACTCCATAGCTGCGTATCTGCTTGGCATAATCTCAACAAACCGAAACATTTGTTAATTTTACACCAACTAATATTTTATATCCTTGATGCCGAAAATCGCGAATCATTATTTATTGTATTTTGCTTTCATCACCGCATGTTTATCAACGAATGACAACTTGAGTGATGAATCATGCAGCGACGCCAAATAACAGAGTATTATCATCCGATTACAGATTTAAAGTTTAATGCGCTAAAATGTTGACAAGGTGAGATTTAGCAGAAATTTCTTTCTTTCCTTATGCTAAAAATAGATTTTGTTAATGATACTCATAGGACAAACGATTATATTTAGTGCTATTTGAATTAAGAATAACTAATTTGTTATTCACATAAAGCCAGAACCAGAACCAGCGCCAGATCTCGCATGACCGCACCAGGCAGGCGGCAGAATTTAGCGAAGTTAAACAGAAGTTTTTCATTGCGATGACAATGCCCAATCATCAATCAAATTAACGGAGGGCAAAATCTGTAGTATGGGTTCTAAATCCAGAAAATACAGCTACCGATAGTGAAGAAAGTAACAGAGAGGTTACTGAACGAGAAAAAATTTTGATTGACAAGTTATTCGGAATTCTCGACACAGCAATTACAGGACTTGAACAATGGAACTTAATAACTGAACAAGAAATTATATGTCTATAGTATTAGTCTAGTCTAAAGTATTAGCAGAGAAAACAAATCAAACAACTCACATTGAAAGAAATGTTTATTAAAGTAAAAACATATAAATATTAAGCTCTTTTCTTTGGTAAATTTTGATACCCTTTAAATCATAAATGCTTCATTATTTCATAAATCACGATTTCATATTTTCAATTTTATAATTTCTACGTGCCATCTTAGTAGATTTAAAATGATCTAATATCCGGAAAAATCTCAAATCTGGGATCGCCGAAGTCCCGACTAGTCCAGACCTCGGACTTTGTACTTGTATTAAATATATATATATATATATATATATATAATAATACTAAATCTTTTTATTTTTTATTCCTCTAAAATTAATTTTTAAAATTAATTTATGGCTTAATTGAAACAAACACAGAAATTAAATTAAGCTAAGCAAAACCGTGTAAAAACACAAATTGAAATGATATAAAACGAAACTTAATTTTCATGTGAATTTTCAGCGCTGACTCTCCCATTCTAGAAATTTCAATTTGTTTCAGACAAAGACCACATTTAAGGATTGCCATCCATCAATATCCAGTCTTTGTAGTCAGCTTGATGAAGCCACAGTTTATTGAAAATGCACTTTCCAGGCATCTCGTTCCTATTGGCGTCGGAAGGGTTGTGGCCTTCCAGGTTGGAATTGCTCTATTTTGGCAAATATTTTCAGAATCCCCCCCCCTTTTTTTTTCTCGAGCACCTTCATCATCACTTTCGCCTCTTAAAGAACTTCCAGCTTCACGCTTTCGTCACAATCTGCCTAAATTTATGGATAACACCTGTTTCGAAAGATTGGGTGAATAGCCAATCAGACACCGATACTTTCGTTCGGGTAGCTTTTTTTTTTTTTTTTTTTTTTTTAATCGTTTGCAACGCAAATCCGCCAACAGATTGGTTAAGAGCCATGTAATTTTAATTCCATATTCATGAGAAATCGTAATTCACACTTAGAATGGCAATCATTAGAAATGATATGAAATGTCAAATGAGCAAAATTAAGGACTTTTAAGGATCGTACGAACCCTGATTTATGTCTATATTTATACATACATTTCAGCTAACAATCTTTTAAAGTAATTGACACTTTAACTCTTTAAGCACGAAGTCTTTCTGTTCTTGAAGTGCTGTGTTCATGTATTATTTCTTCCTTCATACATATAAACATATATTTCATTGTTTGCTATACTTTTAGGTGAAGATAATGATTTTTTAATTAATGAAGGTAAAAGTAAGCAATTTATTTTAAGACTGTTAAGTATCCTAAGTTGAAACAAACGTCATAACTCAGAATGAGGCTATATAGATGGTTATATATAGAATATAAAAATTTATGTATTCTGCAAACTACACCATCTCTTAACCTTTTAACTGTCATGCCAAAAATAATCTCGGGCACAACAATGGTGTTCCAAGATGTCACGCCCAAGTATTACTTGAGGTAATTTTTTTTTTTTTTTTTTTTTTAATGCTTTGTGTTGTTATACCCGAATATATATCATATGTTTATTTCGGCTTCAATTCAACAGATGGCAGCACTTTACTGAAGGTTTTAAAGGATAGAGGTTTCTGTTCAAAGTGCACTACAGTTTTTTTTTTTAAATTAAACGGTAAACATTTGATTTTTGCAGTAAAAAAATTGACAATTTATGTACCCAAATCATCAAAATAACTTGATAGTTAAAGGGTTAAGGTGTTTGTATGCATACTAAATCTTTTTATTCCTCTAAAAGAGATAGTAAAAGCATTTTTTTTCTAAAATTGTAAATAATGGACATGACATGCCACTGGATTTTAGATCATATTAAAAATTTGGTATACCATTTAACAGACTTCAATAACAAAATATATTAATCCTTAAAATTAATCTGAAACTCAAACTGAGCAGTGTTCAACATTTTACAGAAAAATATGGAAGTTACAAAAGTCAACACTGAAGCTGTGTTTGTACAGTGCACTAGCACATTTTTTCCTATTGTTTAAAAATATTGTCAGATTTAAAAGTAAATTTATCATGGCAGGCTGGCAGCAAAACATTTTGCATTACATTAAAAAAAAAAAAAAAAAAAAAGATTTATAGCTTACACATAGTGGGAAATAACATCATTTCACCCTAGTCCCCCCATTCTGTGATAGAATTTTTATATAATTCAGCCATACAATTGTATTTTATGGTTATAAGGAAAATATTTTAAACATAAATGGTTACATGCTGCATACATTTTATATAGTAAATCATTTCTTTTCTGCCAACAGAAAAAAAAAAAAAAAAATTAAATAAGCAAATGAAGAAAAGAAACACAAGTTTTTTTTTGGGGGGGGGTACATATATGAAAGCTAATAGTTAATAATAAAATCTTAATATTTCATTTTATAAGAAATAAGTTATTTAAATGATAAATAAAATTAATTATAAATGCATACATACCAGATGCTAAGACAGTTCCTTCTCTGCTAAAACACAGAGAATATATTGTATCAGTATGACTGTTTAATTCAGCTAATAAATGGCCATAAGCAATATCCCATATTAGAATTTTTTTATCTGAACCTAGAAGAAGGGATATAAGTGCAATTACACATCAGAATTAATATACATGTAAGAACATGGAATGTTATATATTATGTAATACAAATGTTACTGTGGCTGACACTGAACATGATACCATTGCAGTCATAGCTGTCAGAACACTTTCTTTATTCCGACAAAACATTTCTGAAGCAGATGCATGACAATTATATAAACAATGTTCAAGTATTTTCAAAACCTTTTGCTATTCCTAGAAAAAACGCTGAATGACTCCAAATAATTATTAGGACAGTCTCTTATATTAATCCAAGAGAAAAACTAATGAAATTAAAAAAAAAAAAAAAAAAAGAGTAAATACGTTTGGACTCTATATTTATGCTTACCAAAACAGCATCTGAGTTTTGTTCTTAATGAAACTTTCCCTTTTTGAATTGAATAATTTAAATTATACCTTTTTTCATTTTCTAAGCTTTAATGCTCTTTTTCTAAGGCACTTTTGTTCTTTTTAAATAGGGAAAGAAGATACATAAGATAAAACTCTAAATTTAATTTGCAGTAGTCCCTTCATCAATTATTTTTTGGTTTGGTTATTTCTCCGTTCTATCTGAAAAAGAGCCATATACTTAAATCTCTCTGAATTGTGTCATTTCAAAATTAATCCCTGTTATACAATTTTTAAAAGTGACCATGATGCATACACTTACATAACACAAGAAGTCTTAGGTCAATAACAATGCTAAATTTTATGAATTAAAATATTAATCAACCAAGAGAAAAAAGGTGAAAATTCACTATTCTTAATATAGCATTTTTTGCAATCTACACTCTTTCAACACTTGCTATGATGTAGACTGCTGTTGCTCATTCTCTTCAACTGCAGTGCTACATATGTGAAACCTACATAAGAAAATGCTAAATATCCAATACATCAGCCTCTCTTGCTTATATTGCTATGTTGTATTTATTAATCAGTGAAATTATATCTGAAGAAAAATGATAACCAAGCATCCAGCATCATCTACTTTTTCCATCTCATTCAAATGCTGTATTATCAAATGCATATTTATAAGAAACAGATAAAATATAAAATTAATATCAACCAACAGTGATAAACTACTTAAACATGAAGACAATAAAAAACAATCGAAACAAATCTTGAAAAATGAGACTAGAATAAAAGTAAATGAATATAAAATTAAAACAATAATTAATAAAAATAAATAACAGATGCTAATTCTTTGGTCTTAGGCAACCATATTACTATATTCTCCTTTAATTATTTTAATTATAACAAATTTAAATTACTTCTGCATTTTATCCAGATACAATTCACAAATGTGGCTCTGTTGGCAATTCTCTTGGCTACCACTTGACAAAGATGTAGGAATTATCAACTGTTATTTATTTTTCATTAATTATTATTTATTATTATTATTATTATTATTTTATTTTTAACTTTTGCTTCAACATTTTTAATATTGTTTTTCGATAAACTAGTTCATTACTATTCATTGCTATTAATTCTATATTTTATCTCTTTCTTATTTAACGAATTTCACAGCATTTATGCAACTTTAATAATATTATTATATTTATTAATTAAACATTCTTCAATTTTCTTTGCTGTCTCTCTTTTTATATATACAGCATAAAGGAAATAATTGTGTAAATTTCTAAAACACTAATCTTCAATCGTTCATAGATACAGCTAACAAATTTTAGAGTAAAACAAAATAACTGGTAAATATTTTTCAAACACTCATTAAGAAAGAAGTAATATTGTTAATACAACAAAAAAGTAAATAATATTATATTTAAAACAACAGCTATAAAATGCTTATATTTTAACATTTCATTACGTATTTACTAAATTACATTTTAAATTCATCTAGACAAAACAAACAACTAACATCAGAAAAGCAGCCTTTAAGATTTAATTGCACAAGTCTAGTCCCTTGAGAAAAAGCTTAATAGTTATATTCATCTTTTAATTACTGGCTTTTAAAATTTGCAATTTATTTATCATTTCACGTTGTAAGGATTATGTTAATTTTATTAACAGTTAAATTTTGAGTTAAACTTTCTTTCCTATCGTTTCTTAATTTCAGCTTACCACTTCCGGCCAAAATATAGTTTTAGAATCACGTTTGAATGCTAATGAGGAAGAGCGGTATTTAATAACCGCAAAGTTCTATTGTCTTAGTGAGAGAGATAGCAGATACTCTGGCTAGTGTAATAATAAATGGAGGATAATAAAGTGCAGGATGAATGTGTGATCTAAAAAGAATATGGAATTAAAGTAACTTACCCCCAAAGGATGACACTTCAAATAATGTGAATTACGAGAAATTTATTATATCCTGACATTGTGAAAATTTAAATTAATACTAGTATAAATTAAGAAAACATATCCAGACAGAAGACAATATACAGCAAACTACTGCAGCAGTAAGAATCAGTCTTACCATTTTGAGTCCTAACCTTTCGTGCACAAAATGCATAAAGATCTAATCTAAGAAATCTCAGTTCATCTTCGTTATACAAAGTTACATGATAACAAAATTCAATTTTTACAGCAAAAGACTTTAACTTGAATTATTATTCCAGTATATTTTTGTGGAAACACAAGGCCAATTCTAGCATCAGATGCAACATGTGCACGGGAATTCCTTTCGAGAACGTTTCAAGTCGTAAAACATCATTTATTTACCACAGAAGTCAGCATCTAGATCAATTTTAGTTGAATCTTCATATGACTTACCATTATTTTTTTGACAAAATGCATTCTCTTGAAACTATATGGAGATGGTCATCAGAAAGGCACGAAAAAGAACAAATTGCAGACACGCATCATCCCCGGTGAGGATGGACAGAAGCACACCCTACACCTTCGGAGTCTAGCAGCACAAGAGACAGAAAACGGGTTGTAGTGGCCAATCTCACTCTGTCATTGAGCGGTCGCAGTGAACAGACTTGATGTTGAATAAATGTGGAGGCTTGCCTGCACAGCTAGCACGCATCCACCTTTTTTAGGCTACTTTCTCTTAAGCTATTATTATGCTTAGCCATACTTTAGCCATACTTTACGCTTAGCCATACTTTAGGCACTTGATAGCTTTGCAGTCAATTAGCATTAAGGGACCAACTCTGTTAGAATTTTGATAGCTTCGGCTATATCTTTTTAGTTAAGATTAGTTTAGTTTATTTCTGAGTGTTGAAGCCCGAGTGTTGGTTTTATTGTACAACTCCAGGATGGAGTTTTATTAAACTTTAGTTGGAATAATAAAGAGTTGTTTCACCCTTCTCACTTGTTGTTTTCTACCTCATGAACTCAAGCGATTATTCGCTTACTAGTTCTTAAAATTCTTCACATTCATCTATAAGAAGTATACAGTGGAGAATATTACAATGTTTAACTTAACTACTTTCTATGATTTTAAATTATATCAACCTGTACTTACTTGAGTTAACAACATTGTTTCACTGTTTGGTTTCATAAGAAGTGTTTTATAAAATATTCACTAATTATTTTACACATATGTAAATACATGAAAAATATGCTTAGGGTATAGAAATTATTATTTTTAAAGATATACTTGGAAATATATTTACCAGCTGAAGCAAGAAAACGACCACAAGTTGAAAATGCCAGATTATATACAGTTCCCTAAAGTAAAATGTAAAATACATAAAAGGCATTGAAATTAATAATAAATGCTTTATACATTTGGCAAAGCACACTGTTGAGTAAACTATTACAATACTTTTCTCAGGGGGACAAGAAAATATTAGACTATGATGAATTACAGAATAGCTCTGGTAAATTCAAGATTTTTTCCAAAAGCCTGTATTTCACCAGTTGTGGACTTTTTTCACTTGTCACATATTACGTTGTTATTTAAAATAATTTGTTTCCTAATTTACTTTAATGATCATTATATTATCTTAATAAATGAAGATTTATGAAAACAAAGGAAGGAAAAAAATCAATTCAAAAAATTTAGTTAATGAACACTATTTAAATACATTTCTTCATCATTCAGAGGGTTGATGATGATAATAGCAGCAGGACTTGAACAGATCTTCAGCACAAGATTAGAGAAAAATTTCACATACACTGATCATGAATTTGTTTCAATTTTTATAATTTATATTCAGATGAAATTATACAAAATTTAATCAGAGCTTGAGACTGGTTCTTCTTAAAAGAACGTAAAACTATGCCTGTCTCTCTTAAAAATGAGTGGGTTTTCATTTAAAACTAATGTCAATTTAACTTTAGTTTTTTATCTAACTTTAATTTTGATACTAATATTTATTTAAATATATTATTTTCACTCTCAGTTTTATATATATATCACATGTAAGATACACACACATAATATATGAAACAACTAACATGAATAATAAGACTTAATAAAATGAAAAATTTATGCTCCACAGGAAATTTATGAAATTTGGAGAATTATCTGTTACATCATCCTAATTCAAAGTTCCTCACTGATAAATGAAAGAAACTCCCTCAAGATATGGTATAAATCATTAAAAATACAATTTTATGTAGATCAGACTCTTGCTTCGGCAAAACACAGTGAATAAAATAGAAACGATGAAAAGAAAAACATATTTTTTATAAGTTTTTCCTCCTTTTTATTATAAATTTATCATTCTACATACTGCATATAGTACATGCATCTGGCTATTCACATGCTTTAGATTTTGAGATGAAATAATATTAATAATGCTTATATATAATTAAAAATATGATTCTGATATATTGATGATAAATAAGGTTCTTTCTACATCAGGTACTTTTCTGTTATGCACCTGACACACTTTCTGGCCCCTGAGGAAGATAAGACAAACACAAGACATTTCCCAGTGATAGCACCATTTGAGGACTAAGTGTGCATGTGTGTGTGCGTGTTTGTAAGCAAGAATAATTAAACATGCATTTGCATATTACTGCAATAGTACAGACAAAATATGTGGCAGGTGCATAATGAAACAGTGCCCATTTTAGAATAGTAAAAAAATATGAACATTTTACTTCACATTTGAATTCCTGAATAATTAGAAACTGAAAAACACTAGTGATAGAGTATGAAAATATTTTTTAACACAGTAAAATTAGATATTTAAAATTATAGGTTTAAATGTAGTTTTAATTTGAATGGAAGAAAAATTATTTCAAAAGATAACCTTTTTTAAAATGTTTTCTAGTTGATAATACTATTAATCTGCCATTTTCAAATTTATCAGAAAAATATTTTTCATTCAGTTAGCTACACACTTAAAAAAAATTAAATTCTTATGCACTAATTTTAAATGCTACACTTTAGTTAACTGAATGGTGTAAACTGTCTACAAAACTATCAAAATGTTTTAAAATCATTAAACAATAAATGTTTTTCATATTACTTTCGAAAGATAATTTGCATTAAACTTCATATCAAAATGGAGAAAATAAGTCCATTTAAAATATGGAATTAAAAAAAAATCCTCCCAGAAGACAAAACATCAGTATAAAGTAAATACCCCAAAATAAAGATTTCATCTAGAACAAAATTTGTTTTTTTTAAACAAAATTTAAACAAGATTTGTTTTTTTAAACCATTAATCTCAAAATAAAAAAATTAAAACTGTTGAACTGGTTCATAACATAAAAACTACTCATACAAAATGGGAACTATGAATGACTTGCAATCCTCTTACAACACTCGTTGACCAATTAAGAATTATTAAAAAAAATTAACATAAAAAACTACTTTAAATTGAAATTAAAAAATAATCAAGTTATTCTGTTTTATGCAATTTTCTATTCCAATAAAAATATTAATTTGAAAAATAAAATTAAAAAAAAAAGACTGCTTATTTATATCAGCTATTGGTCTTTTTCCTTTGGAGGGAGAGTACCAACTGATTTTAACAGCACATATTTCATATTATATTTACATATTAAGAAATAAAAATATTTTAAAATGAAGCTTACTTTATGACCCGTCATAAACCGAACACAGTTCCCACTGGCAACATCCCAAAGCCTAACTGTACGATCACTTGAACCAGTAGCAATATAATTTGAATTTGGATGAAACTGAATGCACTAAAAATGGGAGGAAAAAAACGTATAATCCACTTTTTTCTACTGTTAAGCTACATTTCACAAAAAGTAATTTAAATTTTATTCTAAGCAGAGTAAATTTGTCACTGTTAAATGTGTCATCACTAGGGCAATACAGATCAGAGTCTTACATTCAAAAGAACTAAGACTCACAAATAGACATGTGTATTTACACTTGAAAATCACTGTTCTGGGATAATCTGCTATATCAAACAATACCAAATTACTCATTAGATTGGGTTTTAGAAAATGTTTAATTCTTATTACGAATTCGATAATTATAAATTTTTATGTTTGTTTCAGATCTATTTTTAAACTGTTATCAAATGAAAAAGCACAAAATTTTGTGAGAAGCATCATAACAAGCTATATTAAGCAGTTAAAAAGCATTCAACTAGTACTGCGTTTAGAAACTAAATCAAATTACCAGAAATAACAGAAAGAGATGAAATTATCAGATTATACACATCTATCTATCTATATAGATAGATAGCTATAGAGATATTTCCGTTAATCTGATGGTCACACGATGAAAAAATTCAAAGTCTTTTTAGAATCTATACTGCTGAAAATTTAAAAAAAGATTAAATTCAATATAAAATGTGTTTGCCACACTATGGCTTAGTTTTCCTTTTAAATGAAAGCTATACATCATTTCCTATCCCCAACCAAGCATTTCACAAACCTTTTATAAAAGACTTAAAAAAATGTATAGATAAGAAACGTAATTACACGTACATTGTTAATCATAATGATGCCTGAATAATAATAGAAAAAAAATCTCAATTCATGTTAGACTAATTTTGGATGAAAATTTAATACTGACTTTGAAAAAATGCACATTCATTTACTGCACCGCACCAGAAAACACACTCCAGACTACATTTACTATTTTTCTCATTGCAGTAATTATTAAATATTAATTAATTTATTGCACATACTAAGACTTTCTGTAGAAAGATAAATACACTAACAATGGCTGTGTATCACTACTGAATTAAATGTACTGTTGTTATCTCTGAAAACAGTTCCCCCCCCATGTAAGTATTTATCAATTAAAAAGTTTTTAAAGTTTGTCATTCTATTTCATTCTTTATTTATTGAAATAATAACTTAACAGCATATATTTCTTATATTAAAAAAAAAAAATTCCTACTGCATTAAAAATGAACAGATGTTGAATGTATGTTTTCACACTACATCCAGATGATGCGTATCTGCTGGACATATCGGATGCAATATAACGTAGCTCCAGTAAGTCCATACGAAAATCGGCCCAGGAGGAAAACACTGATGTTGCGACAACACGTAAGGCCACTTGAAATAAACTCAGTCTCATTCCATATAAAGTGAAAGTGGTTCAACAATTAGTCCTCCGTAACATTGGGAAACGAGTTCAGTTTTATGAACGGTTTCATCATTTCCTTGTGAACAATTCTGACGATATATTGAACTATGTTTTTTTTTACTGACAAGGCTTGGTTTCATTTATTGTGGACACTCATGCATAGAACTCTTGTTAATGGTAAAGTAAAAATTCACATGCTCTTCATGAAACTCCGCTACATGACAAAAAACTTGGCGTATGGATTGCAATATCCAGGAGAAGAATAGTACGCTCCATATTCTTCAGAGAAACAATCAATTCTGATCGTTATTGTGAAGTTGTTTACAAGTTCATGGGAGAATTAACAGAGGACGAAATTAACAATGCCTGGATTCAACAAGATGGCACCACTGCACACAGCTACTAACTGAAAGATGTTTTCGGAGATCGAACCATTTCAAAGGGTTTGGCTGCCTCATTCTCCAGACTTAAGTCATCTGGATATTTACTACTGGGCGATGCAAAAGCTAATATTTATCGACAGAACCACCCACTCACTCCAAGAATTGGAAACTGCTATTTGTGACTCCATCAAGAACATTCCACACACACAACTTGCCAGAGTCTTCGAGAACATGAACAGACTTATGCACACACATCTGAAGGCTTGTGATGAACATTTCCAACAATTACTTTGAGGTAAGTGAAAATTACATAATATTTTTCCTACTGCATGACATATGTATAGTTACTTTCTGAACAAACATGCCAAACATCCGAAACATCCATGCCTTCTAAAAGATTTGAACCTGAGCCCATCAGTGTGGCAGTCAACATCGCTAACTAGTATAATAGCTTAGCTTTAACTGCAATGATATTTAAAATACTGTATTTTTAGAAATTAAACTACCAAAGCCATATGAAAAATGTCCTACAATACTATGACATATTGGCCTTACCTATATTTTCCTTATTATTTTAAAATCTTAAATTTAGAATATTTTACACTAATGTTTAGCATGATTTCTAAACTTTCTTTTATAATAAAATAACACTGAACCTCTTTTAAACCATATATATATATATATATATATACATACATATATAACCTTGAAAGGACTTACATCTACATCAGATACATGCCCAGAAAATATTCTAACAGGCTGATGATAATCTGTTGCCCAGAGTCGAGCAGTTCTATCATGTCCACAAGATGCAAAATAATACCCAAATGGACTAAAAAAGAGAAAAATTGATACATTTTTTAAAACACTGTGCATGCTAATATAAATACATTCAAAAGTACTGTTTTGGAAAACAATAAAGAGACCTAAACCACTCATTCCTTATGGAAAATTTGTTTATATAGTGCTTAAAAAATATTGTGTATCATTTAGAATCACCTTGTATATAACAAATGAAATGTTTGTTTTAAATATTAATTCTCATAAATTAAGTAATAATAAACAATATCCTGTTAATTTAGATAATGCTTATATTGCATTAATGTAACAGGATAAATGTATAACATTATAATATAACACATAAAAAAGCTATGAATTTTACCCAATTCAATTACAATTTTGGTCATTAATTCTAATTAGTTTTTTAAATTCTAATTAGTTTAATTTTTCTAATTAAAGTTTTATTAATTCAATAAATTTCATTTATTGCTGAGAAACTTTTCCTTTAAGTAAATGCTAAAAATTAAAAATAGGGAGATTTGGTGATCTACTGATATTATGAAAAACTAGGTGAGTTGGCAGCTGTTCTGCAGCATAAACCTCCATATGAAACTGAATGGTATTGTACATAATGTAAAATCCATTTACTCTCTAAATGGCTTTTAAGATGTTGCATCACCAAAAATTTTTGAGAACTAATTTCTTTTTAAGGGTAAACAGCATTTTTAAGAAGCAAGAGTATTGTCACTGAAGCAAAAGTTTATCATTAAGCCTACCATAATTATATCACAAAATTATATATTGTACCTTTATCAAGTAAATAAATAAAGTTTCAATAACTGTGAATGACTCAACTTAGGCAGTCATATAATTAAGAAAACTGGTGATTTCTCATCTATTCTTTCGGATAGCCCTCGAGGCTTTGCCATAATCACACACACACACACACACATCTATTCATCCAAAATAAATTTAAAAGCAATTGTTTTACTTGATTTAAAAAAAAAAAATAAAAACCTGAAGGGATTAGGATTTTAATGGTCATCCAAAAAGGCTCTTTTAAAGTTTAATATGGTTTATCAGTAGAGATTATGAACAGAGGTGGCCCAGATGGAATAGATTACATTTTATAGGATATTAGAAGAATACTAACATGGACACATATCTTCCGCATATTTGAAAAGTGAAAAAATTGCATCTAATTCTATAAAAGTATTTAATATTTTTAATTACATTATCGTGCAATCAGATTAAAAAGTAAAATACTTCCTTAAGAGCATCTAATGCTTTTAAATAGCTTAGTTTGTTAACCCTTTGACGAATGCTACATTATTTTTATAATCTTTTTAACTAAAATCTCTAGAAATTGAATATTATGATTCTAGAAACAAGTAATCTATAAATTAAAAAAAAAAATCTACTCTTGCTCATTGTTCTGCGGGTGGTGGTTGCAACTGTGAAACCAGCGCGAATCTAGGGCTTTGAAACTTACTGAGGTAGTAGGGGGAAAAAAATTACCTTTTCCCGTGCGCTTTTCCAATAAATGACGATTAAAAAAAAAAAAAAAAATGTAAGCAAGAATTGCATTATATGTAAATTTTTTACATTATTTTACAAAGTAAATCGTCAGAAAAAATTAAAAAATAAACATTTATGTAATTTTTCTATAGCAGTGAAAATGCAAGTACCTGCATAATAAGGACATTCAGATAAATGGAAAAAAACTCAGTAAAGTAAGGATTAAAAAAATCTCGGTTTTTTTTTGGGGGGGGGCACTGTTCAAAGCATGTTTTGTCTTTTTGGCACATGCATAGACCCACATTGCACATTTCGCATATGTGTCTTGTTCTATGAAGTTTCTTCCTTGTGTTACAAAATGTACACTGCCTGAATCTTATAAATTTCACTGGTATATGTCCAGCATTATTTAGTTTCTTTTCACCTGGCACATGAAATTTGTGGTTTTTTATGTTAATGCGAGGGCTTGGTCTTTTTGATTTTGGTACAGATAATTCGTTTCCCATTCATATTTATTTTATCCATATTCCAGCCCAAAATATTTAGAAAATATTTTAAATTTAAATAAAACTTTTACGCAATTTCTATTTTTAATTATAGCAAAGCATATTTACATTAAATTTAAACCACACCAAATAGCTTATAAAATCACAATACTAGCATGGGAAGCAAGTGTGCTGAGGTCAGAGTAAAGTCTCTGAAAAAGAAAGACCTGTTCACTGGGCAAGTGTATATATTGTTTAGCAATAAAATAATTTTGTGGTTTCAAAGACCCTTATCTATATCCAGGTAAAAATAAACATTCCTATTTGAAAAGTAAGCAAACACCATTGTGAAGAGCAGTGGTTTCAAGGACTACTGAGCCTTTAGCGGATTGTGAGCATTGTGACACAATGCTCTAGTGGCACAGTGTTCCTGCCCTGAAACCACAAAGCAAATACCATATATATAGATAGGTTTTTTTTTTAATATATGCAGTTGAATTATTGCAATTTGTTATTGTTCATGATAGAAATCCATGAATGATGTGCAATGGATAACTTCTGAAATTTAAAGTTGTTTATATTAACAAAAGGAAGTTATTTTATCTCATTGAAAACAAATTTTAAAAGAGAACCAATTTGAAGTACTAAGACTTAAAACATGTATGATTCTGCAGTCATTTTGAGTTACTTAGAGGTAAAAGATCAGTAATCAATTGATTTTCGCTCAAAAATATCGGAAAGAAGAGGAGAAAAAAATTCGAAAATTGATGGTTTCAGGGAGCGACCACCGCCCGTCAAAGAGCTAATCAAGAACAGACAGCAACAAATTCGAATGAAAGGAGAAACAATAGATTTTAAATCAATGCAAAATCATGTTTTGAGAAGAATAGCCTTTCAAGCTAAAAAAGTTATGTATTTTAAGAGTAATATTCTGTTTTCATGAGGTTTATTTCTTTGGTTCCTTTGATATTAATGGATGATAGTAAAAAATAAACGTAACATTTGGGTTTAGCAAGAAATATCCAAAAATGATATAAGGAATTATTTTTATCAGTACAAACATATTGCTCAAAATACATTTAAATGTATATGGAAACTGTACTTCTTAATAATTATACTCATTTAATTTTTTTTTACATAAACATTAAACACATAAACATATCAGACTTCTGCAAAACAAAATTTTTACTGAAAACTGTAATTTGTAGACATAAAAATTGCACATAACAATTTGCATCAAGTATAAAATAATTTGCATTAAGTAAAAAAACTAAACATTACATTTTGGCAATTTAATTCACAATTTTTTTCTCGAGATGAATTTTACGTATTTTTATTTTTTACTTTCATAATCAAGTTAGTGTGACTGAAATATTTATTATTAACATTATAAATTGCTAATTATGAAATGCTATTAAAAATCTCATACGCATAAAAAAATCAATGAAATGTAATATTTTCATGAAAGAAGCATTTCATTAAAAACTAGACTAAAATTCTCCCTACAGATCATATATATTTGCAACATCATTTTGAAGAATGTACTGAATGAAGAAGGGGAAAAAAAACTGATTCAAAAGAAAAAGTTTTCCCATCACTTCAAACAACAAACAGCATTCATTATTTACACCTGTAATAAGAAGCATAAATAATACAAAAAACAAACAAAAAAAAAAAAAAAAAAATTTCTATCAAATACATCATTTTCTGAAAAAAATTATTCATTACTTTTCAAGTTGTTGTTTTTCAGTAGTGTTACATAAAATCTATAATGTTGAGAAACACTGTGCTAAATAGCTAAAATATACTGAGATTTTAAAGTTATATATTTTCATCTTCAAGAATGATCATTGCACAAATACAAGAGCAATATAATAAAAATGAAAAATTCGTCATGTTTCTAGAATTCTTGTATTTAGTTTGTGTGATCACTGATGTTGAAATTTATACACAGAGATGATGTTATTTCTGTATATAAATGGTCTTCATAACTAGGCAGCAATTTGTTTCATGCTAATATTTTATAATGCAAACAAGAAGCCTATTACATCAGTTCTTTTCACAGCAATAACTTATTAAGAAATACAAAACAAAGATATTTAATAAGATACACAGGAAAATGATTGAAAAAATTTCAATTGCATTAAACAGAAAATTAACATTCACCTAAATTTGACATCCCAAACAGGAAAACAATGACCTTTATAACAAACAACATTGGTCCAAGTCTGCAGACTCCATAAACGAACTATAAAATGACAAAACAGGAATTAAAATTATATATCATATTAATAAATACAATTAATTTTAATATAAAAGAGCAATATAAAGAAATTTTACTAAAAATACACATCCCATATTGACCGCCCAGTGATGCAGCTGCACCACAGGTCCGAGGTTCAATCCTCAGGCTCGGCAAGGTTGACCCAGCCTTTCATCCCTTGAACGGGTCGATAAATTGAGTACCAAGTTCGCTTGGGGACTAAATACCGGGGGTCCTGCAAAAAGCTGATCACATGCTCATGGCATATGCTGATGCACTCCGGGGCCCAAGGTCAAGAAAGCAGATTTCGGGGTACTGCAGGCCATGGCCAACTAGGGCTGTTGCAGCACTGAGTTTAGATTTTACACATCCCATATTACATACTAATGTACCACAAAAGTACCTAAAGACAAACTCATGCAAAATACATAATAATGTTTCTCAAGCACATCAACAGTTATTATTGCTGTGCATATATAAAATGACAGATATCTATGAAAGCTTTTAAAATTAAGTGATTTCTAATATGATTCAACAGTTATAACTCTTGCGATAGGTCAGAGTTTTCCCGAGGCAGAAACAATATCTGAACTTTAATAGGGATTCTTTCAAGAATGGCCTATCACTGAGAGTTTTCATTACGTATAGAATTTTTACTCAAGTTCCAATTTAAGAAAAATAAAATTATTTAATATAGCCTCAGATTATGAATTAAGTAAATTATTTCTCTGTGATATAATTAATAATTTTTGAAATAAAGTAAGAATGTCTACTAATGCTTCTTACAAAAGAGCACTCACAGTAGCATGCATTTGCTTACTTTTTCTATCACTAGAATTAGTAGCGTTCCTTTGCAATTAATTTTTGAAAACTATAATTGATGTTATCACTCCCATACACCATAATTATTCAGAAGTAAAAGTTCAAAAAACATATGTGAACAAATATGCTTTAAAAAATGCAAACTGGGTGCATAAGCAGATACACTATGATGAGAAGTATGACTGAGCTGATTTAATGAAAATGCACATAATTCATGCAAAAAGGCATAAAATGACACTGAGAGAATTTAAAAATGAAGACTAACAGAAATATCTTTCAGACAAAAAAGAGTTTTCGCATGGAGAAGAATGACCACTCTTTCTCTCTTTCCCCATGAAATTAAAGGATGCTATGAGTAATGATGTCTGCAAATTTTTAAATGAGTTGTAAGCTTAGAATAAATACAAGAAAGATAAACTCTAATCTCTGGATACATAAACCGATATCATCAAGTTCCCAATATACTACTTTCCATAATAATAGTTCTACAAGAGTCTGTAAAGCTACGAAGACAGCTGAGTTGAAATGCTTAATGCCTACTCATTAACAAAATTTAACAAATGTCTCTCGCTGCTGTACTTCTCAGATGTTGTCATCCAGATCTTCTTGACACTTTACAAATGTCTTATATGCTATCATAAAAATGATATCACATTGTGTGAATGCACCAAATTCTAGCAATTTAAGAGTGGCTAGCTTCAAGATAATGTACTGCTCTCCTTGCGAACTAAACTGGAAGCTTACATGTGGCACAGGCAGAAAGCAGTTCAAACATGAAACTGCTTTCTTCCTTCATAGATAGTGAAGCTAGAAGTTAGCTGGGATTATTTTAACTGAACTTCAGAGAGTAAGTAATTTCCATGTTCATAAATATTTAAATTACACAGTTCAATGGCTTTGCAAAATCAAAGTCCGTTGAAGAAACACAAAAAGCACATTTTAAAATAACACCACACTTGGCTATACACAAAAACAGTGCACAGTTCGCTTTGTCAAGATGATTTATAAAAATCACAAAACAAAAAAGTGAGTAAAAAAGATATGAAAAAAATACAAAATATTTACATTATGTACATCACTACCACCGTGGGTTGTGGTGGATTGAACGTGGGCGTTTTACAACACTCTCTTGAGTGAGATCGTAGGTAGTAAGATTTCTTACGGCAGAGTATGGAGAATTTTGCATACTCGTGAAAAAATTGTGTGCTGTGGTCAGAATCTGTTCCTGAATTGGTAGAATTTTTAACTCTTCATAGAGCTGCGAGTTTCTTATGAACCAGGGAGCGTTTGTAATAGATCGAAGTGTCTTGTTTTGTAACACATTCATCTTCTGTCTGTCTGTTTTCGTTGCTGTAGCCCAGGCCAATACGGCATACAATAAAACTGGGCGAATTAAGGTGATATAAAGTGTTCTTTTAATCTTTAAATCCAATTTAGAATTTCGTCCTAATAACGGGTAGATGGCCATGAATGCTGCGTTAGCTTTATTGGTTGCGTAAGTCACATGATCATGAAAAGAGAGAGTTCGATCAATATGCACTCCAAGATATTTGTAAGAATTTACAACAGGAATTGGGATACTGTCAATTTTTACCTCAATATTAAGCGGGAAAATTTTTTTATACCGTTTGTAAATCACTATTTTACGTTTAGAAGGGTTCACTTTAATCTTCCATAGCTTGCACCATGCATCTATTTCATTAATTTGGTACTTCAGCTTGTCTACAGCATTTTGAGGGTTCAGGGAGTTAGTTAAAACCACGGTGTCATCAGTAACTTTAAAACAGTTGAAGAGAAAGACTGAGGCATGTCATTGACAAAAATGCAAAATAATTTTGACGAAAGTACGCTTCCCTATGGGATGCCTTTGTACATTACTTTCTTGCTGGAGAGAGAATCACCGCATCTAACTTGAAAAGTTCTTCTTTTGAGAAATGAAATAATCAGTTTTAGAAAGCTATTAGGAAGTATGCAGTTTGAAAGCTTGTACACAAGTCCTGCATGCCACACTCGATCGAAAGCTTTTTCGAAATCGAGGTAGCATGTAGCGACTGCGGTCTTTTTCTGGAAATTTAGAGCAATATATTCTATTAAGTTTAGGATTTGGTGTGTGCTACAATGGCCTCTCCTAAATTCAAATTGGTTTTCGTCAATAATTTTCAATCTTTCAAGGTGAGTAGTCAACGGTCATTTAAAATTCTCTCGAAAACTTTTCCTACTGCTGGGAGTAAACTAATAGGTCTGTAGCTTGTGACTTCATGGGGATTTTTTCCTGGTTTTAGTATCGTAATTAGAATTGAATGCTTCCATTGCTGAGGGAAATGTGTGAGTCGAATGCATGTGTTAAATATGTTACAAAGCAACACAATACAGTTTCTTGGAAGTGCTTGCAGAGCCTCATTGTTTATGTTGTCGTACCCTCTTGCCTTCTGTTTATTGAAGTTTTTAATAATGCTTTGAACTTTGTTTGGAGAAGTGAATTTAATGAAGTTAGAATTATGCCGGGATTTTATATTAACTATTTCTTGCTTAACTTCTTCCTCGTAGAGAAATAAGCGGTTACAGAGGTCATATATATAACTTTAAAACAGATCATGGTTTAACAAATCATAAACAAGACACAATAAATAACCAATCAAAAATAAAATAAAATGGGATTAAGTTTCAGAATAACTCGGACCTGGCTGAAAGCTAATGAATGTATCTGACGTGACAGAAAGCTATACTTCTATTAACCAATAAGAATGCGATTACAAATATCTCAACAATACCATTTAACAGATTCTTTATTTAGATGCTTTTAAATTTTTATATATATGTAATATATTCAGGAGCAGGAATTTTGATGACGTCGAAGTGTTGATCCATCATGTCTAGGAAATTGGAGGCAAAGGCAGATTAAATCTTCAGTTCTATTTTCAGTAACATGTTGCGGCTACACACAAGTCAGCACATTAAATGTGCTTGTTAAAAAAGGTTTACATTTTTTATATATTTGCAGCAAAAAAGAAGCAGCAGACAGACTGCAGTCCAGCTAAGGCAAAGCGTAGAAAGAAAGTGCGTAATGTTCAGGATGAAATCTTAAGTCGAACTGAGTTAGTTTTGGTCTCAAAGCTTTTTGATTGGATAGTTAATATTGCTGTAAAATTATTATTGGCTGCTTGAGTTTTAGTTCAATTTACATCACCAGAATTACATAAGAGTCATAGGACATGGATTTTTCTCGAAATGACGCAGTGCAAATAGATGTTGCTATTTTTAGAATAGAGAAGGGAAATTAATTTACGCTGCTAATTTAATCTTTCACATATTCTTTATTTTTCTTACACATATATATGGCTAATTATACTTCTTATGAGAAATTCTTATTTTGTTCACAACTTTTCAAATAATACAGCTATTTTAAAATGACAAAAGGTTTCAATTCTACATAAAATTAGCTTTAGAATTATGTACAATTTATTAAATTTGGAATAGAAATTTCGAAAATAAGATGATATGATCAGAATACATACTTTTATGAGATGTTGCAGAACGTTCGCTATAAAAAGCACTAATGGCCGAGTAAAAAGTCACAGAATACAGAACAATTGACAGTTCAAATCTGAATGAATAGCTAGGCTGCATGGAAATTTTCTGTTTTTTCCCCATGAGTAACATAAATATGTGAGGGTTTTCCTTAAATAGTCCTCCAAGACAATCCTCCCTTTATGTAGATAGCTCTCACAATCTTTGAGGCAATCTAATTCAATTTCCATATATATATATTTTACCTACAAAGGTTTAGGACTGAACTGATTATAAATGAAGACGCATTATAAATATTAACATGCTTTTGCATATATTCCTACTAATGCATGATTCTTTCGCATGCACAAGAAGTACTATGTATTACATCTATGGAAGTTACAAAACTATACATACATATATATGATATGAGTATGGTATTTAGATGTCGATGATGTTATAGATATACTCAAAGAGACTGAATCATGATGCAGATTGTTCGATTATGACAATACAATATCACAGGTACATATTTTAATTCTTGATATATATGGCTAAGCTGGTCCAAGGGATGTATCTGTTTATTACCAAATTTTTACATTTTTTGATGCATTTGCAGTAACTGTATATTCTGACATATAATACACACCTATAATTTCAAACTATATTTTTTAATTTTTAGGTATATATTCAGCATATAGTGTGCACCCTTTTCTTTATGAAGAAACCCAAAAGATACATGTGCAATGCTTTTATTTTTTGTTCAGCCATTCAAAGATTTCCCCCAATGATATACTGAACTGACAAATGATAAGAGGAATAATATGTGTGTGGAGGAAATACTTGAGGTAGTAAATAATTCTGGCAACAAGGAGGGTTGTATTCAATGCAAATATGCACAAGAATGTTATTCTAGGGTTTCGAAGAATTGCATTAGTTTCAGTTGCAATATGGTTAATCTAGTGTTCATTTTGCTAGTAAGTATGACTCCTGCCAAACGAAACTAACACATAATGTTATTCTAGGGTTTCGAAGAATTGCATTAGTTTCAGTTGCAATACAGTTAATCTAGTGTTCATTTTGCTAGTAAGTATGACTCCTGCCAAACGAAACTAACAGATTGCTGGTTTTAAATGCCAAGTTATTCAATTTGTGAAAGAAAATGGAAATCATGCTGCAGCAAGGCTGTTTGGTGTTGGTGGAAGCTCCACACGAGTGGAAGAAAAAATAAATCACAATAATTAATTTGCCAAAGAATAAATGTGCTTTGCATAAAGCAGTAATGAAACTGCCCAATGAAAAAAAAAAAAAAAAAAAATTGGACCTTAGAAACACGCTAGACTGGATTAACTGTAAAAAGAAAGAAGTTACATTTATTTGCCTTACAGTCAGCAAAAAAGAACACAAATTAAAGTGAAAACTTTAAAGCAACTTTGCATTCTTTTGCAGTTTAGGCCAGCATCTACTACACTGGTAACTAATTTGGAAGAAAACAAATAATATCACTAACAGTGCCCTTGGGCAACAGTTAACAGTGTTATTCATTATTTCAATGAAATTCTAAAGGGATAGGAAGAAACTAATATTTTCTTTCTTATAATGTGAGGAAAATTTTATATTTGAATAAATATATAATATGCATTTGTTTATTCAATACAGAGAATAAAACAGAATTTTAGCCTACAGTTTATGCAACAGAAATAAGCAAATATCTTAACTGCAAGAAGCTCCTTAAATAAAAAAAAAAATGATAATAACCAGTAGAGTCTTCCGAACATGACAGCAGTAAATTTTTGTCTGGACTGAAACTTGTAGAATATACAGGACCGCTGTGTCCTATAAGAGTTCTCATATCGATTGCATTCCTTTCATCCATCATCCTATACAATACATCATCTACATAACAAAGAGACACATACAGATTTAAGAAGCAGTATCATACAATAAAAAGAAATTTCATAAATTTTTCTATAATTATATTATAAAAATTCAGAAATATTTGAATAATTATAATTTGAAATTATTGAATATACTCAGAAAGTTTTACATAATTTGAAATATTTGCATTACTACTAAACCAGAAATAGATTTTAAAACAGAATCCTTTTAGTTTCAAAATGATTACTTTCATAATTCTAATGGCTAAATAACAAACTAGTAATGTATGCCAAATTTAGCCCATCAGAATATCTGAAGAATAAATAAATTTGATAACATTAGACTCAGCAAATAAATCACAGTTTAACAATTCACTATTAAACAGAATAACACTTTGGAAAAAATATAATACGATTTATTGTTTTACATGCTTATTTATTCAAAAAGCTAAAACAATATTTGAACAGCTATTTTTACAGCTCCAAAAATCTTTAAATATTGATTTCAATGCACGTAATTTATATCAAAACACAATATTTACAAATATTAAAATTTTTGAACAGCATTTGAAATGCTATAGGTGTTATATTCATCAAGGCCTTTTTTTAGCATTATCATTTTACAAATTCTATAAATCTCATTTCCATTACTTACAGAAATTAAACAATTCAAGCTAAGATTAAATATTCACACTGAGGTTTGGAATTCTGCATATCATAGAAACAAAAGATTTATGTAAGCCTCTGAAAAGGATGTATTTGGCATGCACATATATAGACAGACAGTTAAATACATTCTTCATAATCTATTAGTTTTATAAACATTAAATTAAAAGAAAACTTCAGAATCAATCTTCAAAACTTTCTTGAATGCAATGATTAAAATAATGTGCAATAATTAAAAATAATGAAACAAAAAAAAAAAAAAAAAAAAAGGCCTTACCAGCTTCTTTATCAACTTGTTCAAGCTCTGAAGCTGGTTTCATAGCTTTAAGTTTATTTGTATTTAGGCTCCAGATCCTTACTACAGAATCGGAAGCACCGGCACTTAGAAGACTAGAATCCTCACAAATTTCAGCACAAGTTACACTTCAAAAAGAAAGCATATGAAATAAAATTATGATTTAATGCTGAAAAACAAATATTATTTAAACAATTTCTATAAAAGAGAAAAGCACAAATATTTACCCCTGATGAGAATTTAAAAATGTATAAAAGCATATTGATGGTAAACTGTTAGGTCCAAGGCGAACTCTTTTAAGGGCTTCTCGCATGGCATTAACTTTGTCTAATTTGTCAGCATCTCTCCTATAAAAATAAAGAAATAAAACCAAAGAGTAATGTGTCAAATTAATTTAATACAGGATTATAAACTTCTACAGTTTACAAATTTATTTGAAACAACAAAAAAGATTTCATCACATTTCTTGGCGATACATTATCAACAACTTAAAAAGCATTTTTCCATAGTGTATATCACACTACAACTTCTTTCAGTAACTTTTGTCTCATTGGCTACTGTATTTTATGAATTAAGATATTCTGTAGAAATAACTGTTTGGAAGAGCCGTAAAATGGCTATAATTATTTTGCATAAATCCTGCATTCCCCTTCCCTTTCTTTCCTCAGATTTTGGGTTTACAGTCAGATTACACATTAAACTGAAGCCTTATCATCAACTCTGGCGTTATTCTTTACTGTCCGATCAAATAAATGATAAATCTACTTTTTTCCCCAGGGGTGGGGGTATTTTGAATTTATTTGGCATTTCTTCATTTGTGTGTCACTTTGATTGTTAACCATTATTTTATTCCCCTTTAAAATGGCTTTAATTTGGAATTGTTTGAGTTGCTAATTTGTGAATTTTTTCACAAATGTGCCAAATACATTACTACTATTGTGATGTCATTAAAATTCCAATACTGTAATAATAATATCTGAAAATGAAGCATGTATCTTCCCACTTTTTGTTTTAAAATATCCGCCTTTCATTCTGCAATTTTTTTAAGCATAATTTCAACACACTAACCTGGAAATCTTATCTGAATTAACGACTGGAAAATATATCAAAATAGCATCAAATACTGCATACATGTAACTTGATAAAATTGTAGAAAATGAGTTAAAAACTATATTACCAGTATTTTAGATCAGCTTACAAGGATTACATTAAAGAATAACACAAAAGAAATATATATGCACTTTGCAACATATATAGATATGGTAATATAATATCTCATGATAAAAAAAGAACCCAGAATAAAATCACCAGATTTTTTCTACTATAAAACACTATCAAAATAAACACAAATTTTTAAGTAAACACATTCAAAAGATCCCATATTTAAAAAGTTTAACTATGATAAAATTTACATGAACATAGTTTTATGGTAGAATGTCACTTGCTTTAGGCCATAGATGGCCCTCCATACTTAAGTAAGCAAGTAGGTTACATATGTAAACTCATTTCTCTTGTATAAATAGTAAAATTTTATAGAAGTTACTGACCAAAATGTCCATGTTCAGTTTGATAAAGAATGGAAAATTTTGAGAACTATAGAAGCAAAAGGAATAAAGTTACAAATATCTTATGTTTAGGAACACCTTATGAAATAAGAAACATTGAAAAAGAAGAAATGTTTTCTAATTCTAAGCTTATTTAAAATTATATTGTCCCTCCATTGTCCATCAGCATCAATTGAAAGAATATCCCTACAAGTAACAATGTGTGAGATTTAATAAAAAGTGAACAATATACTCCCCCAATGAATAGATCTCTATTAATTAAGGAGAAGCTAAACCATTTAACAACTACATATTTTATTATTTATGAAAAAATTTACTAAAAGCAATAAAAGCTTTTATAAATTGTGTGTGTAAATAAGTATAAATGAAAAATAGCTTAAATATGCAAAATAGCAAAGTTATCTTATTTAAAACACTTAACCCTTTCGAGCCGGGTAGCGAAAACGCGCGCTTATCGCTGAGGCCGGCAGTGTCTTCCGCGAGCGTCTCTCCAGGGCCGGGGACTTTTTTGCTAATCCATGAAATCCATGAAATTTCCTAATCCATGAAGCCTAAATCCATGAAATTTTTGAAGTATCAATGCATTGTTTAATAATGCTCTATAGAGTATTTAAACGGCTTATGCTTTATAGATATTTTTATATATATACTTTAATTACCTTATTTCTTGTTTAAATGCATATTTTTTTATACATTTTATTTTAATTACTCACCATTTTATGACTTTTAACATTATAATCTGAAAACTAATATAATTACTTAAAATTCTCTTTTTGTATTAAAAATTTTAAAACAGGGATCTACACACAGTCCTACGTTACATTCCTTGAACTCGTAATAACTCATTTGCCGTTTTGGAGGATTTTTCCGGGGAATGTGAACAAACGAAGCATCGTCGTCTCATTTTCTTATCAGTCTCTTCTGAACAAAGTTTTGGAAAATGTCTTTCAGTTAATCTTTCAGAATCAATATCAGAATATCAGAATTTCAGAATCAATATCTGAATATTTTTGCATCATTTCTGCTATTTCATGCTCTGTTAAACATTTTCGACGCTTCGACATTGAAACGGTAAAAACAGAAAAAACAGAAAGAATTCACGTCTAACAAGATCTAATTATTTCTAAAAACTGAACTGTAAACGGAAATACTCAACGCTTTAGCGCATATAAAACTTCTACTTACAATAAACAACTACCACGTGCGAATAAAGTGCAATTTAAAGAGACGTCATAAATCACGCCATTCGGAAACATTTAGTTCCCCGTTTGTTTATATAATCAAAAACACGTGTATGTGAGTCATGCTTCTCTCATTTCAAGTAGAAGGTCTAATGCACATGTATCTGAAACCATATGGACATACAGTGCCATCTTGTGGCAGAAATTATAGTTTGAAAAACGCTCCAAAGTACTGGCACAAATACGTGACAGTCGGTAGAGAATGGAACAATCCTCTGGCACGCCTGCGTGTCGGCCGGTAGGTAAGTGCGTTCGTTGCTGGCACGTATACGTGACAGTCGGCGCGAAGGGGTTAAATCACACTAAAAATTGTATAGTAATTTAGTATATATGTTAAGTGCTAGAGTTCTTCAATTACTAACTTTTCAATTGTAGTAGTTATGATGACCAATATTATTTTAATTATTACCAATACTCAACTGTTACTATTACTTAATATAATAATTATTAACATTAATGATAATTATTAACATTTTATGTAAAAGTTTACAATAACGGAGTTCGTACACATTTCTGCACACGGAAATTAAGTACTTTTAAGGACCAATGATGAAAAAAATTAAGGACCTATGAGCAAATGGGAACTGAATAAATTCAATTAAAAGTATTATTCTATGCCTGAATTTCACATTTGTAATGCCAACCTAAAAAGAAAATAGATCCCTAAGTAGTATGCATTATTACTAAACATGAATTAATTAACATAATTATTAATAAGTTTGAGAATAAAAATAAACTTTCTGCAATTTATCAAGTAGCATTAAATATTTTACACTTATAATAGTTGGACATATTTGTAAGAAGGTAAGTGACATTTATGTTTTACTAATAGTTAGCTTTATGTTGATTTCTTTATGTCTCATTTTGTAACATACTTGGTCAGTCTAGAGGTTTAGAGGTTCCATGCTTGTGTAAATAGCAGGTATTAGAATTTATTGTCAAGCGGCATAGGTTAAAATGAGAAGTAAGATCATAATCAGCATGATTCATAACAAAAGACTGAATGTTGTCACGGCTGTCGATTGTCCACAGAGATACATGCTAATTCGAACAAATCTGAAAGTCCTGATGTAGGCACGGTTTGCAAGTGTTGAAATTTAATCAGGCTCTGTTTAATGCAGTTAGTGTCATAGCTTTGTGTAGAGTTCCAAAGGTTGTAACCCAGTTAATATAGTTTAAGATCCTTACAAACCATTAAAGTGCCAGAGGTGATAAGTTGTTTTGCATTATTTTAAATCTCACTAGATGCAAAGAATAAATTTTACTTGAATTTTTAAATTTTTGTGTTATATCTTGTGACCACAGTGAGTATTAATGAAAGGCAATAGCTCTCTTTAATATGTAGAGATATTTTTTAAGGGTAAGCAGTTAATTATAAATTGTTAAATTAGGTAATTAGATAAACTTAGTCATTAGGGATTTACATGGCCTCTATTAAATTTTATTTTTTAACAATATTTGTTAAAAAAGCCCTATTAAAACACAATCTAATAGAATTTTACAGTTTAAAATACATGTAATTTATGACATTGATTCTTAAACGATATTAGGATAATTACACATTAAAAGTTAAAAAATATTTATGTTTTGTAACAATAACACTCAACAAAATATTTATCCATCATTTTAATTAAAAGCCTTCCCAAACATTTTGGCTAGTTTATATCGATTTCATTCTCTTTAGGCATCTTTTCTAACAATCAGAGATTTGTCTCAATATGCAAACCAGTGCTCTCACTAGTTTCTATGTGCTTTATCTTCTAACTTATCAACCTCTCCACAATGTACCTATGAAGGTTTACTTGATCTGGTAAAAGTCAAATAATCCCAAACCCCAGACAGATGTGACGCAAATTATTCCTATGTCTGAAAGTAACTACATCAGAAAAAGGTTTAAATAAGCCTTTTATTAAAAAAAAAAAAAAAAAACCTTAGAACATAAAGGCATGTTCTGATGCTAACAAAATCAATTACAGCTCACGGTGATGTAATTAAACAAGAGCAGCCATATTCAAACTAATAATGTGGCCTAGTGATCAAAGATTATACAATTTAATTTTTATTTAATCTGGCTCAGTAACTCTATCATATGAGGAAATAGAAATAGGAAATTATAGTAAAGGCTGAAATCAATAAGAATTGGGTAATTTACATAATAATAACTGTACATATCTTTGAATAATAATTTTCTTTATGTATTCAGTTTCTTTTTTCAACACATTTCCTTTCCATTTTAGAATTTAATTAAGAATTTCTGTTATTTAAAAAAAAACACTAAATGCACTTAGAATATATAGAAAAAGTGGCTAATTTTATTTCTTTAGTAATATGAATATTCAGAAGAAATATGAAATATATATAGTAAAGGCCAGTTACAGAGAAGTGGCAGAATTTTTAGAATTTAATGACACACAGAAGAACAAAATCTAGAAATGGCAAAACTTTTAGAATTTAGAGCAGGCATTGGAAGCAGAATTTAAAAATGCACTAGGCAGCAGAATTTAGGATTCACAGAGATTGCATCAGGTAGGAAAATGCCTAGTGCCTGCTCTGTGTTATGATGTATTAAGACATATTAGATGAATCTTTTAAATTTAAGTTTTCAATTTCTTTATTAATAAAAAATTCCCTTTTTATAATGCCTGCCCAAATGATAAAATTAGAAGCATTTTTGATATTTTCCACGCTTGTGTCTAGTGATAAGTAGAGAAAAAAAAAGGGAAGATAAACATGTTAAGAAAAAGATTCTAGTATCAGGAGTAAAACATTCAAATATTATGTTTTCAATGTTCTTCCAGACGTTCTCCAAAAAGTAAGAAATTCATCGCAAACTTTCTATAAAATACATCCATGGAGATATTCTTCATTTTGTCACATGTTTCTCGAATCTTCTAAAATCGTGGGTCTATAAAATCTTGCCTTCAAATCCTTCTAAACTTTCCAATCTGCAATGTCTAAAATACTAAAGAAAAATTATCTCTACAAATTCTGTAACAGCAAAAAGCCAGAAATATTTTGGAAAAAAAAAAAAGGTGGAAAAAAGTGTAAAATTAATTTTATAGAGAAAACTGATGCATTTTCTGAGAATTTTGAATATTCTGAGACAATTACATGAGAAAAATGCTTACTATGAAGAAAATTAAAAAGAAGACATTTTTATTTAACCTTTTGAAGACGGGATGACCATTATAGTGGCCATAGAGTCCTCTCTTTGAAAAGACGGGGTTGTCCACTTTAGTGGCCATGTCTTTTTCCCCCATTTTCCAGGCTAAAAAGCGGGGTGAAATGTCAAATTTGACGTCCCTGGGATTTTAACCACTTATCTCTTTCAAAGGTCTTCCTTTTGCGACATAGATGCACCCCTCTGAGAATCCATTAAACTACACACAGGAATCTTTGTTGCAAATAGGAGGTGATTTCTTAAAGAGGGAAAGCATTCGGTTCCAGATTCCCCGTTTTTTGGTAGCTTTTACTGCTACCAAAGCCCCGGCATCAAAAGGTTAATTACATAGCTAATTTCAATATGTTACCATTATTTTAATGAAATTTATCAATGTTATGATGTTTTAAAAAATTCGTTGGAAAATTTTCAGACCTCGGAATTAAAAATGTTCCATAGAATCTGATCTTAAAATCGCCAAAATGTTGACAAGATGCCAAATTTAGAACCGTTTAATAAAAGAATTCACATCCCAAAAGCAAAAACTTGTTTAAGAGCTCTTTATTAGAAAAAATTAATTTTGAAATGCTTATGTTTCACTTCTTGCTTGGAAACTCGAGTATCCCATCATTTATGTTAGAAATAGAAACAAATTATAACCCATGAACCCAATCAAAAGATAACCATATATGTCAGAGAATCGCCAAAATATTCCTCCAAAATTGCAGTCATAAAAAACAGACAGAAATTTCATATGATTAAAAATTAAGGACCTTCTGCTAATTTTGGCCAAAATTAAGGACTTTTATGGAACAAAAATCGATTCCAAAAAATTTAAGGACTCTTAAGGACTGTACGAACCCTGAATAATGGTACGCCCCTTAATATTTTTGGCAATTTTTATGATGCCAGGAATGGTGCCAAAAAGCAATGTTTCCAAGCTGGCTGTCACCCAAAATAACACCGAAGTTGTATGTTACAAAAATACTCATCTCGTGTGTTCTTGGCTACATCTCATCATCTGCATAGGATGACTACTGCACACACATAATGCAAATTATGTAGTCCTGATCCCGGTATTAGCGATGCCATATAAACTTTGCAAAGTATGAATACAAAATGTCATAAAATGACAACTGCTGAAAACATCGTTTGTAAAAGTCATGCTTAATGTGGCTCCACATGCCCTCAATGGTCTTTGTATGAGGGCCAGTTTTGAACACCTTTATCACAACAAACCCACTCATAGCCATCCAACTGATCCTTAAGTTCGACCAGATGCATATCTTTCATACAAACTTGACATTCATAGGGAGAACTAATTAAACCTTCATTCAAACATCAAGCAGTTTTAACTTTCTTATCTTTTTGCTCTAAATCTTGAAGAAAACAAGTATTTATCTTAACATACTTCTTTGTTGAAATGACAGAAAAATGATTAATTAGAACCAGTCAAATAATGAAAATTTCAGTAAATGACAACTAAAATTCTTATAATTCAAAATACGACCAGATGCATGATTTGTAATGGATGATACATGTACTACAAGTCATGTAGCCCTCAATCACTAAACTAAGAATTTCCAATCTTAGTAAACTTAAGAAAAACACTGGCACATAACATAAAAATGGCTGCCATAACATTGGAGAAACAGAGTCGATTCTGGGTTACCAACAACAGCATCAGCATTTGGTGCCAAATCAAACAGCATCTTTTTCTACACTAGAGCCATACATTATTTTATTTTATGTCAATATTACTCATGCTCAACTACACTTCAGATCTTAAAGAGAAAACATTTCTCTAAGCGTAGCTAAATCACAATTTATATAAAAAGAAACATATATGCATAAAATATCTAAATCAATAATAAAAACTTTTCCAGAAGAAAAAACAAAAATACCGAATATCTAAACAACTTATAGATAGATTTGGTTTTAAGATACATATATAACATACCAGTGCCAAAACTGATATATAACATGTGCTGCAATTGATATATACATAAACCATTTACTTATTTTTTACTAATTTTTTCTCCCACGGATACAAAGAGAGATGATTACAAGAATAAAGTTCTGAAAAATCAAATATTAAAAACAAAATTTTTTAATTATAATGCATGAAAAAATAAAGAATTTTAATACTAGAAAAACATACTTAAAAGTATAGAAACAAACATTTACATCATAGTCAAGAAAAAAACTTTTTTACTCAATACTTACAACTCTGGGAGAGGAACTCTGTTCCCTGGTGGTGCATTAGGATCATTACGAGATTTTTTTGATAACAGAGGATCTTTCTTTGGTTTCTTTTTCTAGATAAAAATGCAAATTATATATTTATATAAAACTTTCAACAATTTCATACAAAATGCTATTTTAAAGGGAAAAAATTCTCATACTAGCATAAATTATGTTTAGAAATAACAGAGATTTTTTTTAATCTAATTTAAATATAACTGCAGTTAAAGTAAAGCAATAATTAGATATTAAGGAACTCCACTTCTCCCCATCTAATCTCAAAACATTCACTTTTTCTGCTATAAATAAAAGAGAATTTCCAAGATTTTCACAAGATTTAATCCAGCAGAAAATCTGTATTATGGATAGGAAAAAAATGAGGGATTCTGCTTTTCACAGATACAGCACTGCTGCATATTCAAAATTAATTTCAAAATAATAAGTTAATGCTTACATAGTTCAAATATTTTGCTCAAACTACAAATTGTAGCACAGCAGGTTTCATTCTGTAGCATAAATTAAAAAATAAAATGTGATTATCTTAAACTTTAGACAGTCCATAACAAAATAAAGCAGTCCTTAGCATACGAAGAAATGTTTCTTGAAGTCTCAAGCTTGAACTTTCTCAGGAACCCTCAATGATGACCATGTTGACACCACACCCACACCTGGATAATATCCATACAGTTTTTAATACTAAGATGATCCAGAAGTGCTGGTCAGCTAATTCAGGGAACTCACATCCAACTCAGGAACTGAGACATTGAAGTACCATAAAGTTTATGTTGTAGGCACCATAACATTGAAGTGGTGAGAAGAGGCATGCCACTTCGGTGAAGTCATGAATTTCTACTGATCACATGGTTTAATGCTTATGGTTATAGCACTTGCTCCTGTAACATCACCTTCGGTAGATGCAGAATTTCAATAATGATTTTAAAAATCAAGTCACTTAATACATTCTAATGATACAGTTTTCTACTTTACAACAAAAAAAGATAAAAAATTTCCCCCTCTTTAGCTAACAGTTATTTCAGAATGCATTTTTAGTGTATAATTTAAGTCGCCACTGATGCTATATTAAAGTCTGCACATAAGAATTTTTTTTTTTTTTTTCTTTCTTGGTTGATAATGCAGTAGTAATGGAATTTAAAGCCAAACTTCTGAGTTATACCATACCAATATCTCTTAAGCATATATTCAAATCCCTTAATACTTCAGTTCTATAAGGGATGGCCAAATGAAAATGTGACTATGGTTCAAGAAGCATCATTCCATGGAGTTTTTAGAACTTTCAGATTTACAAGATAGATAGTTGAATGTGTCAGGAGAAATCTCATTTAAAATGGTCAGTGGCTGTGCATGACAGAGGGAAAGAGAAGTGACGTAAGCTTCTTTGATACGAATGGCTCCTTGCTGTTAAACTAGTAGGAAATGAAAGGTACAGTTAATGTATATAGATAATATGATAGCCTAAGGAACGCAAAACCTATCAAGAATCACAGATATGGCATGTTAAAAGGAGTTATTTTTTTGCATGAAAATGTTTATCCTCATGTGATAATAGTTAACAAAGATCTGCAGCACTTCAGATGGGAAGTTCTCCCTCTTTCCCCTATAGCCTTGGCCTGTTATCCCTTTATTACCACTAAAAAAAACATTACAGGGATGCTAATTCACAGACAATGAGGTGATCAACAATAGGATTATGTGTTATTAGTTGATGACTGTTGCACAACAATGGGTATTGATTTGCATACCAGTACATTTATCTTGTGCACTCTTGTATATTTATTAAACTGACAAGATTAATATATTTATGATATAATATTACTCACGTACTATTCTTTCAATTGGTAAGTACACATGTATTCAAACTCATATAATTTATTACAGATCCATTTTCATTTGGGCACAGTTTATAGATAAGTTAAATAAAATTACTTTAGGTTTGTCATCTCCTTCTTGTGGTTCATCTTCTTCATCAACAGGGATCTGTATTTCAGGTTCTTTCAGTAGCCCATAATAAACTTTTCCTTTATTTGCTAAAAAGTTTATTTAAAAATGTATTGATACAAAGTAGATGAAGAGGAAAACAATTAGAAAATTCCACAAATTAAACAATTAATCAATAAATATTACACACACACACAAAAAAAAAAAAAAAAAAAGTATGACTAACCTTGTCTTGCAGCTTCCCCAACCAATGCACCAGCAGTACTATCTATTTGTTGCTTAGTTCTTGAAATGCCCTCATATACTGTAGAAGAGCAAACATACAAATTTGATAACACAGCATTAAAACAAATTATAATTATTAATAACCCAACATACTGTGAAACTTCACTAGTATAACACTCCAGTTTATTACCAATAATTGCATCATGGCTCAAGAAAAATTAATTTCAGAAATTTATAAAAATCAGCTATTATTTCAATATTACAAATCGGAACAATTTACACACTACCTATGGCAGGAGTCCAACTAAAAAATATTATATATAATGTATCATAATTGATAACTTTTCAAAACAGGATATTTATTCACAAATATTAAATTAGAAATACATATTTAAAATTAGAGAAAAGGAAAAAATAAAAAGAGAATACTATGAGAATATAATTTATTTTTATCATAGAAATCAATTATAGTAAATACTTAAGTATAAACACTAATATAGCATAACTACCTTAATATACATTTTACAAAAAACTATATTTTTAATCTTTGCAGTACTGTTCTGTTACCAGGACCAGATCCAGAAATGTATGTATGCACGCATGTAAGCATGAATGTATGTTTGTGTATACATATACACATATAACATACATACATGCACACATTCATACATTTCTGAATCTGGTCCTGATAACAGAACAACACCCTGTTTGCTAATTTAACACTATACTACAAGAATTAGAAATATTTCTCAAAATCTCTCTACACCCAGCTATACGTTATAAAAATTTAACAAATAGCCAAAATTTTTCCTATTAAATATCAAATTCTAATAAAGAATTTTATGTTTCACAAAAATACTGTATATCCTATACAAAATGCTCAATTAATAAAATCATGAAATATCAGATATAATAATGCCTGTAGGGCAGGGATGCCCAACCCTAGCTCGCGACCTTTTTACGTCCCTTGCATTGCACATCTGGTTCCTTCTCAGTATTGCAAAGCCTTAAGCGGAAGGAAAAGTTGAGTTTCAGTTATGCTACACATTCAAAGGTGACACCAACCAAAGTTCCCTGAAAAATCTGTCTTCAGGGGACTGATCTGCAATTAAGAACAAGAATATCACAAACAGTCTTTTGGATTTGGGGAGGAGAAAACATACTCCTGTTTTGGATCAATTTCTCATAGGAATAGTTTTTTTAACAATGAACTTGTTAAAATCCAAGTTCATATCCAGAATAACAAATGAGCATTCAAATGACTACATGAATTTATTGATAACATCGTACATACCAGAATACAGTAAATTCACAGAAGATGTAAGAATCAGGTTTCACATTAAAATATACTTTTCCTGTACTTAATTTGTATCTTACTGTATTTTTAATAAACAGTAATATAAAAAGTACATAATTCCTTTTTTTTAACATATTACCAGATAAATTTATGCATTATAGATGTTTATACAATTGTGAGAAAAGGGCAATATACAATTGTGGCTTGCCAAAATTCTAAATTGACTTGTGTCAAGTTAAAATTTGGGCATTGCTGATATAAGATATTAATTATCAGTAGAATATTTTAAAATTCCAAATTTAGGAGATAATTTAAAATTGTCCTTATATTTGTCATTTGAAACAAAATGCTTTCATACAGCTAGATAAATCCTTCACATTGAAGAAGCCATTTATAATCTTCATGCTGCCTATTGTGGTTCAAACACGTGGACAGCTTTCTAATATTTTTGCATTCAGATATTTACTGTTATAATTGATTTTCGGCTGACTGGTGACAAAAAGCATGCAATTTATTAAAAAAATATTTTATTCATGCTCCTTACTGAATATCCTAATGCTAATCATTAATGATGACGATGATTATAATGTTGGGGAATTTCTATAGATTTTCCTCCTAACACTTGTTCAGTCAGAACAAAATGTGCTTCCATGATTTTTGAACCAGTTTTCCAGAAAATTCGTATGAATTTAAGCAATTAATTACACAGATATGTATGCATTTAGCAGTCGCACTTCCTAGCTCTTATTTAGAGCACTCTGTAATTTTATCTTGAAAATTAGACGTAAATTTGACAAGCACTAACCCTTATGACTCACCATTGCTAACACCCCTTAAATAAATACAATATTCATGGGGGAAATGTGGGTTATTCAATTTCTTGCATACAAAATTTTGTAAATTCGAGGTATTCCTAGTTTAATTAAAATAAGAGATACTACCATTATGGCTTAAATGGAAAAAAAAAAAAAAAACCTACTAAGTAACTAAACCAAATTAAATAAACTATAATGAAATTTCAGTATAGAGTTAAGTAAATATGATACTACTAACAACATTATATTACTCAACATTTAGAAAATTAAATATCCTACTTACCTAGGAAAGAACTCCCCTAACACACTGCATATCCCCTAATATCCTGTAAATCTTTTTTTAAAAAATCAAAGTACACCAATCATTTAAAAACCTTTGCTTTGCTTTTCTGTTGTAACTGATAAAGTTTTAAATCTTCTTAATCCCTTTGTTGTTTTGTGTAAAAGATTGTGGCATGCCTAATTATTTAACATAGTATATCTTGGAATGGCTAGCACATTGTGCAGCAGCACCACAGGTCCAGGGTTCGATCCCCAGGCTGAGCAAGGTCGACTCAGCCTTTCATCCCTTGATTTCCATCGCTTAGGTCGATAAAATGCGTAGCAAGTTCGCTTGGGGACTAAACACTGGGGGTCCTGCGACAAGCTGATCACTATGCTTAGGCACCCCGGGGCCCACAGTCAAGAAAGCAGATTTTTGGGCACTGCTGGCCTTGGCCCACTAGGGCTGTTGCGCAATTGCGTTTAGTTTTTCCCTTCAGGTATGCCTTTTGTGTTTTATGTGTTAGTTTCTTGTGTTTAATTTTTCATTATAGTTGTATTTCATAGCTTTTTTTATTTTATCAACAAACATTAATATTTTCAATTTTCTATGGAGACTGGGTGGGCGGGGAGTTGGTTTTATTCTCTACAAAAAGGATAAAAAATTCTGTTTTGATCACATTTACATTTCATCTGTTGACAGTTAGAAGAAAGGATATCAAACAAGTGATATAAGCAGCAATTAAATAGTCATAATAATACGAGCACTGATTGCAGTAACTTATGAAACAGGTTTGTTCAAAACATCTGTCAAATAAGCCAAAAGCTGAACTAGAGTATCCATATTGAAGTCAACAAGTCTCTTTGTAGATATAGAAGAAACAATGCTGGAAACTTTGTATAAACAGAAGATTTTCGGAGGACATGTGCTTCAAAATAGGACAGCATGTTTTATTTGAAGTTCCCAATACAGACATCAAAATACTTTTGCAAAATATGTTATATGGAGTCTCATCTTGCCAAATTTATTTGATCCAGTAAGATATGATCTGTACAAGGAAATCATTACTTTTATGGGCTGGGAAAATTGTTTCAAAGCTACTTTTCAATTCAGATGTTCAAAAATTCCTTATAAGTTTTTATGACACTCTTTAGGCAAACTGATTGACCCAAAGATTTATAAGCATCATTTAGAGCATATGCTCATGCACCCTGTGGCTCACGGTCAAGAAAGCAGGCTTCAGGCACTGCAGGCCTAGGCCCACTAGGGCTGTTACGCCACTGAGTTTAGTTTAGTTTTTATTTTGGAATGCCATAAAATGCTGCTTCTTGGAAATGGAGATCAGCTTTTGATTGTTTTCAGAAAGCATAACTTAACAATAGTAATAACAACAATCAGAAGAATTTAGAGCTAAATTTTTCCCACTTTTAAACTATTGGGTCAATCCATAAATTTGTGTGAATTTTTTGGTAAATTTTTAAATAATATAAAAAAACATAACAACATTTTAATCAATTGTATATTTTCCTCATTATCTACAATGTCTCTGCTATCTTACAGGCAGCTTTTTTTGCCATTACAGTAGAAAGACTCTGGTTTTGATGCAAAAACTTGAAAGTTCATTGTGTTACATCCTGTTTAGAATTTGATTTTTTTTCCCAGTAAAAAATTTTGTAAGGCCATGAAATTAAAATCACTTAGGGCAATATCTGGGGAGTAAGCAGGATGTGGCAAAAGCACCCAATTAAATTCATTAATTTTTTGCAGCGTTGTTCGAGCCGTATGCGGTCTAGCATTATCATGATGAAACAACACTTTATTGATATTCACCAATTGTGGGCATTTTTTGATCAATTCAGAGTTTAGATGGCAAAGTTGTTCACTATAAACTTCCGAATTAATCGTTTGATTTGATTCTAACAGTTCAAAACGTCCTGAACAAGGTTCATCATCAATGCTGCTTTTTTCAAGTTTAAATTTTTAAAACCATTTCTGGGCAGTCCTTACACTAATAGTGTGTCCACCATGTACACCATTAATTTTTATTGCTGGAAACCTGGCAGATTCACCACACGAAAATAAAAAAATGCAGCACAGCATGTTTGTACTGATTATCTATCTATATTCATCTTCTGTGGGTACTAAAATGCATTTGATATTTACGAAAGTTGGTGAACTGAATAATATGAGTCAAACGATGACAAGTTTCAACAGGTTCAAAATTGTATTGTTTTAGTAAATGTGTGATAGTGAATTCCACACATACTCTTAATGCACACGAACTTATGGACTGACCCAATAGAACTAGCAGCCTTCTCTTCCATTTATTAAAATCTAGCAAACAAATGAAATATAAAAATTGAAGTTACATCTCATGATTAGCACAAATTAGCAAAATTTTTATCGCAGACCAATTTCATTACACCTTAATTCAACATTATCAAACCACTGTTGTTACAATGATGAAGATGGTAAAAGTGCAGTACTTGACATGTTAGTTAAAGTGCTTGGTTAAAAGAAGAAAGGAGGGTTTTAGAAAATATGTATCTATATGCCTCTGATAGGAACAAAGTTGCATATTTAATGAAACTGTTCTGAAAGAAAATTGCAAAAGCTTCTAAGAAATCCAAACTAAGGGGCAAAGTAGCATGAGTTATAATTTTGGGTTCTAAAAACTGAAATAAACAGGTTTTATTTAAAGAATAGGAACTTAGCAAAGCCTTTTATTAATAGCTATTTATGATATCATATCCCTTATTCTGAATTCTGGAGTTTAGTTGGTTCGTCCAATATAAGTTTAATTCACAAGGAATTTTGTGAATGCATTACAACTGGATGTCTGATTTCCCCCTCCCTCAACTGCAAATTTGATTTCATTGGTAGGTTTAAAAGAAACTGAAAAACCATAGTGATGGAAGCATTTAAGCAAGTAAAGGATTGAGTTTGGAGTAAATGGCACTAAAATAGAAAAATAAAGTGCACTGAAGGTGAAGATTTTCTATGGAATTTTCTCCTTCTTTATTATGTGCCTTTGTGGTGTAACTGGAAGTATCTGGCTAACATCAGGACGTCCAGAGTTCGAACCCTTGACGACAGCATTTTCATTTTTCATATTTCTCGCTTTGGAAATTCTCATGACAACAAATCGTACCTGAACTAAAATGTGGTGGACGATGATTTGTCACCACCTAAATTAGGCAACTGGATAATCTCATCTCTCAATTTAAATGGAGAGGGGAGAATGCAAGGAATTATCTCCTTCCTTACTATGTGTTTTCATGATGCAACTGGAAGTACATCCGTCTAGCATCAGGAGATTGGAGTTCAAGTCCCAGCAAGGGCATTGCTTATTTTTCAAATTTCCTGTTTAAAAAATTCTACTGGCTCTACAATTTAAGTCAAAGGCAATGAAGGCTTGGAAAGCTTCTCATACATGGTGTCAATGATGATAGAAGGATAACTATGGGAAATAGAGTATTTTCATTTGCCAAAATGGCAGAGCTGGGGCAAAAGTGAACTGCACAATGAATATTGTTACTTGTGCTAATTATTACCCAGAAATTCATTTTTCAATACTATTAAACTACAAAGAGACAGCTAATTATTACAGGAAAATTCTTCATTTTTTAATACTATTAAATTAAAAGGCTATTTTCCTGAAGTTAATGAAACAGACTTATTTATTGTAATCAAATTGCTAGTACACTTAGGAATAAAATAATTAAAATATATTTCCAAAAGAAATATAGTATAAATTTGATAACTACATATATACATATCGGAAATACACATATTTTTTATAATAAAAATTATACAGAACATCACTTACAGCTAAGTATTCCTAAATTTCTGTTACAGAAACAGAAAAGCTATATTTATAAAAGATTAAATAATTCATAAAATCTATTCATAAAAATAATATTCATAAAAATTACTTCATTATTGGTATATAAAAACCACAAATTTATATTTAAAGAACTGTGTCAATTTCATAAATTAAAAAAATATTAAAATAATATACCATCAAGATAAAGATGCTCTTGAATAATATTTTGTAAAACATTATTTTTCTTGTCCTGCAAGTGTCGTTTTAGGAAATTGTATGTATCTCTTGACAATCTAACCGTAAACTGACCTGACCTGCAAAATAAAATTTATACAACTTTTTAAAGATAATAAATTACAGATATTTTCTCAAATGCATTTATATGAACTGTAACAGCATTTGAAAATTTCCTTGGCATATATCGGGAGGGAGGGATCAAAGAAATGGGGGAAAAAAAGAGATAAGCTATATCAAATAATATTAAAATTACCTAAAATTGTCCATAAATTCATTTCCTTTCATGTGATCTTTTTTGGTCAAACATGACAATTTTTTAACATCATCCAAATAATATTCTTCTTGTTCTGGTCCAAACTTATCCATAAAATATTTGGCTACAAAAATAAAAAAATAAAATGAATTTAAAGAATTATAAATATATCTATCACTTACAAATATGAAAGCATACTTTACCTTTAGCTTCATGCTGATTGTACACAAGCTCCAAGTACATGTGTACAAATACAGGATACAATATCATTGAAAGTTCATGCTGAAAAACACAAAAACACTGTCATAATACTGTATAGTTAGAACATTAATTTCATTTACTTCTTTATTTATTTTTTACATTTCTATCCCTGAATAAAGAATAAAATGGCAGAATGGGATTAACTAGTTTACGAATGCTCATTCCATTGAATTTGTTCAATAGGGAAGATATATGGTAATACAACAAAATCATGTGAAAGAAATGATTTTAATAATGCTTCTAGCTATATTCATAAATACAATACTAATGCTGCAACTTAAGACTCATAACTCATTTCTCAGATTGACTTCTCTATCTTAAACAAATTTAATTTCAATTAAATTTTATTCTGCAGATGCATGCACTTATTATTTATAATCTATAGTGTTCATTTTTAAAACACATATGAAATAAAATCATTATTTGAGTCTTGTATTCCTAGTATTTGAGTTTATTGTTCAATTCTGTTCATTATTAGTTGTTTTAAATATTCTCTACTGTCACCCTAAACAACTGGACAACAATTGACAGAACTAAACAATGAATGAAATAACAGAAAGTATGAAATAAAATCATTATTTGAGTCTTGTATTCCTAGTATTTGAATTTATTGTTCAATTCTGTTCATTATTACAGTTGTTTTAAATATTCTTTACTGTCACCCTAAACAACTGGACAACAATGGACAGAACTAAACAATGAATGAAATAACAGAAATACAAAACTCAAAAGTCTTGTATTTCTGTATGATTTTGTTTCATACCTGTTTTAAAAATGAATGCACTGCATTTTTGAATGTACATAAAAGGTTTTTTTTTTTTTTTAAAGTTTAGTAAAACAATTAAAATTTTCAAAAAGATACTTTGAAAATAACTGATATTTAAAGACACTGATTCTTATATTATATGTGATCATAATGTCAAGATAGACATATCAAAATCATAATTTTTGAATTTCAACTAAATGCACCCTTTTTACATCTACAGCTGAAATTATTTTCTACCTTACATAAATAATACCTTACATACATATTACATCAATGTTATAAATATGGCTCTTTTTTGATTTATTAGTAAATAATTTACAAATTAAAAATTAACAACAACAAATAATTAAAAAGCATGATATTTCATGAACTACAGATATTACATTTTTAATCTGTATAATTTGCAAGAATTTTATTTCATAATGAAAATATCAATGCGATTATGGAATCCTTCACAAATGATAAAAGAAATTTAAATATAATTTTTTGAGAAATAACAATAAATCGACTTAATTTGATAGAATTCTTTTTAGATATTAAAAAAAGTTTTACTGAAAATCATTGTGTTACATTTAGGTGCTTATTGATTCTATGATATCAAATGGCATGTTTGATGGCATTTGTTACTAAATAATATAACAAATGCAAAACTACATAAGAAATTATTTTAATAATGCTTCTAGCTATATTCATAAATACAATACTAATGCTGCAACTTAAGACTAAACAATGAATAGAACTAAACAATGAATGAAAATTTTTTTAATTTATTTAAATTTTATTAAACTTATTTATTTTCTTTTTGGGGAGGAGGGGGATTCAAAATGATGATTCAATCTACCACTAAGTGAAAATGAAGCCACTGCATTTTTAATACTCTATTAGCAGCTATTGTTGATGTGTGGCCACCCAGAAAATATAAGTTTTTTTTTAATACATTTCCCTCGAAATGCCATTATTTAAGAAAGTAATTTCTTGAGGATGAGGTATGGGACAAAACATTCTGACATTGTTGTTTTTTTTTCTTGGTGTTTTGGTTGCCACTAAAACTGAAAGGTACCACATTTTATTTTAAAAAAAATTTTTTTTTTCTTCTAGTGACAAATTCTGCATAAAATATTCATTTTTTAGGTCAGAAGTAACCTTTTATTTTGATATTAATTTCTTACAGAAATGTAAGTAGATGGTTAAAACATATCTTAATATGTAAATTTATCAATAAATACTTTAATATTGATTTAAATATTTACATTTATAGTTTTTACATAAACATATAAAATAGCACTAAAAACATATTTTAAATTTAATTTACTAACTCTGTATGTATCCAAAGCAGTTTCAATGAACTTCTTAAGACCAACATAAGTATCTTCATAAATTGCTGGATCGCCTTCACTGTTACAACAAAATAAAAAATACAGCAATTTTTATTAAAGTATCATATAAAAGCAACTAAGCAATTAAAAAAACCACAGCTGAATTATTTCTTATCAAAACAGTATTAACTTATAAAATAAATCTCATATGTAAGAACTGCTTAAATCTCCATAATTATGTTAAATTCCTTTCTTTTTTTTCAGGCATACTAATAAAAGAATTTCCACAATAAAAGATGGAACTACTCTCATATGCGCCTTCAGGCCGCCAAATTTCTCACCAAACATTTTTGGTGAGAAACTCCACACCGCCACATTACTACCTAAATTTTTTGCCTACATTTTGAATTTTAAGCCTAAAATGTCTACGAAAACGCGGTTTTCGCAATGCAAAAACCATGTTTTGAAGACACAATTTAAACTAAAAATCCGAAACAAAAAAAAATTTAGATAGCAAAAACGTAAAGTTTCTAACCAACATTATTTGACAAGAATCTATGTAAACAAAATAAAAACAGTAAAATAAAATGCACTTAACCATAATACATTCCTAAATAAAATTTCGCCAGTCATACAACATCTCTGAACAAAAGTGCCACGATTTTCCTGTATCACATGTCTTTCTGAGATTGAAAATTTCGAAAGTAATAAAAACTTCCTTCAAAGTTAACATACTACATGAAAACCACAATCCAAATCTTAAACTCCACTGACAGCCACATACTTTACCAGCAACCATTTAACTGCAAATCCACACAAGAACTATAAAAAATGTCCTTCTTCATCCGAGTTCTCATAGCAGCTCTACAATTCGGACTCCGTTCTCATAAATACACCCGTAAACAAAAGACTCTTTAACAACTCCAACATTGTAACTTTTAATACTAAACTTACTTTCCACACAATCTAAAATACAGCGAAAAATTCCACAGCCAGTCCAAGGAGGGTCCTCGTCCACAACCGGAAAGTGTTCACCACAAGCACAAGTAGAACATAGCCGAAAGAAAGCAGCCGGGGAAAGAGGTATCAAAAGAAAACAACCGGCAACGGAGAGCAACAGGAACGGAAAGTCCCAGCAGCGTATCCGAGTGAGGCGTTTAAAGTTAAGGTAAGTGCTATTTAAACGTGTGATTATCTCAGTTTATTCAGAGCATGTTTCGCCAGCCTAGCACACGTTTTGTTGTTATTTTGAAGTCACTCGAGTAAGCCTTTCGATCTTATCAGTTTAGTATCATGCCAGCTAGATTTCTGCGAGTCCATCTCTTAGGAGTAAATTTTAAAGTGCATTCTTGCACTCGTTTCTTTTTCAGATTTTGATTTGTATTCTAGTCTACGTTTAGTTATCACCGCAAGTGAACGGTGTTTTGTAACGCACAAAGTCCGTGCTTTCTGTTAATTTAGTTTGAGTTAATAAAGGGTTATTTTGCACCTTTCTTCTGCGCTGGTATTTAATTCATGCCTGTGCAAAAATTCGCCAGGTTCATTGTAGGATCTAAATGAGTGGATGTGGAAAAGTAGAGACAGATCTTACAAGCCGAATTTTTCCGAACTCATGGCTAAACAATGAAGGTGCAGCCGAGTTAGCTCCATCGACACTGCAAACCACACTGGCTTCTGGAAATATAATGGAAGGCTTTGGATATCTGGTGGACACTATGAGGGCCTCCATGAAATCCTTAGTGATATCAGAAGGATAACTAGCTTCCTAGAAATTTTAGATAATCACTTTTTACTTTATCCTCTCCCTGGTGTACAAAAGATCACGATAGCCATGACTGCCTTGCGAGGACAGGCATTAAGTTGGTTTAAAGGCATTGGAAAATTTCGATTGGGAGAAACTGGAAGCCCCACTTATACGTTCGACAATTTTAAAACCGCGCTAGTAAAAGCTTTTCCCGTGGTGAAGGATAGAGCTAGACTTGAAGCCGAATTGTATGGCAAGTACCAATTCAACCCATTCGAATAAAAATCCCTCAAAAGTTCAATTGAATACAGTGATTATAAAAAATTTGTCCTTACCTGTAATTCACATTCGAATAAATAAGGTGCCAACAGAGGCCTTGGTGGATACGGGAGCAGAAGCAAATTTTCTGTCAGAACAATTCTTTCAAAATAATTTTAAGAATTATAGATTATTTAAAATGCAAAACACCAAAGTCATTGCAGCGCAGAGCAAACATTTTTCATGTATAGGTAAATCAATGTTTAATGTAGAGATAAAAAATGAATTCCAAAAGTCTATATTTTTTTTGTAGTGCGAAATCTACAAGTTTGGGTAATTTGGGGCATAGACTTTTTAAAAACAGTGGGAGCCGAAATTAATTTTCAGAATGAAACTATGCAACTTAACATGGAGCCAAGGGAAGTACAAGCTGTGGAGCCTCCGGAACTCAACCTGGAACATGTGAAAGCAGAAGACAGAAGAAAACTACAAGATCTGGTAACATGATTTTCTGATTAATTTTCTGAAACACCTGGCCTCACTCAGATAGTTCAGCATGAAATTAAAAAGTAAGGAGCCCGTGAAGGCCAGGCCATACAGATATGATCACGTGAAGGAAAAAAAAATCATTGAGGAGCATATTCAGCACATGCTCGTAAATAAAATTATTAAACCTATAAGTAGCCCTTATGCGAGTCCTGTAGTGCCGTGTAAAAAAAAAAAATATCTGCCAAATTCAAATTTTAAAGCCTGGAGGCTAGCTATCGACTACAGGAAGCTTAATAGCTTAACCAAATACCCCATTTATCCTCTACCTATAATTGAGAAAGTGATCAGAAACATTAGGTCTACCAAATACATGACCATCATAGACCTTACCTCAGGGTATTTTCAAATAGCTATGTAACCACAGGATTTGCCTAAAACAGCTTTTATCATGAAATCAGGAGCTTATGCTTTCCTGAGAATACCTTTTGGCTTATGTGGAGCCTCAGCGACTTTTCAACACACCATGGACATTATATTAAGACCTGTCCTTGGGAAATCAACGTTTATTTATCTCGATGATATGATTGTTTCAAGTGAAAATATTGATAAACACGTTAAAGATTTAAGTGAAGTTTTTACATTATTAAGAGACGCAGGCCTAAAAATAAATGCGAGTAAGTGCAAGTTTGCAGCAGAAGAACTAAAATACTTAGGATACAAGATTTCAAAACGCGGAATTGAAACTCAAGACTCGAAAGTAACTGTGATAAAGAATTATCCACCGCCCAACACTGCCAAAAAGCTCTCTTCTTTCTTAGGCATGTGTAGCTATTCTAGAACATTTATAAAAGACTTCGCACAAATTGCGGAACCACTCTTACAATGGAAAAGAAAAAAGCTAGATTTTCGTGGTCAGCTGAGGCAAACACTGCGTTTGAAAGAGTAAAATTTGCGCTAATTCAAGCGCCAGTCTTAAAATTCCCGGAGAGGGATGAAAATCTCGAAATTTCAGCTTATGCTTCAGATTTCGCTGTAGGTGCGGTTTGGGCACAGATTACAGCCCATGGCGTATTTTTCAAAAACACTGACTCAAATTCAAAGAAATTATACTGCAATGGAAAGAGAAACTTTGGCCGAACTTTTAGCTGTACAGAAATGCAGAGTTTATTTTGGTAAGGCACCAATAGTCGTGTATTCTGATCACGCTGCCGTGGGACAACTATACTCCGGCAAAAACTTAAGTCCACGACTTATAAGATGGGCATTGAAGTTGCAAGAATTCAACTTAACAGTTAAACACACACCGGGAAAGGAAAATATCGTGGCAGACACATTATCTCGAATACAATTGGACGAAGAAGGAAAACAAATAAAATACTCCATTATAACATCAAAAGTATTAGATTCCAGAGAAACAATTATTTCTGAATTAAAAAAGGATCCAGAATATACGTATATTTATGCATACTTGCAAGACCCGGATAATTTCGAGCATCCGGATATAGCAGCTATAAGGAATAGAGTAGCAAACTATGAAATAGTCGATAAACTATTATTTTATACTAAAACAACAAATGAGAATAGTGAAATAAGGCCAGTCATTCCAGCCAGGTTGTGACTCAGTATTTTAAAGGAATTGCATGACACTGTTACAGCTGGAGACCAAGGTATTCGTAAAACTGTACAAAGAGCACGCGAGGCATTTTTTTTTCTAGCAACTTCAAAGAGTGGTAATCGAGTATGTCAGGTCCTGCCATACATGCCAGTTAGTTAACGATGTTAATTATAGCCCGGCTGGGTATCTAAATAGTATAAGAGCTACTTTTCCTAATGAGTTAATTGGAATAGATCTACTGGCCCAATTTCCGAAAAGTGAAAGTAATAGAAATAGATATTTACTAGTGATAGTAGACCATTTCTCAAAATGGTTAGAAATAGTCCCCCTTAAAAGAGCCTCAGCAAAAATTGTAGCCGATTCTTTTCTAAATAAATACATTTTAAAATATGGTGCACCACTTAGGGTAATATCAGATAATGGCCCCCAATTCGCTAGTCAAATTTTCGAGCAGCTATGTGCAGGGTTTGACATCCGCCACCTTGAGATGGTCCTGTGCAGACCACAGTCAAATATTACCGAGCGCGTAAAGAGAAACATAGTTAAAATCATTCGGAGCTATGTAAAACGTATCACCGACGTTGGGCTGACTGTGTAGAGATGAATTGGCGTATGCCCTCAGAATGGCCAAGCATGACACCACAGGAAAGGCTGCTTGTGAACTTTTTCTGGGAAGGAAGATAATTATCCCTTTATATAAATTATTTTTTGTCCAGAAAAGGGAGGAAAAATTTAAACAAAAAGATATCTAGAAGTTAATTAATGATGCAATCAAAAATTCAGATGTATCTAGAGAAAAACAATCATTGTATTATAATAAGAAAAGAAAAGAGTTTAATTTTAAACCTGGGGATAAAGTACTGAAAAGAAAACATGCATTGTCTTGCGCCCCACTCGAAAAAGCGTCAAAATTTTCCACAAGATTTGAAGGTTCCTACGTGATTGAACGTATTTGTGGATCAGTTTTATACTTAAAAGGAAGTACAATCAAAAGTCTTTAATCCGGACTCGTCGGGACTTCGGCGATTCCGGATTATCGATTTTTCCGGATTATAGATCATCAATTTAAATCTGGTAAGATGGCATGCAGAAATTAAAAATATGAAACCGTAATTTATAAAATAATGAGCAATTATGATCTAAAGAGTATCAAAATTGACAAAAAAAAGAAGCTTAATATTTATTTGTTTACTTTATTAAACATTTCTTTCAACGCGCACATGCGTACCTTAAGCATAGCCGAAATTATAAAATTGCAACCAAAAAACTATTTGATGTGTATTCGTGATATTTATAATGACGAGGAATTTGATTTAAATCATATCAAAGACGGAGTACATCAAGATTAAATACTACATTTAGTAAGGAATTATAAGCCGAATAAAATAAAAACATCTGCCCTGAAGATAACGATAGTGCTGACAGATCAACTTCCAGTTCATTTGTAAGTCATTCCAGGATGTAAATTTAAAGTTAAGTGATGTGCTATTTAAACGTGTGATTATCTCAGTTTATTCAGAGCATGTTTCGCTAGCCTAGCACACGTTTCGTTGTTATTTTGTGGTCATTGGCCTTATCAGTTTAGTATCACGCCAGTTAGATTTCTGAGAGTCCATCTCTTAGGAGTAAATTTTAAAGTGCGTTCTTGCACTCACTTACTTTTCAGGTTTGATTTTGTATTCTCATCTACGTTTAAGTTATCGCTGCAAGTGAACGGTGTTTTTGTCTGTTACTTTAGTTTGAGTTAATAAAGGGTTAGTTTACAACCTTCTTCTGTGATGATATTTATTTCACATCTGTGCGAGAATTTGCCAGGTTCGTTGTAGGATCTAAGTCAGTATATATGGAAAAGTAGAGATAGATCTTACAGGACAAGCGATGTGTGTCCATTCTAACATCTCATCCAGATGCAGTTGATCCTCTTGAAGTTGAGAGGAAAGCATGGCACAAAAATCAATTGTCCAAAAGCCATTTCCAGCTACAACAAAAATATGGGGTTTGTAGATAAATTTGACCAACTAACATCACTCTACGAAATAGACAGAAAATGTAAAATGTGGTGGCACCACATTTTCTTTCATTTCCTTGATGTAGTTGTGATAAACAGCTACATATTGCACAAAATGATAACAGACGGAGAAATAGATACTGCTAAAAAAATTCCGTTTAGAGTTGATCTTTTCTCTCTGCGCAATGGGGAAATTCAAAACCTCTTTGAAGCGACAGATCTCAAGCCCCCAAGATGCTCCCCATTATAAAGTGTGTGTTTCTGAGGAAAAATGGCATTCAAATGTGGAACACATGCCAGTAAAGGGAAAGAGAAGATGATGCGCTTACTCTAGTACTAGACAAAAATCCCACGTGTCGTGGTACATGTGCAAAACTTGTAATGTGAGGTTATACTTTGTCCAGAAAGGTGGAACTACATGCTTCAAAAAGTACCACGAGGGAAAAAAAAAACAGAATGTATATAATGTAAATGTAGCCAACTGTATATATATATATATTTATCCGTATTTTATCTTTATATATTAAAAAAGGCCCATTGTAATCAAGATTTTCCTTTTTCTTTCCCGAGAGTAGCAGGCCTCCCCGTGGTGCATCCTGGGTTATGCTAAATCTGCTACAGAGATCAGATTCTACTGTTTTTAAATCATAGACTAAGGATTTTACTATAATACGAGCTTCACAGCAATGCTCACCTATCGCAGCTCATGCGACTCAGTGTGTTCGCTTCGGACACACCCACAAAATGGAAACGGTTTGTGCAATCTTTGTAAAATTATACCTGCATACTCTCTTAGGCCTAAATAAACTGCCTACATTTTTTTTTTTTTTTTTTTTTTTTTTTTTGTAAAATTCCAACTTTAAAAAGTAGCATACCGGAAAAGGTTGAGAAGAAAAAATAAATTTTTGCATAAAATTTAGTATTTTTTTAATTAAAAATTTTTTAATTTTATAATATTTGATTCTTGCAATTTCAAAAACAAAATACAGTACAAAGTCCGTAATCCGGACTCGTCGGGACTTCAGCGATTCCGGATTATAGATCATCAATTTAAATCTGGTAAGATGGCATGCAGAAATTACAAAATTAAAGATGTGAAACCGTAATTTATGAAATAAAGAGCAATTATGATCTAAAGGGTATCCAAATTTATATAAAAAAAGCTTAATATTTATTTGTTTACTTTATTAAACATTTCTTTCAATGTGAGTTGTTTCAGCTGTATTTTTTGTGCTAATACTTTCTCTTTAATTCTCTCTTCTATAAAGACATAATTTCTTGTTTAGTTACACAGTTCCACTCTTCAAATCCTGTAATTGCTGTGTCAAGAATACCGATTAACTTGTCAGTAGAAATTTTTTCATTTCCGATAACCTCTCTGTCACTTTCTCCACTATCGAAAGTGCGCATGCGCAGTGGACGTGTGCAACAAACGCACGTGCGTAAACGCTTTACGCGTATGCGTAAGTTTGTTGGCTTTGAAGTCCGGATTATAGATCATTCCGGATAATAGACTTTGTACTGTAGTTGACTATAATATTAATAGTATTTAAGAAATTAAATGTAGGATGATAAATTATGTAAAGTAATGGGCACAATGATAAAACTGTTTAAAGCAATATATGCAAGTCATCCTAAGTTAAAATGTTGGTTATACATCTTTCTCATTTATATATTTTTTCTGAATGGAACATTGAAAGGCATGTTAACTGCACTTTACTGTATTTTCTCTTTTAATATATTCAGTTTTCACACGCATCATAGTCTGGGTCACAAAATATTCTTCCAAAGAAACGCAATTCAAATAAATAAAATCAAATTCTAGAAAATTTATATTAATAAATATTTTTAAAATGTGGAGTAATTTCGTCAATCGGCCCAGTAGAATGAATGATACAGAACTGTCCCCCCCCCTTTTTTTGAGTAGTGTACCTTGATTCCTTTTTTTTTTTTTTTTCCAATATACATCTAATCAAAAAGTGGATAAATTAAAACATAGCAGAAATTTTCTTGTGAAATGAATGTGACTGTCTTCTCAGAGTCTTAAGGAAGAAACTGCACACAAATAGGTATTTATTACATTTTATGTAAAATGGGTATTGAGATTTTCGGTAAATGGAAGAAGTAAATACAATCATAACTGATGGCTGCAAGCACATTTACATAACAGATGATACACATACCAAGTATCTCTGAAGCAAATATTCACAACGTTCAACAAAAATTGGAAATTCAGAAAAACACATATTCTATGAAATGAAGAATTTGCCAAATAGTAACGAAAAGAAAAGTTAACCAGAATTTAAAGAAATGACAATCTGAATGCCGGATATATGTTCTAAAAACAACAAAAGCAAGGTCTTTCTTCATATGTCAGTCTTCTTTTATTTTACTTTTTTTATGCGAAATAAAGGAAGTATTGTAATTAAGAAAAATTTTGGGTTTCAAATTTCAATGGATATATCTATTCGAACTTGTTCATGAATCCATTTTGACTTTTTTTTGCATAAGGTCTATATATATAAGGTCAGAATAAAGGACACTTTATTCCACAATGGATTGTAAAACAGATTTAAAATGGATTTTTTTCATGTCATCTGTACATATGTATCTTGCATAACTTGAAAACGATTACTCATACAATGTTGAAATTTTGCATATGAGACTGCTATAACATTCAGTTATGAATATCCCTTTTTTATTCAATTGGCAGTACCAAATATATATATATATATATAATATATATATATATATATAATTTACACACAACCCTTCTGAGTAAGACGTGAAGAGGACACTTTGCCCACTTCCCACTAGAAAGAACGTAAGTTAATTAATGCGTTTTCTGACCTTTTATATCTTCATGTACATTCCCTTTTCTTATTATATATATTTTAAATTTCAATTTGTTTTTGCAAAGATTGCTTTATATTTCTTATACTTTGTAATTTTCTAATGTTTATTTCAATTACTTTGAGTTCTATTTCATAATGCCAATTTCCAATGTTTAATTTTTTACAAATAGTTTTGAATTAAAATGTATAAACACAAGGGTGTCGGGGGACAATTACTCAAGTAATTTATCAATTTTACTGCATAAATTGCTTTTCACTCAAAATTGAATTAGCGAAAATACTTAATCAGGATGAGTTCTTTGGTGTTCTGCATTGGTTCTTGATCCCTTCAATTCATGGAAATATTTGGCCTAACTTAAAATTGCCAGTACTTGAGTAAAAGACGAAACACCTTCGTATTTATTTCTTAATTATTGTACATTGAACGGGAGCTGGGTTTGTTCAATACTATAATTAATCAAATACAACGAATTAAAACTATATGCACAGATACAATAGATTTACAACGCGAAATTTTGATCCTTATCAAAATTCTCAAAAATAATCTAATTCCCTTTCAATTTATCAACCATTGCCTTAAAAGAGCAGGCGTTAAATACTCACTCTAAATCATTTAACTGATAGGGATATGATAATTTATTCCTAAACCTGAGAAGGCGGTATAAGTTGGATGACTGTCAGTTGAAAGATTTGTATATAGTGTAATTACTCAATTGTATATATTGTAAAAAGCTAATTGTCTTCAGACATATACTGTTACTAAAAAAATGGGCCTATTTCCTGCCTTTAGACTGTCTATTAGCTCTTGGACAGCGAAAATGCCTTTTTCCTTTCTTAAATTCTTAATCATTGCGACACGACAATTAGCCAGAAATTAATTAATTTCCATTCACTAGTATTTTCAAAAAAATCTTAACAGACGGTCTCTCTCAGATAAGAACTCCACAAAATACATCCCTCAAGAATTCCAAGTCCCACCCACTACCATAAATTACTTCACCCAAGTCTTACCGACTGATATTATTCAAAGCCCCTACTGCCGCTAAGAATTTTCGGACACCCTACACTTCTGAGTCAGACACGAAGAGAACACTTTGCCAACTCCCCCACTAGAAAGAATGTAAGTTACTTAATACCTTTCTGGCCTTTATATCTTCATGTACATTCACTGATCTTATTTATATTATTTTCTATTTTATTTTTATATTATTTTTATGTTTCTTTGATTTGTTTTTACAAAGTTTGCATTATTTATCTTTTTTATAATCTTCTATGTTTATTTCAACTTTACTTTGAATTCGATTTCATAATGACAATTTCCAATGTTTAATTTCTACAAATAATATAGTACTCAAATACATAAAGATGAATAGTGTCGGGGACGGTTACTCGAGTTTTACAGGATTTCTCTACAGTAATTGATTTTTACTCCAAATTGAATTGACTAAAATGCTTCATGAGAATAAGTTCTTTGAGTAACAACTATTCGCGGAAATATTTGGCCTGACTAGAATTGCCGGTTTGGCTTTAACTTATAACTCGAGTAAAGACGAAACACTTTCATATTTACGTATTTTTATCAATTATTGTTCATTGAACGGGAGTTGGTTTGTTCCCCTTGAAAAGTCAACTAATTTCCGATCAATGACAATAATTACATGTTTTAATTTTTCCTTTTACAATTGAAATATTATTCTTCGTGATGATTTAACTCCAGTCCCCGTTAAAACATTATTAACATTTTGCTTTCAAATTACTTCAAAACATCTTTCAAAATATAACTTACCAGTATGGATGCACACTTTTAAAATAATTCTACTTTAATTAAACTTAGGAGATAATATAATCAATTAATCAATACTGTTTAGGAAATAAATTATTATTAACTAACTTTGCAGCAATTGCGCAAGTAATAATAACTTGTATTCGCACTAAATGGATTTAAGTTCATACAACATTTGATATGCTAAATAGCAGCTATTAGCGCTATTTATCTCTTACCTAATGTACCCACTTTATATATTATCTCCAACCTTTTTAAGTTTTAAAGTTCTTATACAAAAACTTTACTGTATTGAAGGTTAGCAGCCTCCTTACTTTTATATCTTGCTAGTT